TAATTTTTCAGAATCAAATTAACTTAACGTGGGACAATTTCCTAAAATGTTGCCAGCTATTAAAATTGTAATAAAAATTATAATTACTCGGGAAAATATGTCTTTTAATTACGTTTTTCTTTTAATTTGTGGAATTTTAACTGAAATATTTGAGTTAATTATTAGGTGTCAGAAAATGTTAGTAATTTTCCTTACAGAACTTATACATTTTTGCAATCTGTTACATATTTTCCACAAACTCTTGGCTATTAAAAATATTCTCCTGATGTTGATTTTATTTTCGTATTTTTTAATTTTCTTCTTAAAAATTACAACCCAATAATTTTTCAGAATTAGGGCCAGCTGTTGTTGCTTTCATGGAAATTATCCTTATTATTACGAGTGTAATCTGGCATAAAGTTAGCCCAAATTGTTCAACTAATTTCCAAATTCGATTTGCTTTTGCTGACTCTTGGAAATTTTCAATTGAGTTTTCCCTTTTAATGCTTCATTTGAGCCCAGCAGCAGCAGCAAGCTGTTTATAAATGGCTCTGTTACTCTGTTAGCTAAGCACTTTTCAATTCCTGTGTCCGCCTTTTTCTCCTCCGGCCACGCCCCCTCTGGTGTTAGGGCAAACAGCTGTCTAAATTTATCGCACCGAGGCAATCAATAAGCGACCATAAAACTAATTGCGCCGTGTCTTGAACTAATTAAACTCGCACAAACACACGCGGCAGTAATTTGCCAGGCATTTGGAATTTTATTTTGCTCCTTGGTTTTTCTTTTCTTGTAATACCCTGGCTGGGGGTGGTATGAGGTCTACTAAGGCTTTTAACTTTTTAATATTCTTAAGTTGTAATAATTTTATATAAATATAATATAAATAAATAAAAAAAATATAAATTGTTCTATTTTCTGGAATAGCAGCCAGAAAATAGAACAATTTATGTAACTTGAAAAATAACTTAAAAGAGGATTCAAGTTACCTATATTTTTATATGCAATAATCGATTTCAAATCGATAAAAATCGACATTTTTCCAATAACATTTTTGATATATTTATATTTTATTAAATTTTATAATAACTGAAAAGTCATTTAAACTTTCTTAAATTATGTTTTAACTTGCATATGTAGTATTAAACATTTTTTCATCGTTCTTAAAATCTTAATTTATTGATTAAATTTATTTTAAAAAACAAGCAAGGGTATTAAATCTTCGGGTTCCTGTTTTCCCTCTTATTATTTGCTTTTAACATTTCCTAGAGAGTAACTTGAGCTGGCGTTGGCGTATCCTGCGAGTGAGTTAGGCCAAGTTCGGTTCGCTTGAGCTAAGTAATTTTGAGGCGGAAACTGGCAATTTCCGCTTGCCGTTGCCACACTCGCGCCCACTTACACACACCCGCACACACACTTGCCTGTACTTGTGCACGCCCACTTGGCCGAAAAGAGCTGCTTGCTGCCATTTTTATTTGGCCAAAAGTTCAAGTCAACGAACTAAGCGGACTTAAGGCATAGTTTGCGTGCTTAAGGCTGATTGAAAAGCCAGCGATGTAGCAGGGTAGCCAAAAGTGGAATTTAAGATGAGTTTTTTTGGTAAATAATATTGAGTTAGATATTTAAAACTTAATTTAATAATAAAAAATAAAGTTAAGGGAAATTTAGAGAGCAATTATAGAAAGAAATTCCAGCAATTATATTCTTTTTTGCTCTAAACGAAATAAAAAGCAAACTAAATACAAACAAAAAACCCTCCGAAAAGAGAAGCCAAAATTAATAATTACCATTATCTTTATTCCGGCGGTGTGACCTCGGTAAATGCAAATAAATTACGGGTCCTTTAAAACAGAAATTAAATTTAATACGCCGCGAATAACGAAGAGCAAACAAAAAGCGGTCAACAACAACAAAAAAAAACGGAAACTTATTCAAATACCAAAACAAAAAAACCAACAACAAATCAGATAGCAAAAAGAGCCAGGCAATCAAAAACACACACAAACACACACACAGCGGTTCAACAATTAGGAAAATCCACAAAAAACAACAACAACATAAACGTAAACCTCCACAACCACCACACACCACCACCAATCACCACCAAGTTCACCATCAACCCACCAGAGTCGCACCACCGAAACTCATCATGAATTTAATGTTCCGCAAGAACTTCCGGGAGGGGGCCAGCAAGTCGGGCGGTGGCGGCGGCAAGCTGCAATCGAAGGCCAACAGGACAAAGCGCTCGCGAGACATGGGTCTCGTCCAGCAGCCGGAGGAGATCCACTACAGGACGCATCTCTTCTTCTCACCTAACCGTCCTGGCTACGATGTGGGCGAAGGTAAATTCGTATGCAAAGCGTTTGCCTTGCCAAAAGACAACAACAATAAGAGCAAGCACAGCAACAAATAGCAAAGAAAATATATATAAAAAAAAAACAGCAAACACAGCAGCAGCAACAACCAAAGCTAAAGCAAACACACAGTAGAACATCGAAGGTGTGAACTGGGGAAATAATATTATTTAATATGTTAATTAAGGAGCAAACAAAAATATGTTTGCTTTAGGATTATCCTTAGAAAGTGGTCAAAATCAAAATTATTTTAAAATTTAATTAAATTAAATTGCCCTCTTTAAATACCTTATTTAACATCTTTAACAAATTAAAACGAAAATAATATTATTTAAAATTGTTTTCAAATAAGGTTAAGGAATGACACTGTACTTTCTTTAGAAAGAGAATTAGTTACAATCACTTATTTCCGGGAATTTACATTTTAAGTTTTATATTTTTCTAAAATGTAGTAAAATCAACATAATCCTTACAGAATTTTAATAAACATTTAATTAATATAGTTTATCATAGAAAAATATATATCTTTAATGTTTTCCTAAAATGTTTAAAACCAGTTCTAAAATGTTCCAAAAACTAAATGGAAGTAACTACAGTCGTTTATTTAAATTAAAACTATGAATTGAAATTGATAGCTTTTAACAATATTAAGTTAAAAACACAAGTGCATTTTTTTTAAAGTAATTGTAAGAGATAATAATAATATTTAAAAAATATATTTCCCTTTTCACTCCTTCGATTGTCTACTGTTAAACATTTTTGCCTAGCACCCATTTCAATCATCTACAAACATGGCCCATCTTTCGTCTCTATCTCTTTTCATCTCTTTCCATCTCCTTCTTTCTCTCTCTCTCTTCTTCATATCCATTTCTCTATCTCTGTCTCTCTTGATTACTTTGATTCCTTTGTAGTCGCTTCAACCTGGCCTGGCTCTCAGTTACCTGTGTGCTCCATTAACCTGACATTTGCATTTCAGTCATTTTGCAGGGCATTCAATTGAAATGTTCCCATTAATTTTACAAACAGTCGACAGAAGTGGGCGGTTTTAGGGTGGGGTAATTGCAGGTTAGTTTAATTGATTCTTCAATATTCATGAATGGCAACAGTTTAAAAGAAGGACAGGTGTAACCATAATTGAAAGGTGGAGAAAGCACTTTATTGAATTTTAACGAGTTTATTAGGCGCTTTGAAAATATATTGAATATTTAAATGAAAGATTATTTCTAATAGGATTATAAAGGGAAAAAAGGAATAAAAAAATCAAAAAAAATTAAGACCGCCCGAACAGGGACTTGAACCCTGGACCCTTGGATTAAAAGTCCAATGCTCTACCGACTGAGCTATCCGGGCATGTGATTGTCTACAGATTTAAAGGCATTTTTAAATAAGAACCCGCCCAAAAGTATGCCAAGGAAATGGGAGGGTGATAAAAATTACTTTTTATGGCTGTATATTATTTTTGAAACAAAATCAAAATTTATTTGATGATTAAGACCTCCCAAACATTTTGTCACTTGGCGAAATATAAAATTCTCTTTTATTTAGTTTATATTTCAAAGTGTGGGCTTTCTTGAGATACTTGTTATGATGTTCTATATTTAAAATATTCAAGCAATAATGATGTGTACTATATTTTTGTGTACATTTTGTTGTTTTTAATACATTTAATAATGAATTGAATTTTTGTGGGCTAACAAAATACAGAGATTTCTTTTATTTATGCCACAAAAATGGTTACAAATAAAGTGTGGGTGGGAAGTTTAAAGATTTTTAAAATAGTAATTACCACCTCACCTCCGAAAATAGAGAAATAAAATCCCTTTTCATGGCTTTACTAACCCCAGTCCTAGGAATTCACCTGTTAATGGAAATTACTTGCTATCGAAGCATCGCTTCCGCCTTCTAAGCTCTGCCTCAGTGTGAAGTGTGTGTCTCATATTTATACTTATATGAGTGTGTGTGTGTAGGTATATGTATGTGTGACTGTAAGCATCAGCTAATCTTCCAGTTTCCAGTTGGCTTGGCTTAAAGGGCATCGTGCGCACAGAGAAAGCAAATGCGAAACGCGTATGTAAGTTACTATTTGATTTCCCCCTTTTAACTATTCGTACTTGCCACGCCCACAGCCAGCGGCAATGGCCTTGAACTTAAGCCCAGCCTTTAGACCAAGGTCGATGGAGTTCTTAGCAGCGGCAACCGCAGCGGCAGAGCCTACTAACCCCACGAAACTGATGAATGTGTCTAGTTTTGGCCAAAAAAATAAAAGAGACTTTTGAACAAAAATTCTACAAACGAAAAGGAACTAAGTCCCCCTGTACCGCCCCTTCTTTTTGCACTTTATATTATTAGATGGGTCGATTTTTGGGGGTGGGATAATTTAGCAAAATATATAAATTCCAGTTTTATTTTCAGGCAACAAGTTGAAATCTTTAAAATATATATTAAGCCATAAGTCCTTGTTCCTCCTTCAACAAAATCGACCCAATCTTCTCCAGCACACCCAGGCACACACACACACACACACACACACACTTTACTGATACTCTTTCCGCACCCTCATTCCCCCTCCCTCTTCCACCCGTTTTAAGTTGTTCTGTTTGCTGTGTGTTTTGTGTTTTGAGTTTTGCGTTTTGTGTGTGCATATAAAGTATCGACAGAATCCAATTGCAGAACGATGTAGCGCCCTGTCAGGCATACCCAGCACACCGATCTCTAGCAACGCTCCCTCCCTGGCGCTGCCTGGGAACCTGCCCTACGAGCTGGATATGCCCCAGCCTCTAGTTGACCGCCGGCCATCCGTCTCCCTGATGCGATGGAACAGCAATGGCAGCAGCGGACCGGGTACGGAGGCCACCAACAGTGCCGGCAATAGCCAGATACGCCTGCAGCAGCAGCTAGAGCAGCAGCAGCAACTACAGCAACAGCTACAGCATCATTACATGGCAACAGCAACTGCAGCAGCAGCAGCAACAACAGCAACGAGACTGGGGTACGCTGATGCAACGGTGGCCACGGCAACAACCACATTGCTAGCGGCCGCGGCTGCAGCCACGCGGCAAGGTTTGAGTCCTGACACACACACAACCAGTTCCCTGAGTCCTCTGATATAGTATCTGAAAATCCATTGGAATCTGAATCGATCTGATGCGTTCTCAACTATAGTTGTTGTTGTTGCTGCCCAAAAGAAAAGAAAACTATCAAAACTAATGTCATAATGCCAGCCAGCTCACACGAAACCTAAATAAGCAGGGCTGCCCACACAGAGCACCCGAGGGGCCCAAGCAAGCTTCGTTTGCTAGCCGAATGTCTTGGGCCTCTCGAGGTTTTTCTATGTGCAGCTCTGTCTATAAGAAACCCACACTGAAGCACTCAAAAACCCACAACCTAATTCCCAAATTCCAAGTTTCCAAGTTCCAAAATCCCCCTAAAAATATTTCTAATCCCACTCAAAGTCTCCTCCCTTCTAATGTTGCACGTGTTGTATGTAGCTAACCTCTAAGGATTACCTTCTCTTGCTGCAAGTTCTGTCTTGTTTAAGTGTTTCTATATCCTTTTTCGTTCCTGATTGTTGGTGATACTACAAAACACATAATATATTACCAAAAATACTGAAAGCTAGACATGTTCTCGGAGACGCTTGAAGTGTAGAAAGCTTTGCTCTTGCTTTCAGTATTTTGCTGCCAGCTTCTGGGGAATCAAAAGCACTAAAAAAATAAGGAGTTTCAGAATATACTTACCTGTTGAACTCCAGTAATCTAGCTTTTATGCTCACCAAGGATCTTAAGCTGCTGCTTTTGACAGCTTTTCGAAATGACTTTAAGGATCATCATTATATTCTTAAAATGTGTTGTAATTGTTCATCGACAGCTTGCCAAAAGCTAATACGTTTTGATGTAATTTTAATAACTAAATGGCTAACTGTAACTATGGTTTGTGTTTTAAGGGAGTTTTTAATGTGTTCTTACTGTAATTTACAGTGAACTTTGGTGGCGGCGCCAACTCGGGAGTCACACGGGCGGAGCCCATCTCGCTGGCCACCTTGGATCGCGATTGCTTCATCATTCCCGTGCATAGTGTGGATCGATTCCTGCCAGCTGGCATACCGGTGAATATATATATTTTTAATAAGCTAAAATTGTGAAAAATCTAAATAAAATAAATTTATATTTAAATTATCTATACAAATGTAATTTAAGAAATATTTAAATTTAACGAACTTTCAGCTGCCCGCTTTGAATGCCGAGGGCAAGGCCATGAGCCCTCTGAGCGTGCTGGAAGTTTCCGATCCCAAGCTCTGCATTCTGGTGCATTTGATGAGTCCTTTGGAGGCCATTGATCCGGTAATGGAGTCGCCACTCTCCCATCCGCTGCTCAAGCAGCGCTCCATAGCCGCCGAACTGCTGACAGAAGTGCAACAGGCCAACACAGCTGTGGGCGGGATGCTGTTGGCCAACATGGAAAAGAGTTGTGAGTAATATTTAAAGAATAGTCTAAGATTTAATATATAATAATAATAATTTTTATTAATTATTATTATATACCTCAATTTATCTAAAGTAAAGCTAAATAGTTACTTTACTTCTTTGCATTATAATTTCCCTATATCCTCTTAGTTTTATTTATATTATTATCCTTTAACTAAATTTAATTTTCTCTACCCTCCAGCCGAGTTCCCCTTCATCTCGTATTACCTGATCAACACCCTACAAACGGATCCTTCCAACTTCTATGCCGGCCTGCGCGTCTCCTCGCTGTCCAAGTTCGAGCCAAAGGCCCTCAAGTGAGTGCTCCTCGAACTCAGGCCATTCGGGCCCAGGGAAATTGCCTATTTATTTTCCAATCTCGATGCCGATTCATTCGCAGATACACTGCCGCCCACACCTTGGACCTATACAGCGAGGTGGCTGCCATTTGCCGGCCGCCTTTGGTGCTGCCCTCCAATGAGGCCGGCAGCTTCAAGAAGACGCAGACCGCGGCCACTGGCTACATTATTAGTGTGTTCAAGGTGGGTTTTCTACCACCCCTTCCAAACCCAAGAAGCAGAGGAGTTGTAGGGAAAAGTTTCATGAAAAATTCAATTTTAATTTCGCAGGTTTTCGAGGGCGACGATGGCGAACGATTCGAAAAGAATTGGCTCTACTGGACAGGCGCCCGGATGCTGTACAGGTATGTTTGAAACGGAGAGAGCCTTTGAAATGGCACTCGTTACTCATCCTGATTACTGCTCCATTGTTCTTCCCCCTCAAACTTTTACAGGTACTTGCCACGTGCCGCGGGCCTGAGGCGCATCGCCCTGCACAAGAGCACCTCGCAGAAGGGCGACAAGATGTACCTGCTGGTGTGCGAGTGTGCCGACCTGCTCAAGGACATCTCGCTGGCCGCCTTCCTGATCCCGGCGCTGCGGGCCCGACTCTGCGGCTATACGGGACTCTATCGACCAATACAGGCCTTCTAGTCGCGCGACTTTCTACTCGTATCTACTCCTGTACATAGCCAAGGCTACAACTAAAGCGAAACCAACACTGCAAAGAAACTGCACCTGTTACACGTGATTTTCTGATTCGATATATATATATATTTACTAGGCCTAGGCAGACTTTTAAACTCTCTATCAGCAGCTCAGAGGATGAAGGCTTAAGGGGGGGCATCCTTGACTAGGAGACATCTAAGATAAGTAGTAGACAATATACTCAAGGTAAATCCATATCGTGTGCTAGATTTTTCTATAAATCATATAGAGGCAAGCCCAATAAATAGGACCATATCTAGTGTGAGTTGGTAGTGAAGAGGAACTTCCATTTTAGCCACAGCCAATAGATATTCGGTGGGAACTATATAGTATATATATATATGCCCATCATAGATATAATCCCAGCAGTTAATCACAAATATAAACGCTGAATTTTGCGCTGAAATGTAGGCTATGAAATCTGCAAACCAAAGTCAATTCTTAGCATAAAAAATAGAAAGAAAAACGAGTTTGTTAGGGGGACAAGTGTAAAATTGAATGGGTTTCATCGATGGGATGGGGGATCTAGCTAACTTTGCCCAAATCTAACAGAAATCTGCCAAAGACATAAGCAAAACTAATCTTAACTAATGAGTAAATCAAACAATTATTTAAAATTTCAATTTTTTTAATCTAAGCGTACGCCCAATAGGAAATTTTCAATACAAAATTTAACAATTTAATGCTTGGCCATAGCTTGCCACACAAAAACACTCTAGAAAATATACCCTATATAATAGCATATACATATATGTATACTTGTAACAATTGTAAATAGTTCGGTGAACTTTTAAGGCACTTACTTCACACGCAAACACACAATAGTGTATTTGAGGAACATATATAATTTTGCACAATACCAACAGAATCAAAAAGTGCTGTGATAATTAAACTAAAGCAGAGCAGAGCCACAAAAAAAAAAAACGCATACATAAATCAAAAGGATATGTAAGGACTAACACAAGCCACAATAGAACTTCATTTCATCCGGTCAAAGACAATATCATTTTTAGCTGCCATGGAAAATTCAAAAGTCTCTGGCTTATTCTTTCCCAAATTAATACGATTATTTAGATATTTAGACCTTAATAAAAGCAACAACTTGCAAAGCTTATGCTAAGCCTAAAGCCTAAGGAAATAATTATAATAATTACCGAATGTTTGAAATTTTTTGTCACAACTTAAGCTACAAGCTGGAAGCCAATAACAATAAAGCGTAAAATTAAAATAAACTTAAGTTATTGTTAAGGGTTTCAGCCAAATATATTGTCGAACAAGTATCCGCCCCGTGGACTCTTGATGTCCGCCTGCCGTTTTCTGTGCAGGATATAAGCCTCGTACTTTTGGATCTGGAGAGGACCCCAGTTGGCTGTGGGCTGCAGGGCCATTCGGAATTTCTAAAGAAAGAAAAAATAATTAATTTGTTCAAATTAAAGTCTTGGTTAAAATATATTCTTTACTCACACTGCTAAAGGTCTTTCCCGGCTGCTGGAAAATCGTGTACAAAGCCCAGAAGGGCAACTGCAGCACTCCCACTCCCCATATAATCCAACCCGCCATATAATAAGCCGGCGGATACTCCACTTTGCGGTAGGTCAAGGGCTCATAACTACACAGCATATAGACCAAGACTAGGAACATCAGTCCCGGCGCCACAATGGCCCAGCAAATGCGCCAGTAAAAACTGGTCTTCACATTCAGCATAAACTCAATGTCGCTGCAAATGCGCTTTACTCCGTAAATCCATCCCACAGCCAGCAGTTCCGCAATGGCCAGGACCAAGGCAATGAAGGTGCAGCCATAAAAATCCACCAGATTCAGCACAAATTGTCCGCCCGGCGTCATGTACACCAAGCCGCAGAGGAAACCAATCACAGAGGCACTTACGGCCAAAAGCCAGTGGGGTAAGTGGGTGAAGCGATCCTTGACCACGTTGATCACACAGCTGGCCATGCCAATGTTCGAACCAATACCTAAAACCAACAGCATGAAGAAGAACAGCACGGCAAACAATTGCGGCAAAAAGTTGAACTTGGCTATGGCCTCCGGATAGGAGATGAACGCCAGACCAGCTCCTCCCTTCACAACCTTGGAGATGTCCTCGGTATTGGTCTCATGGGCTAGGTTGCCCAGAATGCCAAAGATAATGCAGCCAGCCAGGATAGAGGTCAGTGAATCAATGGTGGTGATGATGATCACATCTCTGGAAAGGAATATGTTTGAGTTATCTTTCAATTTGTAGAATGTAAAAGCCTTACTTGTGCACATTTTTGTGAAAATCATTGAAGGAGGCATACATGACCAGGGTGCCAAAGCAAATGGCCAGCGAAAAAAACATCTGGGTGATGGCCGCATACCATACATGAGGATTGAGCAGCTGTGACCACTGGGGCTCCAGGAAGTAGACTATTCCCCGCCAGGCTCCTGGCAAAGTGACCGCCCTGATCAGCAAGATGAACATAATCACATAAGGAAACAGGGCCAAGAAATAGGAGGCTTTGCCCGAACTGCGAATGCCTTTGCACAAAACCGTGCCAATGATGAGCCAGGTGGCCATGAGACACAATACCAGATCCCAGTTGGGCGTGCCCAAGCCAGTATCATCCAAGTTATCCGGTTCCCGAAGTACAGTTCGTCTGCAGGAAATGGGAGGTTATTTAGGGTTCTTTAAGAGTTATTACAAATACCCACGTAAAATACAGCTCTGCGGAGGAAACACCTTGCTCAATCGATGTATTATTTTCTGCAGTTGCTCCTGTGGCCACACAATTGCTGCCCCATTCCACCAGGCAGTAAGTCCAGGGTAGGATCTCATCGAAACTGGCCACCAAATACCTTATGGTCAAGGCCATAATGCAGGCATAGTAGGTAGTGGCCAAGGCGGTGGAGTACACCTGACCATAGGCAATACCTGAAAAGGTAATCGAACGATTTCATTTACTTAGTGAAAGGATCTTTCCTGAGGGACACTCACCCTTCATTATAGGTGCCATATCAAAAGCTTTGATGCAACCACGACTCGAAAACTGGCCTATAATCACCTCTAGGTAGTAAACGGGTCTGCCAATCAGAAGGAGCACTATCACATAGGGAATTAAGAAGGCACCACCACCATTCTCCAAAGCTATAAAGGGAAATCTCCAGACATTCCCAAGGCCAACAGAGAGGGCGATGCAGGAGAACAGAAACTCCACACCCTTGCTCCACTGATCTCGCTGGCCTGAGGACTCTGAAGGCACTTCCTCCTGGATGACATCGCAGTTTATGGTGAGCTAAGAGATCACAGGAATATATAAAGTCTGCCGAATAGTTGCGCCCCAAGTACACTCACTTCCTCTCCTTGGGTTGTGTATATTACGGCACTGATGCCAGTACAAACTTCCGGTTGATTTGTCCTAGATCCTTGGTTCTCAGTCATGCTTCGACACAGCTTCTGATACTCTGCATCATCCATAGTGTTGGATTAGGGCTGATTTAAGGCATAAAACAGTGAATGGAATGCAAGCAGTGGACAACACAAAAGCTTAGGTGCAACTAGATGAGTAAGCAAGAACGGGAAACAGGAAAGGAAGCTTCCATTTTGGGCAAGGATTAGGCTAGCCACACATCCATTTTTTATAATTTTTAGCTTTTTATAAATATACAAGTCCCCTTTCCAGCTGGTTATGGATTAATTGAGACCTTTGTTTGTCTTTTAGACAATTAATTATGTGCGAGATTCCTCTGAAGCTATCTCGTGCAATTACAATTTATGGGCTTTGCTTTGGTTTACTGATAGGGAAAATGGCAATCAAATTGGAGGGTTCAACGCGACCATAAATCACCCCAACTGAAATGTTTACCATGTTGTCCAGATCTAGAACCAAGGTGTGTCCAAATACTCTCAAGAAACTGAAGAATCGTCTGAAGAATCACTTCTTATCTGGCTAGAGAGTGTTAACGGGCCAAAGGTAAACATAATTCACCAAATCACATTTAAAAATAACTGACAGATGGGGAAAGTTTGTTGGTCTTAGCTTAGCCGAAGATTTGGGTTGTTTCTGTTATCAAAAATATGCTGGCTTTAGGCCGTAAACTCGTGGAGGCAATTTATCCTTTTTATCTCTGTCAAACATCCACTATTTAATCTGCAACCAGCACCACACACAAGACACTTTTTCAACTTACGCCAAGGCGGTCTAAATTTTGAAGCAGTACCGTTCCTAGCAAGCTGCCGAACGCGACTAACTGACATTCTGTAGATTATCTACTGGGAAACCTACGGAGTCCGAAGAAGCAGCAGATACCGACGAGCGTCGATTTGTCTGGGAATTATATTATATTTATATGATTGGATCTTGGTTCTATCATAAATCTTGAAGATTTAGAAATAAAATATATATTTAATATCAAATTTAATTAAATTCATCTCAATACTTGAGTAGAAATTGCCGCAACCCTGCCCTCAAAAATGCGAATCACTTTAATTAATTGTCCCAGATTCAAATTCCTGAACCAATCATAGCCAGTCGGCTAATCCGATTCATCATGCCGCCACCATGCCGACTTGACCAGATTCTATAAAGATCTCTTTACTGAAAATCAACGAAAGAGCCAAAAGGTACAATAAATTTGTGTGGCAAAATCCGTGGGAAATATTAGAGGACTCAGCGGGTCATAGGATGTGCAGTGGTAAGTAAAGTTAACGCCGGAAGTCTACAGCTCTGGCTGAGGAAGTGGATACTGCTGAGCCCTCACAGCTTCCATGCCTTGGATGTTGGCAACCATAACATGAGCATGATTGCTCCTATAAAAAATGTTAAAGAAAATTTATAATAATTATCAGCTAAAAGAAAGTAAATCTACTTACAAACACTGCTTCAGCTGCGCAATTTCCACCTGCATGGAGGCCATACGCTCCTCATGCTTGGTGCGCACTAAAGAAGTACGCAATGCCTGCTCCTCCAGCAGCCTGATTGTGTTCTGCTGCTTGGCCACAGCATCCAGTTTCTCCTTCAGAGCTTTTAATACCTGGTCGAGCTGATCATTCTTGGCGTCAAGTTCGTTGTTTAGCTGCGCGGAAATTGAGAGTTAGAGAGTAACAGGACACACAGGACTAAATCTCTACCAGGTTCATCTGCGTATTTTTCTGGCTCAGTTCTTGGAAGAGGTTTCCATATTGCTCCTTAAATTTCAACTCGCTCTGCTGCAATTTTATGATCGTTTTAGAACGCGCAGCCAGCAAATCATGGTTGGCTTGGTGTTGTTCCAGCAAACTGGCCAGCTCCTTGTCGACATTTGCTTTTACCTGGTTGAGCAGCTCCCTGGTAAAGAGAGAAGATTTTAAATATAATTTACTCTACTGATCAGTTTCACTCACATTATATCGATCACTTTGTCTGTGTTTTTATTTACTCGTTCGGTGGCATCCTTCAGTTTAATATCCGTTTCCTGGAGATATGAATAGATTTGGTAAAACCTGCAAAATCAGAAATATCACAAATGAGTGTGTTTTTTTAGTAGAAAATTCTTTAAACTTGCTTTGTCTTAGCGAACAAAGCCTCAGCTTCTAGACGCTGCCTGGAAGAGTCCTTTTTCTGGCTCTCGGCCAGCTCTAGAACCAGCTTGGAGGTCAGTTCCTCGCTAAGTAACAGCTTTCTCTGCAGTTCACTGATGGTTTCATCCCGTTGAGCCAGCTTATCGATTATTAGCTTCTCGTTGTTCTTAGCAACTGAATCGACAGCTAGAACGAAGGATAATAATGAATTCAGAATAATATTAACTTATATCTTATAGAAACCTACAGGAATCCTTCACCAACTCGCGATTATCATTGCACACCATAACCACAAACTTGTAGGTGCCTGGAAGCTTCCGACCCTGTTCAGCGAATTTGCGGATCTTGTTCATAAAAGTGTTTTGTATAATCTCAAGATTCTTTTGATCCGCCTCGAGGGCCTGCATCCAGTTCTGTCTGGCTTGTAATGTAAAGGCTGCAATAAGAAAGCCTGGCAATGCTTGACTCGAAACCACCAGAAACTGTCACTCACTTGGGCATGTCCGCCACGGTGTGCACGACGATGAGCGGGCTCGTATTTCCGAGACGGTTTCCGCCTCGGATTTGCGCTGTCGATCCTTTGGTAGAGGGGGCAAAGAGGTGAGCTGCGACCGGTTGTCTCTAAAGCGGGGTATCCGCGACCTCAATACAGAGGCTTTGTTGCCTGCGATAAAGTTTGATAAAGACTTGGTATTGAAATCAGTTGAAGATCCTAACTTACCACGAACGGTTTCAGTCATTTTGGCTTCTAGAAAATTTTAACTTAAATTTTATATTGTTTGCTACATAAGTTGTTTTAATTATGTTTTCTAAACAAATAAATTTCAAAAGATATTTCAGAACAATTGTATTGTGTTTTTACAGTACAAAAAAATGTTCTTACGAGTTTCGAGTTTAGAAATAAACTATAAAATAACTTAAAATTATTATTAGAAGAGACAGGCCCACTGTGTCCAATAGACTTTGTTTAGAATAGATGTGTGTAAACAAAAAAGCTGATAAAAGCCAGAGAAAGATATCAACAAATAAGAATTTTAGGATGATAAGCAAGCCGTGCTAAATCACCATAGAATATAAACATAGAGCACCGATGGGTCTCTCTGTCTGCCTCTCTTATATATTGCTCTTTATAATCTACCCTACCCATGCACATTGTCTGTCCAATAATCGCCTCTGGGGGAAATTTGCATTCAGTTGTGTTTCGAGTGCGTTACGAGTAGGTTCTCCAGTTCACATATAATATCCCGGTCCCATAGATCAACCCGTGAGGTTTCAACCTAAACACCAAGGAGGCTACAAATCATCTGAAAAATTAAAAAACTCAGATAGTTAATAGTTTTAAAATTTAAAACCCTAAACTACATATTAAAATGTATTTAAGTGAATTTGTAACCACCCCTCTTTAGTGCAGTGTTCCTCCAAAGGGAAGCCCTAAAAGTGCCTTTAATGATGATATATCTATGGGAATGGGTTACGGTCTCTCGCCTCTGGGGGGGGGACATCAGTTATTTTGCTCACTTTTGCTTGGTAGACAGACACGGCGTGTTTTTCAATTGAATTTAATCAGTGACGTAGCGGGTCTATATAGTGCACATATATACGCTATGCGATCCGTTTTTCAAGGGGTAAACAACCACGCTGCCTAGTTCAAGTTCCGCATGGCAATTGCGCTTAGTTCTCAAAGGAAATGGAAAGTGTATATATACTATATCGGATATATATCGGGTAAAGCTATCTCTAGTTGAAGGCTGCTGTCACGAATTCAAGTTCAATTCAGAACTGGGACTAGGCCCCTGCCATTGACATTCGATACGAATGCGGATAATTAAGACAATTAAGTGCATTGAAAATTGTGGCCAGAAATAGTTTTACACAACCACGTGGATGGATAGATTTATATTACAATTAAATTTCATAATTTTCTAGTATTTCGCAATGCGAGCTTTGGCGTGTTTATGGTGGCTACTGGCTCTGGCGAGGATTTTACCCAGGATCGAGGCCTGTAATCGGGTTCCTTTGGGAGCCACTGCAGCCAAGTCACCGGTAGATGACAACTATGTGCTGTCCGTGGCTGGAAATGCCCAGAGTTATATTCCCGGTCAGAAATATAATGGTGAGTGGTTTTGTTTTAGAAAATAAATTATTTTTCCTATAATTTTTCCGGCCTTTAGTATCCCTCAGTGCCTTTTCTGGTCAAACTTTTGTGAGCTTCATGCTGTCGATCGATCTGGAGACGGGCGAGAGTGAAGGTGATCCCAATGCCTTGGGCACCTGGGAGATAAGCGATCTGGCCGAGACCCGCTTCAGTCCCCGCTGCGCCAATCTAGTGGAGAACACCAACACGAATGTCAAGACCCGCGTGGACGTTGTCTGGGTGGCTCCGTCCAGTCCAGGACAAGGCTGTATTCTGCTAAGGGCTACGGTGATGCAGCATCGTGATGTGTGGTTCATGGACGATGGCTTCCTCACCAAGCGCATGTGCGAGGAGGAGGCGGATGATATTGACACTCAGCCCAGCATTGTGGATCCCTGTTGTGCCTGCGATGAGGCCAAGTATGAGGTGGGTTCTCTACCAAAAGTTAACTTCCAGTTAAAAATTCAAGCTATATATACATGTATTCCAGCTTACCTTCGAAGGAAAATGGTCACGGCACACACATCCCAAGGACTTTCCCGCAAATAGCTGGCGCACCCGCTTCAGTGACATCATTGGAGCCTCCCACACCATCGATTATAGGTTCTGGCAGTATGGAGAGCTGGCCAGCGAGGGTCTGCGCGAGGTGGCGGAACACGGTTCCACGCGCACACTGGAGAGCGAGCTGAAGGATCAGAGCGAGCACATTCGCACAATTATCAAAGCCAGAGGCATCACCTATCCGAATGTCACGGGCAAAACATTTGCCGTGTTTCGTGTGGACTCCAATCATCATTTGATATCCTTGGTCTCCATGGTAGATCCTTCGCCGGATTGGATTGTGGGTGTCTCTGGCTTAGAGCTGTGCCTCCCCAACTGCTCGTGGGTGGAAAACAAGGTACACAATCTCTATCCTTGGGATGCAGGCACGGACAGTGGTCCTTCTTATATGGTAAGTGCTTTGATTTATTCTGAAACCAGTTAATATCCATGATTTTACAGTCAGCAGATCAGCCGCAAGTGCCGCCGGATGTGGTGCGACGTATCAAGTCCAATTTTCCCAATGATCCTCGCTCTCCCTTCTACGACCCCACTGGCGCAGACATGAAGCCATTGGCCACCTTGCACATCAATCGGCGAAGGCTCTACGAGAAGAACTGCGAGTCCACCGACTGTGAGTCTTAAAAACCACATCCTAGATCAAAATAAATCCTCAAAAACCTTCCCACAGCTGAGCAGTTGCCCCCAGAGTGTGCCACACACTCCTGGTCAAGGTGGGATGAGTGCACCACCAAGTGCGGACCCGGCAAGCAGTACAGAATCCGCGAGTTTAAGAATCCTGCACTAGCCTCGGTGAGAAATAGACTTAAATATCAAGAATCTATCCTGCAATAAATCCCCATCCCTTCAACAGCGTCATCGCTGCAACAATGCTCTCCGCGAGGAAAAGAACTGCGTGGGGCGCCAGTGCGCTAGCTTCAATGAGGAGGCAGCCGAGGCAGCTGAGCAGGAGGCGGGTGGTGCTCCTCCACCCAGCAACGATGATCCCCAGTGCGGCCTGTCCGAGTGGACCGAGTGGTCCTCCTGCACGGTGACCTGCGGCACTGGAGAGATGACCCGCTCACGTCATTACCTCAACAAGAAGGCCAAAAAGAAGTGCCAAAAGGCCAGCAGGGCGCGTCTGCACGAGACCAGGATCTGCGAGGCCATGGAGTGCGGCGGTGACATTGAGAATGGCGGCGCTGATGGGGGAGAACCTAACGAAGAGCAGGAAGGCGGCGGCGATGAAGGGGATGCCGAGAAGCGTTCAATCTTCCGGAACTTTGAGAGCTACAGTCAGCATCGAGAGGACTTTATACCTCCCGTTTGCGGGGTCACGCCCTGGTCGGACTTTTCGCCGTGCCTGGGTCCATGCGGTGGTCATGGCCGGCGGCAGCGCATCCGTAAGGTCTGGAACAACAACCAGGTATATGGTGTGAGTGACCCCAATGACGATGGACAAGATCCCTGCCGGCACATCAAGCTGCACGAGGAGGTAAACTGCACGAATCCCAGCTGCGACACCATAGTGCCCAGCTTCTGCTATGATGAGCTGGTGGATAGCCCCTGCCGGGACAGTGATGTGGCCAACTACTGGTACTACGACCACGTGAGTGACCAGTGTGGCATTTACTGGTCAGATCGCTGCGACGTCAATCGCAACAAGTTCAAGTCGAAGGAGGAGTGCGAGGAAACATGTCGCCTGCCGCGCCACAAGCAAGAGCTCCAGCACGATGGCATGCCGCCCGTGGACTGTATGGTGTCCGAGTGGGTGGCCTATAGTTGCAATGCCACCTGCGGCGATGGCTACCAGCTGCGCACCCGTCGGGTGCTCCGAACGCCCAAGTACGGCGGCAAGCCCTGCCCCAAGCACTTGGTGCGTCTGGATCGCTGCTACCAGCGTTGCGAGGATATGTACTCTATAAGTGGACGTGGCTTCGGCGAGCGCCGACATGTGGTAAAGGCTCCTCCGCAGCCTGAGCCCCGGGACGAGTGTCGCTATTCGGAGTGGTCTGCCTGGACGCCCTGCACTGCCAGCTGCGGCGACAATGCGGTGCGCCAGCGCACTCGCACCTTGCTCAATACCGATCTGAGCTACAAGTGCAAGGACCGTGTTCGCATGGAGAAGTGCGTGATGATGCCCTGCCTGCTCAGCAGCAACGACGAGCCGGAGAGGTGGTGACTCGAGGGAATCTTCAGCTGCAAAAAGTATTAATTGTACATCACATATGTAATCACAATCGTACGAATAATCAAATATATGAAAAGCTATAGATTACCCAAAGGTTGGGCCAGGATCTCTAGGATCTCTCAAGGGAAAGGAAAATTAAAAGGGATTTAAGGATAATCCAGTATAAAATAAGTTCTATATTAGTTCCAAGAATTTTCAGCATCGCAAAGATTTATATCATTTTATTTCCGTCTCACATCAGTTTGTCATTGACCCAGATCCATTCCGAGTGATTTTTGCCCGGTTCCAAGTTCAAAGAACCCGAGCTCCGAGCATCTCCAATTGAAGAGCGTACCACGAGAGGCAACTATTCCTAATTGAAGGCAACTCAATCAAGAGATGGCACAGGCGCCGTCTAAGGGGATAATTGATAAATTGAGGCGCTCATCGATTAATGGCAACGACTCACCCAATTTTGGCACTCAGTTGTCGTTGAGCTGCGGACCCAAGCGGATCGTCAAGATCGTGTAAATATGATTCGCCTTTTTGTGCTCCTCATTCCCTTGGCCTTGGAAGTGAGAGGAGCCTGCAATCGCGTGCCACAGGCAGCCACCGGCGAGAGATCCGCTGTAGATGATAACTTTAAGATCCTGATAGACGGCAATCCCGCCACCTACGTGCCAGAGCATCAGTACAATGGTAAGAGTGGCGTCAGGTACACATCCAATTTTCTTTTATAATATATATTCTCCCCTCCAGTATCCCTATCCTGTCCCATCAACCTAAAGTTTGTGAGCTTCACATTGGTCATCGAGGCGGAGGATCAGTCAGCAGTTCTCAGTGGCCTGGATATGACTGGTCACTTTGAGCTGCTGGGCACCACGGACACCAGATTCAGTGTGGGCTGCGAGAACATGGTGGAGAGCACCAACACAAACGCCAAGACCCACATAGAGGTCTCTTGGATAGCACCACGTCATCCCGACAGCGGCTGTGTCTTGATCAAGGCGGGTGTGGTCCAGCATCGCGATGTTTGGTTTCTGGACGATGGCTTCCTGACCAAGCGCATATGTCCCGAGGAAATTGATGAGCTGAATAGCTTGACTCCGCCTTTGGAAAATTGCTGTGCCTGCGATGAAGCCAAATATGAGGTAGAACCTAAGCACAAATCTTGGAAAACTTTATTTCTTATCTCTCCTTCCCAGATCGTTTTGGAGCGCAAGTGGGCCAGGAATACGCATGCCAAGGACTTTCCTGCCGAAGCCTGGCGCACTCGCTTGGGTGAGGTGATTGGGGCTTCGCACAGTCACAGCTACCGCTACTGGGCTTATGGAGGCAGAGCTAGCCAGGGCATGAAGGAGATGGCCGAGCATGGTGCCACTCGCACCCTGGAGAATGAGATAAGAGAAAACACTCAGGTGGGCTTATCGCAGTGACTCGCTCAAGTTTTAATCCATGTTTCCCTAATAGAATGGCGATGTGAGGACCATAATCAAGGCTCCGGGCATTGCTCACCGCCTGAATGCTTATGGCACCACCCTGGCCAATGCTCGTGTGGATCCTATGCATCACCAAATCTCGCTGGCTGCCAAGATTGATCCCTCACCCGACTGGATACTGGGCGTGGCTGGACTAGAGCTGTGTCTGAGCAACTGCACGTGGCTGGAGCGGAAGGTGTTGAATTTGTATCCCTGGGACATTGGCACCGACTCGGGGCCTTCCTATATGGTGAGTAGCAGATTAGGTTTCCAGAAAGTCTTGGCTTTAGGTGTTTCCTTTGCAGTCCGCCGATCAACCTCAGATTCCTCCTGATGTGGTACGCCGCATTACATCATCTTACCCCAGCGATTATCGTTCGCCATTTTACGATGACACTGGCGCTTCCATGAAGCCTCTGGCTACGCTTTACTTGACCAGGAAGAAGCTCTACATCCGGGAGTGCGAAGAGGGTTAGTAAGCTGGGCCTTAGTATTCACATTTCACATCCCTGGTCATCTTTATAGCTATCCAGGAGGGACCCCTAGAATGCGCTGTGCATCCCTGGAACGAATGGACCAACTGCAGCACGCGTTGCGGTCAAGGTTACTCCCAGCGCTTTCGTAGCTATAAAAATCCCCAACTGGCAGCCAACTATAACTGCCAACAGCGCTTGGATGAGATGCGTCAGTGCCAGGGTACCCAATGCGGACCAGCAGAGGAGGAGTTCGAAGCTGGAGAGGCTGGCCAGGGCATCGAAAATTCCAACTCCATGGCAGAATGCCAGCTTAGCAACTGGAGTGAGTGGTCGCCCTGCTCCAAGACCTGCGGCAGGGGGTCATCCACACGCAGCCGGGATTACCACAATCCGCAGGCCAGGCAGCGGTGCTTGTCCGTAATGAGACTGCCAATGGAGGAGACCAGGGAGTGCATGGGTTCCGATTGTGGAGGAACCATACCTGACAATGGCGAACTGGACGCTCTACCCGAGCCAGGCTTGGATCAGGATGGTTACGAGGCTCAGCGGCCTGCTTGGAACAACAGGCAGGGAAACTCCTATACCGGATCAAGTGGAAACCAGGCCTGGAACAGAAAGGGTTTGAATAGTGACAGCAGCTTCAATAGATCACCCTACAATACAATGGATAGCTCACAGGACACTCCAAACTCTGCCTATGGCAAGGTAGAGAATCAGCAAAGACCAGCATATAATCTGGGAGATAGCAGAGGAGGAACCTATGACACCAATCGTGGTGTGCCTGGCTATCCTTCCCTGAATTCCTACAGCAACGATAAACTAGTGGGCAGCAGACCCGGTGGTTACAGTGATTACAACAACGAGTACACAACTCCCAGATTCCGGCCGGGATTTACCACACGCTCTCCATACGGGGGAAGGTATCCCAGTCAGCAGCAGGAACCTGAGGACTCTACCAGAGACACCGGAAACGGCAATGGCTACAATGTGGTGCAGGACTACTGCTTCGAGAAACCCTTTGCCTCCACCCGTCCCTGCCTGGCCAATCCGGTGGTGGTGAGCAACTACTGGTTCTACGACCACGAAGAGCACGAATGCAAGATCTTCACCACGGACAACTGTGATGAGAATAAGAACCGCTTCCGTTCGTTGATGGCCTGCGAGGGCACTTGTCTGCAGCCGCAGATGAACATGGAGCACTCTGAGAATGATGCCATGGATCTGTATGGAGGAGGAACTTATGGACAAACGGGAGAAGGATCTTATGGACAAACGGGCGGGAGATCATACGGCTCAGGTTCTTATGGGCAAGCAGGAAGTTCTTATGGACAAACAAGGGGTATATCTTACGGAGCACAAGCTAATTCTTATGGAGGTTCTTACGGACAAACAGGAGCTTCTTACGAGCAAGCAGGAAATTCTTACGGACAAACAGAAGGTTCTTATGGACAACAAGCAGGTTCTTACGGACAAACAGAAGGTTCTTATGGACAACAAGCAGGTTCTTACGGTCAAGTAGGAAGTTCTTATGGAAAAACAGATAGCTCTTACGGACAAACAGCAGGTTCTTACGGACAAGGGGGAACTGGGCCATTTGGAGATGCCGCTTACGAATCACAATTTAGCGAAGCAGCTGGTGACATCGGGGAACCCATGTCGCAGACCAGAAGCAGATATGATTCAACCAGACGTGGTCGTTATGGAGGTTGAATTAAGCCTTAAATAAAAAACAGCGTAAATGAATTAATGTTTTTTGTTTATTTAGAGACTTTCCCAGATAACACTCTCTTATTTGGTACTCCAAGAGAACTCCTCAGCTAAGTCTCCCTTAAGCAGCCACCAAGAGTGCGGATCACTGATTTTCCGGCTTTCCGGCAACGTCGCCTGATAACAGCTCCGTCGCACTCTATTTGTATCAGTGGGTCATTCTTATCGGGACTCAAAACACAAGCTTCCCAGCTGCTCTCTGCTCGGCTTTTAGCAAGCCATTTCTCGAGAGCCTCCGCTCAGTTTGCAATAGTCGCTCGCGCTGAAAGGTTTTATACGATTAAAGTGCTCCGTAAAAATGTGGCGTTTAAGCGCTGCTCCTCTCGTGGAGCTTCTTCTGCTGGCGCTGGCGTTCGGCCCAGTCAGCTGTCTGATCTGCACGCGTCGTCCGGCTAATACGGCCACGCCCAAGTCCCCGGTGGACGAGAATTATGTGATAAGCGTGTCGGGCAATCCGGAAACGTACATTCTCGGCCAGGAGTACAACGGTGAGAGCAAGTTCAATGGCCCTGCGCTTGAACTTCGCGAGAGAGAATGCCTAGCTTGGTGGGCCTATCAAGCAGAGTGTTCCAAGGCTTAGATTTCGCAATGTTTATTGTTTAGTAAACAAAAAACGCGGCTCGGCGGCGCTTATCTGGGCGGACCTTTGCGAATTGGTGTAAATTCAAGGTCGCCGATAAGGGCCGGCTCCGTTCGTTCTTACTCTTCTGGTTACTCAGACGGCTTCTCCTTCAGTTTCCCTTAATGCCTTCAATGGCCATCGCTACATCAGCTTTATCCTGGCGCTGGAGAACGAGAACGGCGACTTTAGCTACCAGGACGACTTGGGTCGCTTCGAGTTAAGTGACCTCATCGAGACTCGCTTCAGTCCCAACTGCATCAACATGGTGGAGAACACCAACACGAATCCCAAGACCCACATGCACCTGACCTGGATGGCGCCCAGTGAGCCGGGAAGTGGTTGCATCCTCATACGGGCCACGGTGCAGCAGCATCGCGATGTGTGGCACATGGATGATGGCGGACTCACACGACGCATTTGCGAGGAGGTCGTTGACGATGTGGAAAGCCAGCCCACAACACCCACGGTGGCTGCACCGTGCTGTGCCTGCGATGAGGCGCGCTACGAGGTGAGCAAGTCAGAGGTTAACCGAGGACCTAGTTACCTTTTCATTTCCCATTCCTGCAGCTGGTATTCGAGGGTGTCTGGTCAAGGAATCTGCATCCCAGGGACTTTCCTGCCCGTGGCTGGGAGACCCGCTTCTGTGAGTTGGTAGGAGCCGCCCACACCGCCGACTATCGCTTCTGGGAGGCCGGAGCCCTGGCCAGCGAGGGAATCAAGCAATATGCCGAGCACTGCAGCTCCCGACTTCTGGAGCGAGAGTTCAGCATTCATTTTCGGGTGATTCTAAAGCTGTCATCCTTGTAAATAAAACCTTGGTTTAATCGTTTATCTCCTGCAGGATGATAAGATACGTACTATTATCAAGGCCCGGGGTCCTTCCTTTCCCAACATGAGCAGCAAGAGTATGGCCTCGGTGCGAGTGGATCCGCTGCATCACATGGTGTCCTTTGCCTCCAAGATTGAGCCCTCGCCCGATTGGATTGTGGGCGTCTCGGGACTGGAGCTGTGCCTGCGCAACTGCACATGGATGGAGGAGAAGGTCATCAATCTATATCCCTGGGATGTGGGCACAGATGCGGGACCCAGCTACACTGTAAGTAATTTCTATCTATCTGTCTGCTAAGTAACCTAAAAGTCTTCCTTGGTAGTCTCCGGATCAGCCACAAGTTCCGCCGGATGTGATCAGACGCATGCGCTCTGACTTTCCCAACGATCCGCGTTCCCCTTTCTATGATGAATCCGGAGCTCCTATGAAACCCATGGCCATTCTGAGGGTGAAGCGCCAACGTATCTACGAAAGGAGATGTTCGGATGAGGACTGTAAGTGAGGTTACACTTAATAAATCATCACTAAATCCCATTTCTTTGCCAGCTAACAACGATCCGGAGCTACCGCGAGAGTGCCTCACCCATCCCTGGTCCAGCTGGAGCGACTGCTCCTCCAAATGCGGCGTTGGCATGCAGTATCGTCGGCGTGTTTACAAGCAACCAGAGCTGGCCAGGATCTACAATTGCAATGTGGCCCAGTACGAAGAGCGGGAGTGCCAGGGCGAGATGTGTGGACAGAACAGTCTGATGAGGAATGCAGGAGAGTTCGAGGACTTAGAAATCACCAGCCTGGGAATGGGCGGAAATGCCTATCAGCCCCAGCACCAGCACCAGGGTCGCGCCGAATGCCAGCTGAGCTCGTGGAGCAGCTGGAGCCCCTGCAGCGTGACCTGCGGCGAAGGCTACGAGATGCGCCAGCGGCAGTATCTCAATCCTCAGGCGGAGTCCAAGTGCCAGAGTGTGCATCGCATGGAGCTGCAGGAGACGCGTCGGTGTTCCGGCCAAGCTTGCCTGGGTAATCTACCCGGATCCTACGGTGGTGATACGGAGACTGCCTACGGCGAGGTTTCCCCTGGACGAAACCCTTACAGGCAGGAACAACCGGAAAGGGAGGCTGAATCCTTTGGCGACTACGATCAATCGGGCATGGATCGAGGTGGAGCCGTAGGTGGCTTCGAGGTGGGCAACCTCAAAGGCATCACTGGGAACTGGCCAAGCAACAGGCAGAAGGTTGAGGCATCCTATCTGCCAGAGCGCCAGAGGAACCTTGCCAGGAAACCCCCTTCATACTTTCAACCAAATTACGATGGAAAGTACAGTCCACCAGCTAGAACCGAGCGTCCCACTTGGTCGGAAAAACCAAGGCCAAGTGATCCGCGTCTGGAGGATGTCGAACGAGCTCCATGGCAGCGTCAGAGACCCACTGAAACCTACAAAAACCAATATGCTGGGAATTTAGACGATCCAGAAGAAGAAGAGCCCTGGCCAAGGAGGAACAATAATTACAACAGCCAGGATGCGCACGCACCTGCAGAGGATCTGTTTACATCGCTATCCACCCGCTGCTTCCAGATGCTTCAGACCGCGCAGCCGCGATGCCAGAATCAAACGATCACGGGTCAGTTCTGGTTCTACAACTTTTGCGAGGACGAGTGCATGCTGTTCGCCACGGATCCCTGTGACCGGAATATAAACAAGTTCAGCCGGTGGGAAGAATGTCAGAAATGCCGACAGCCCAATTTGGCTGCGATGCAGCAGGAGGCAACCAATTCCCAGGAGTGCCGGAATCTTCGAGCCATTTCTATGGCCGAGGAGCGAGCCAGGCAGGAGCAGCGGGCGGCGAGTAGGAGGCGCAACAACGGGGGCTACAATAGGCAACGCAGCCGAAACTCGGCCACCAATCTATAAACTTTAAGCAGTATACAAAATAGGAATTTGTATTGTAACGGTTAATATTTTTAATCGAACTATCGCTATCGATAACCGATAGCGCTTTGAAAAACAGCTGACAGATGAAAAAAAAATTACTCAATCAAAACAATTTAAATTACCTAGTTCCTTTATTTTTTAATTTATTAATTATACTTTTATTGTAAAGTGTAATTTTTAATAACATTAAGCAAAAATAACTAAATTTCCACATTTTGGCCAAGCCCGACAACTCTGCGGCTTGGAAAATCACAAAGAAAATTGCACAAGCACAAATAAAACAAAAGAAAACTGTTTAAAAAACAAATAACTTTAAATAATTTACAAATATGCAACGATTTCAAATTATGACGCGCGGCATGCTGAGCCTGCAACATGCCGCGGCACTTATGACGCAGCAGCAACACCTCCGGAACCTGTCCATTCAGTGGCCCCTGGCCCTGCCCCAAAATCAAAGCCAAAAGCCGGCTGGCGGTGGAAAGCCGGGAATAAACCAGAAACCAAGACCCTCCGCCTCGGCACAAAAGATCACGCTCATCCAGCAGAACCAGGCGATGAGCATCACCACCCTGGAGGAGGCCCAGAAGCTGGCCAAGCGGCGGGAATTGCATTTAATGCGCCTGGGAGAAACAGATGCCAAAACCGGGCGCGCCATGTTCAAGTTGGTGTTTTATCTCCAGTTCTACTATGGTTTTTATTAACACAATACTTTCCAGACTGGTGACCGCATCCGAAATGCTGACCGACGACACGGAGAAGTCCAGCGAAAAGGGCAAGGAGAAGAAATCGGAAAAATCCCTGACCATTGGGGCTCGCATCACGGAGCATGACTTGGCCTCGCGGCTGAAGAACATTGTCAAGTGGCTGGGCAAGCGGCACGAGGTGCGCATCCTTATCCAGGGCAGTGCCAGCGGATCGGATGAGAGCGGCGTCGAGCGTATATTAAAGGCCATCGAACAGGCCATTCGGGAGCCCCAAGTTGTGGGCAAGATAGTGCAGAAGCGCACCAAAGGATCCTATGTGAAGTTCAGCATTATGCCAATGGCATCGCAACCAGTGGCCACTGCCACGACCCAATCCTGACAACTACCCCCGCCATTGCCTCGGATAAGCCATTGCTCGGTAATGGCAGCTCCCTTACTTACCACCCGTCGTCATTTTAATGGAACATCATCCCGGCCCGGTCACCGGAACGAAAAGGTATCCATTCTGGCATTTGCCGCAGTCGGTTCTCTTTTAGCCTTTAAATATTTTATCTGGCATCAATATTTGCTTAAAAAGAAAGCTTGTGAGGAAAAGAAAAGGAAGCATTGGTATGGCCACCACGATCCCGATGAGCCCTGCTGATGGTCTGGTTTAGTTCCTGAAAACTTCTCCAAATTGTTGTAAAAATCGAAATTAATAAATTAAATGAAATACTGCCATATCTATCCGTTAAGACTCTTGTTTATTTCAAATATTTATGACTTGGTTTCCGTTTAAAGATATAGGTTTTAGGTTCTTCTTGTATATGTATTTGAAGCACACGTAGACGTAGACACTGAGTTATTACACATTCTCCTTACTTTCGCTAATTACTATGTTTAATTAAGTTTAAAAACCAGATGTTTAGATTCAACTAAAGTGTACTGTTAATTACAAAAGCAAGTAAAGCTGTTTTGTGGTCTCTAATTAATTGGAATTCTGATAAAATATAAAATAGAAACAGGTGAGGGATGATTTTGCATTATCAGAAGCATTTATAGCTGTGAATTACCCGTACAAAAAAATATATAAAATAAAGCATTACGGCACAAGGAACATGTTGATTAACCCAAAACATAAATAAAATAATCTTTAAATAATTTCGTTTACAACTAAACTACAAACTGTTCTTTTTGAGAGCTCAATTTAAATAAATTAGGAAAGCAATTAATATTCAATGCTAAATGCCGCGATAACAAATCAGTTAAAAAGAACTCACGCTATATCGTTACAACTGATAAGCCTCATTTGGGACGACATGGAGCGTCGATAAGCAATAAAAGGGGAATTCGTTATACATTGGATTTCTTTACAAAGACATTTGGAATGGTTAATATAAGCACTAAATAAATTAACTACAATAAATGCCAAAGCGTGTGAGCTACGGTTTCGCTGCTGCTGCTGCTGCAGGGGTTTACTGACCTAGACGCGCTGAATCTCAAAGAGCTTGACTTCCGTGTCGTACCAGATGGCCGGCTCCACGTTGCGCAAATAGATCACACCCCAGATGTAGGTGCGGAACCAGGCCGTGGTCCCCGCATTGGCCTGATACTTCCGGATGAGAATGGGATGCGGCACTGGCAGCAGACCCACAAGTGTGCCGTGCTGCAGAAACTTGAGGATCTCCGACTCGTCGGTCAGACCCTTGTCTATGCAAATCTTCTCCACCTGCGGCACCAGGACCTGCAGCAGTCGCATAATGGTCTGCAGCGGCAGCTTGGAGCGCCAGGAGACGATCCACTCGGGCGTGGGTGTCCATCGATCGCCTTCGCCGGGCACCATGCGAATACTGCCTCGGTGTGCCACGGAAAGACGGGACAACTCCGTGGGTGAGGTGGACTTGGGCTCGCCCGTTGGTGTCGATGCCGCCGATCTATCATAGGGCACTATATCCGTGTCCGTCTGGGGCTTGTCGTTTGGATGGGCCTGCTCTCGCTCCGTCATTTGGCTTATGCCTGGTGTGTCCAATAGGGAGGTCTTTAGGGTTCCCGGCTCTGCCGGCTGGGCTGTAAGTACCTCACCCGGCTGCGGCTCACCCGCCTGAGATCGCTCATGGGACTCTGTCTCCGATTCCTCGGCCTTGGGCTCTTCGTTTATGATGTCCCCCTCGCCCTCCACCTCCTCCTCGTCCTCATCCTCATCCTCGTCGTTGTACTCCTCCGGCACCTGAGCCGAGGGTAGCTCCTGCGAGACAGCTGCTTGCCTCCTCTGCGGCACCCGCGGCAAGTTAAACTTACCGCCCGTCTTGCGGCCACTCAGACACTTGGCTATGCCGGCCATGTCGGTAGGGAGATTCGCCATGGCATGGAACACGTGACGCTTGCGTATGATGGTGTAGACTAGATTCGAGTTGCCGTCAAACTGATACTGTATAATGTTGTTGAAGATCTCCAGCAGGAAGAACACCAGATGGTGATTACTCGGGGCCGAGAGCAGGAACCAAGGCGTGCTGAAGGCCTCCAGGAGATGCAGCAGCTTAACGCTGGCCACCATCGAGAGGGTCTTTAGGTAGGGGGAAACATTCACCAAAATAGTCAGCAGGCAATCGAACAGCGGCTGCAAGCGCTGATGGCCAGTGGCTATGATCTTGTGGAACACCGTGATTAGCAGGTCGGCATGAGTTCCGGTAAACACAGGTATGTCCATGGGCACGGTGGCAGAATAGGCCTTGTTCAAACGGACACCAAAGTTACGTTCACCTGGGGAAAGAAAGGCATTCCTTTTAGATTAAAGTTCACCAACAAATTCCAATGATGACTCACCCGACAACAGCAGGAGAATGAAAACCCCAATGTGCATTAACCCCACTCTTGATTGATCCGCTCTGGAGTAGTTCAAGTGATACAGAATCGGAATAAGGATATCCAACACATCGGAGCTCTTCAGGACAAAATACAGAAACTTTTTGTTGTAGTCACAGATTTTCCAGAACAAGATGAGCAGCTCCTGGTGGCAGTGCAGCCGCTTTGTGGAATTAGGCAAATAATTCTGGACGAGAGGGTTATTCAGCAGCCGCGTGATGCCCTTGAGCACAAAGTGAAAGTCCTCATCCCGATGGACACGCGACAAATAATTAATAAACAAATTGTCGCCACAGTTACCTTCGTCGTAGGACGACTGGCCCGGTTGGGTGAGCTGCTGCTGGACTACCATGTCGTGGTCCAGAGTCACAATCAGCAACTGCAAACAGGCCTCCACCAGGGGTTCCGTTGTGTCCGCGAACAGCAGGTGATTGTAGGGCACGCCAAATCCCACGGGATCGTAAGAGCACACGGTGTTCAGGAACGAGGTGAACAAAGGCAACGCATGGCGATTGTCGGCGGACGTGAAGTAGGCTATCCACTTGTTGGGCTCCTCGGATTGCTGCGGCGAACGGTACATGGGCTCCGAGAAGCAGGTGAGCAGCAGCTTCAACAGCTCTGTGCGTCGGCGCTCCATGTGGGCATTGTGCGGAGGAGATTGCGCAAAACCCACGCCCGCCTCCCAGATGTACTCACAGCTATCAATGTTAGCCAGCTCCTCGGCCTTCTCGGGACCCGTGCGGCGCGTGGCCGTCACCGTAAAGTCCGGACAGAAGAGCAGATCGCAGGTGGCGTTCAGTAGCGACTGCGCCAGCGGCATGGTCTTCTCCTGCGAGGGCAGGCTGCTCCAGAAGAAGTCGCGCCACTTATCGTCCTCGAAAATATAGGGCAGGCACCGTATGAGCAGACGGACGCAGTTGAGGACACACTGCTGCTCGGCCTGCGTGCGACAGCTGCTGTCCACGGCCTGGGCCAGCTTCTCCACCGCCTTGTAGCACAGAGTGGCCAGATTGGCCGGGTTGTCGTTCCGGATCTGGCGGATCTCATTCGAGGTGACCAACGCGAACACGTCCTCCAGCGTCGTCTGGTGGCCCTGCCAGAACTGCTCCCAGAACTGGTCATCGCTGGGGTCGATTTTCTGGTTCTTCTGCGTCAGCTGCACAATCGCCTTGCGAAAGTTCAACTTGGAGTCGGTGTTTCCCATATTGTTGGGGTTCTGGCCTGCCTTCGCGTCGCTAAGTCCTTAATTCCACCTGCCCCGTGCCAAATAGCCGCAATGCAAGTCTCCGTCCAAGCCTGAAACGAATGCAATTGCCATTTAATGCGTTTTCGCATAGAAAATTGCAGAAAATTAGAAATTCGCCTACGCTTACCACAGCTGTCTATGAGAAATTTAGCGGTGACAAGCAGTGTTGCTAATTTAGCTTCGTGCCCGCCAGATCTGGCGGTTTTCAAAATCGGTTTTCGCGATAAATTGTAAACTTACGACTAGCGGGAAAAATTGTTTTTAGAACGTCGTATTTTTATCAAATCAACCCATTACTTTTTTGTTAAATTTTTTCATTATTTATTAAAATTTAAATCAGATCGACACACTCAGAAATTGTTTAACAACTCTAGCGTTATTTTTAAGCTGTAATCTAAATTTTCTGGCGGTTTTTAGCTATTTTTGCCGTGAAGAGTTGGCAACATTGGTGACAAGTCGCAGAACTAGAGGTGGTACCCGCACTGGGATCGAAATTATCGAAACGATAACGTAAATATCGGTACTATCGACCAGCTCCCGTCTCTAACCAGGAACATACACGACACGTAAACGTCACCAGAATTAGAAAAATTAGGAGCTTTAACAGATTCGTTTAACTGCGATTATCAAGACATGCGTAACTAGAGCGCGCCCCGTTTCCGTTCGAGCCAACAGAGCTGCGTGTGCGAGTGTGTGGGCTTGTGGGGAGTGCAAAAACATATGCGAAGGTCTCTGTGGAGGGCGGAGAAGAGGAGGAGGAGCTGCTGCCCAACAACTTGCAAAATTTCTGCGCTAGCCTTTGGAGAGCTCTGAAGCAAGACCCGGGGACACCATGTCGCTGCCAGGCAATGGCATCTATGTGGTGCGGGGCGAGATGGCCACCCTGATGACGGCCATGCGACGTGGAACGCGCTGGAATGCCACCGCCTACGTGGTAACTAGTGCCTCATATGCCCCATGGGAAGTGGAAGCTAATACCTGACCCCATTTTCCAGGACGACGAGAAAGACTCGCTGCTGAAGCTGTTTATTGACCTCAAGCAGGAGCTGAATCGCATCGAGGACCTGCGTCTGATTGAGCCACAGGTTTTTCTCGCCCCCTTCCTGGAGGTGATACGAACGGCGGACACCACGGGTCCGCTAACTAGTCTGGCCCTGGCCTCGGTTAATAAATTCTTGTCATACGGATTAATTGGTGGGTTCACAAGCTGTCCTTAGCTTTTCCATTAATCATTTCATGTTTACCCACAGATCCCACATCGCCGAATCTGGCGGACATTGTGGAGCGCATTGCCGATGCCGTGACTCATGCTCGCTTCATGGGCACCGACCAGTCCTCGGACAGTGTCACCTTCATGCGTGTCATTGAGGTGCTGCACACGCTCATCCGCAGTCCCGAGGGAGCAGCAGTCAGCAATGAGTCCATGTGCGAGGTGATGCTCAGCTGCTTCAAGATCTGCTTTGAGCCGCGGCTAAGCGAACTGCTTCGTCGCTCGGCGGAGCAGTCCCTCAAGGACATGGTGCTGCTGTTCTTCATGCGCCTGCCCCAGTTTGCGGAGGAGCGCAGTGACACAGTTTTGCAAAAGAGATTCACCATAGGAGATGCGGCCAGTGGAGCGGCCCAGGAGAAGCATAAGCGAAAGGCCGTGGCACCAGCACCGGCTTCGGCTCCACCAAGAAAATCCTCTACAGAGGAACCTCCTCAGACGCCGCAATCGGCCAACTTGGCTGTGCCCGGCCACCTGAAGGCACCCATACTGGCCACCACGCCCGCCAGTCCTGCGGGCAATATTTTGGACATGCAGGGCAAGATCACGCAGACGCCAACGACAACTGCGGGATCGGGAGCAGAGGAAACCACCACCGCTGCCTCAGAAGCACCTGCCATACAAGTGGAGGCCGCCGATTCGGAGCCTCTGGAGGGAGGAGAAGGTGTTGAGGGCGGCAGCACTTTGACGGAGGCCAACAGCAGCGAGTACATCAACTCGGTGGGCGTACGCTTCACCCAGCAATCCGCCGAGCCGGATGCTGCCTCCCTGTCGCCCTATGGCCTGCCCTTTATCCAAGAGCTTTTCCGCTTCCTCATCATTCTGTGCAATCCGTTGGACAAGCAGAACTCGGACAGCATGATGCACACGGGTCTGAGCCTGCTGACGGTGGCCTTTGAGGTGGCTGCCGATAATATAGGCAAATACGAGGGCCTGCTAGAGCTGGTCAAGGATGATTTGTGCAGGAATCTGATATCGGTAAGGAAGCATATTGATTTTAATTAAAATAAAATTATAATTAGTGATTTTTTCAAACAGCTTCTTAGCTCTGAACGGCTTAGTATCTTTGCTGCCGATCTTCAGCTTTGCTTCCTGCTCTTTGAATCGCTGCGGGGACATCTCAAGTTCCAGCTGGAGGGTTACCTCAAGAAGCTAAGCGAGATCATTGCCAGCGACAATCCCAAAACACCCTACGAAATGCGCGAACTGGCCCTGGACAACCTCCTGCAGCTGTGGCGGATTCCCGGCTTCGTGACCGAGCTCTACATAAACTACGACTGCGACCTTTACTGCACCGACATGTTCGAGAGCCTCACCAATCTGCTGAGCAAGTACACGCTCTCCGCCACCAATGCCGTGTACAGCACCCACATCATCTCGATGGACACGCTGATCAGTGTGATTGACAGCATCGAGCGGAACTGTGCGGCGGCCAAAAGCAGCAGCAACAACAAGGAATCCCTGCCAGAGGCTGCACCAGCCTCTAGGGGCAGTCGCCATTCCCGGCACAACAGCGGACTGGAGGGTATTGTCATCGATTCGGGTAATGGTGTGGGCTCAGCTCCGGAAGATCGTGTAGAGAACATTGCCAGCTTTATAAACAGCAGCTCCCAGCGATTGCGGCTGCAATCCGGCAGCGATAGAGTGGGCATCACCACCGAGCAGCTGGCCAGTGTCAAGCAGAAGAAGCGGTTACTGTCCCAGGGCACCGAACGCTTCAATCAAAGACCGGACAAGGGCATCCAGTATCTGCAGGAGCATGGAATCCTGAATGCCGAGCTAGATCCCATGCAGGTGGCCCTGTTCCTGCGCGAGAATCCCGGCCTGGACAAGAAGATGATTGGCGAATATATCTCGAAAAAGAAGAACGTCGACTCGAAGATCCTGATCAACTTTGTGGACTCCTTTGACTTTACGGGTCTAAGAGTGGACCAGGCGCTGCGTCTTTATTTGGAGACCTTCCGGTTGCCCGGCGAGGCTCCACTGATCTTTTTGGTGCTGGAGCACTTCTCTGATCATTGGCATGTAAGTATTTCTATAATCTTTTTTATATATATAATATATATTAATCCTTTAATCTTTTTAATGAAAGACTCAAAACCAAGAGCCCTTCGCCAACGTGGACGCTGCCTTCCGTCTGGCCTATGCCATCATTATGCTGAATATGGATCAGCACAACTCCAATGCCAAGCGTTTGAACATTCCCATGACCCTGGAGGACTTTACCAAGAACTTGCGCGGCCTGAATGGCGGCGAGGACTTTGATCAGGAGATGCTGGCCCAGGTCTTCAATGCCATCAAGTGAGCTTAACTGAAGGTTGTGAGTTGTAAAGCTGGCTAATAATGCTTTCCAGAAATGAAGAGATCGTAATGCCAGCCGAGCAAACTGGCCTGGTGCGCGAGAACTATTTGTGGAAGGTTCTGCTTCGTCGTGGCGGCACTCATGATGGCCACTTCCACTATGTCCATGATGCCTCTTATGATGTGGAGATCTTCAACATTGTGTGGGGCGCCTCCCTAAGCGCCCTTAGCTTTATGTTTGACAAGAGCACCGAGACGGGCTATCAGAAGACACTGGCGGGTGAGTAAAAATAGAGTTTGTAGTTTCATCACCTATAACCATCTGGATTCTTGACAGGATTCAGCAAATCTGCCGCCATATCGGCACACTATAATCTCCACACGGACTTTGATGCCCTCGTTTTGACTTTGTGCAAGTTCACAACACTGCTGAGCAGCGTGGAACAGCATGAGCCGGCGCCAGCAAACAATGAAATCCAACAGGCGGTGAACTTTGGTCTCAATGGCAAGGCCCAGGCGGCCATGAGGACTGTCTTCCTGCTGGTTCACGACTATGGTGACTGTCTAAGGGAGAGCTGGAAGCACATTTTGGACCTCTATCTGCAGTTGTTCCGCCTGAAGTTGCTGCCCAAATCCCTCATCGAGGTCGAGGACTTTTGTGAGGCCAACGGCAAGGCTTTGTTGATCTTGGAAAAGCCGCGCGAGAAGCAGGAATCGGGTCTGTTCTCCAGCCTTTACTCACTCATCAGCTCGGAGGGTCAGCGGGAGCCCACCTATGAGGAGCAGGACTTCATCAAGCACGGGCGCAAGTGCATCAAAGAATGTCAGCTGGATCAGATGCTCCAGGAGTCCAAGTTTGTGCAATTAGAGTCCCTGCAGGAGCTGCTCAAGTGCGTGCTGAGTCTGCTCAAGGCCCCGCAGGGCCACAAATCCATTGGCCTCCCCTATGCCGAAGATCAAACGGTTTTCTGGATGGAGTTTCTGGTGAAGATTGTGGTGCACAATAGGGATCGCATGATTCCCCTGTGGCCTGCGGTACGAGACCAGATGTATCTCCTCCTCATGGGCAGTGCCTCGTGTGGTTACGACTATCTGCTTAATCGCTGCATCGTGGCGGTGCTCAAGCTGGCCATCTACTTAATGCGAAACGAGGAGCTGTGCCCCATTGTCCTGCAGTCCCTTAAGATGCTGCTGATGCTAAAGCCGGCGCTGCTCCTGCGCATCTCGAAACAGATTTCCATTGGCATTTACGAGCTGCTCAAGACCTCGGCCCAGAATATACACTCCGAACAGGACTGGCAGATCATTTTCAATCTCCTGGAGTGCGTGGGAGCAGGTGCTGTGCCGCCCAGCTACGATGATGCCCAGTTGCCTCTGCCGCTGAACGGCGGTGCCAAATCAGATGGAGCCCTCAGTGGCGAGGAGGAAGGATCCACGCCGCCAGAGCGTGGTTACACATCTGACTCGGAGCTAAACAAAACTTCTGCCGGCCCGGCAGCCTCTAGTCCCAGTGCTGAGAACTGGATTTTGGTCAACAACAAGGACAGCGAACTGACCACGGCCTCTAGGTGAGTGGCTGAGCCTTGAAAAAGAGAAAATACCTTTAAAAATTTAAATATTTTACCTTCCAGACCCCAGTCGCCGCCCAGCTCCAGTTCTCCTCCGGTCAGTACGCTCGTCTTTAGCTGCCAACTGCTGGACCATGCTCCCTTTGCCTTATTCAAGTGCTGGGACTCGCTGGCCTTCATTGTGCGGAGCGTGGCCCACATAACGCCCTACAACTTCGAGGCCTGCGTTCGCTGCATTCGCATCTTTGTGGAGGCCTGCCGGGATGGTGGTATTCGCCAACGGCGGAAGCTGGAGGCCGCTGCCAAGCAGAAGAGCTCGAAGAAGCGCAAGCCCGGCCTGGCATCTTCCGCGTCGAGCAGCAATCTAACGCTGCTAACCGGCGATCCGGCCGACAATCTGGCGCAAGGCAATGCCGCCGAGCAGGAGGACCTGGCCCAGCGCTATGAGCAGTTGTCCATTCAATTGCTGGACCTCATGTACACGCTGTATACCCGCACGGCCCAGATCTTCCGTTGGTGGGCGGAGGAGGGATGCACTGTGCCGCAATCGGCGGCTCTGTGGTCACCAGGTTGGTGCCCATTGCTGCAGGGCATTGCTAGGCTGGCCATGGATCGGCGGCGAGAGGTGCGCACCCATGCCATCTCGTGCCTGCAGCAGCGGGCACTGCTGGTGCACGATCTGCAGACGCTATCGGGAACGGAATGGTGCTCCTGCTTCCACCAGGTGCTATTTCCTCTGCTGAACGAACTCCTGCCGGAGAGCAGTGCCGCAGGGCAGCTGGATGCATCCCTGCTGGAGGAGTCGCGCATTCGCACGGCCACCATCATGTCCAAGGTGTTCCTGCAGCACCTGACAACGCTCATCGAACTGGGCAATGCCTTCAACGAGCTGTGGCTGGACATTTTAGACTACATCGAACGCTTCATGAAGGTGGGATCGGACACGCTGTCGGAGCAAATGCAGGAGATTTTGAAGAACATGCTGCTGGTGATGCACTCGGTGCGCGTGTTCCACAACCAGGATGGCAGCCTGCAGCAGGCACTATGGGAGCTCACCTGGCGGCGCATCGGAGAATTCCTGCCCAATCTCAAGGAGGAGCTGTTCCGCGATGAAGGTGCGTACGGCGAGTCGGCGGTCGTTGTAGAATCCGCTTAATCTCCTGACCCTGCCAGCAGATCTGATTTGGCCAGCGATTTCGCTGGACTCCACGCAGATTAGGTATGCCAAGTCCCTGGCTGCAGGGGACTACACGTTGACCTTGCCGCTTTACGGTCGGGGTCCGAAGCCTTCACCCCGGGGCACGAGCAAAAGCGAAACCCTCATTGAGCCGGTGAAGCAGCGCAAGAAAACCTGGGCCAGGATCAGATCCAAGCTGCTCAAGGGGCTGGGCAAGAAGAACTGACTTCTCCCCTTACTTTTTGACTTGCATTTGTGCCTTTATATATTTGTATAAAAATTAAATAGTTATGATAGCCGTGTATCCTCCATCTTTCAGGCAAGCGTGCCCAGACCCTAACGAACCCAGCAACTGTCGCTCCCCATCCACAGCAGCAGCAGCAGGTGCCAGCGGTGGCCATAATTCCCAGTCAACCGCAGGCTTTACCCAGCGAGCTGGTGGTAAGCTCCGCCACACCCACCTTGATGTCGCCCATGGAATCGCCTAGGCGGAGTATCATACTGCAGCCTCCCATGGCTGAGGCTCTGCAGCAGGCACCCAGTTTTGTATTTGCTCAGGTGAGATAAAACCAGGACCTGGGTTATATATTTACTAAACTTTCGCTTTGACAGCCGCTGGTGGTGCCTCCCCAGCAGCCCAGCACACTGCTGCCGGATCTGGTTAATGAGGCAACTGCTGCTGCCGTAGCAGCCTCGCCCACAGAGGCCGAGCAGCCCATCGTACCCATTGTGCATCAGACGAACATTGTGACCACCAACAATACGTATAATAGCTACGCCATAGAGCTGCCCGTGGCCGCGGAGCCCACTGCAGAGCAGTTGGAGCAGCAGCAGCAGCAGCAGTTGCTATACCAACAGTACTATCAGCAGTATCAAGCGCAGCAGCAGCAACTACAACAACAGCAACTGCAGCAGGAGCAGCAGCAACAGCAAGCCAGCGATCCTGCCATCAATGTGCCAATCAGTCATCTGCTGGCTGGAAATGCTTACCCATCTCTACCTAAGATGCCGCAGGCAGCCATTGTGCACAGCTTTGCCCCCGTCTACGAGACACCAGCAGCGGCAGCAGCAGCAGGTGGAGGAGCCGGGCCAGCAGCTGATATCTACCAGGAATACGTGCAGAATCCCTACAACCTGACCCTGCAGCAGCAGCAGCAACAACAGCAGCAGCAGCCGCCGCAGCAGAGCTTTCCTGCCGTGGCTTCGCCAGCCAACTATTTTAATGTAAATGTGGACCCCAGCAGCATACCGCCCGGATCGGAGCTGCTCTACGGCCAGCAATGAGAGAAGGAGTGAAAAAATAACATTTAAAGCCACTTGGGGCGTTTTATTTTGTGTCTTGTGTTTGTAGTGAAGGGCTAGAGCTTCGTAGTTAATAATATAAAATTGTGTCAATTTTGTTTCTTGTTATTTATGCCTCTGCCCCCCTCACAGAAAGTGGAAACACATTCCGCCCGGGCGCGTGTTTATTATGCTATCCGAAGAACAACGTTAAGTAAGAGATCCAGATGTAACTCCGAGCAGACACCTTTATAAGCTTTAGTAATGCAAATAGTTTAATTTATAATATCTAAATAATTACAACTTCTGTATGTTATGCGAAGAGGCAAACTGTAAATAATCAAAATTAAAAATATATATAACAAAAAATTACACACAAAAGTTGGAATTTATTTATGCAAATAATGGGGGAAGGCAATGAAATAAATTCGTGTGTATTATATAAAATTAAAAAAATAAAAAAGTAAACCCGACTCCGTGACAATGTTTGTTTCAACATTGCCGTGACCAGGATTCGAACCTGGGTTACCACGGCCACAACGTGGGGTCCTAACCACTAGACGATCACGGCTACGTCAGGTTGTTGTTTGCCGCTGGCCAAATGACTGCTTTGAGATACACTCAAAAACCAGTGTGTGAATTCACAGCAACAATCTCTGCGTGCTAAAAATAGATAAGATTGTAATAAAAGATATTTTTTATTTATTACAGCAATTAACATATACCAAATCACCTTTAAAAAAAACAATTACTTTGGTTGACTAAATGTTTATGTTTGTTTTTATATACTAAAAATTCAATCTGATAAATAGTAAATAAATGTTAATTAATTATAGGTAAAACTGCAAATTCCTTTCTCTATATTAGTTCGACGTTTGAGTGCCTTTCTCTTTTTAAGTCGAACCAAGAAGTTTGTTCCCCTCCTATGTGAATACACAGGCTTTCATTATGGTTTTCATTACTTAAAGTTTGGTAAAATTGCTTTAGTAGAAAATTTATTAATATAAAAAATGATAAAATAAAAAATAAGCCCAACTCCGTGACAATGTGTATTTCAACATTGCCGTGACCAGGATTCGAACCTGGGTTACCACGGCCACAACGTGGGGTCCTAACCACTAGACGATCACGGCTACGCCGGGCTGTTGAACTTGGCCGGCCAGAAACCAAATCTAAGCCCCATGGTTGAAGAGTGATGTAATGAGTAAATAAAAATCATTATTTGTTTCAAATGTTAATATTAAAAAAAATATACTTTTAAAAAATATGTTTGGGCAGTAACAAATCCATAACTCAAATTTGTATAAAATATGCCCAGAGGGCGCCACATATAATTGGGTGTTATCCAACACTCCTCCGTTGCTGGGACTGCGCGCTTCAACAGCTGTTCCTAATCGAGGTAAAAAAACATAAAAATGGAAAATTTCAACTCGATTGAAATAGCAGATTCTGACGAGGATTCGCCGAGTGAAGTTGGCGATACAATGGATACAATGGATCCGAAGCGCTGCGCCACACCACCGACATCGAGTTCAGCCAAAGCTGCAAACGAACACACCCCTAAAACAACAAAGACCGCTAAGGAACCGGATTCGGCGACCAGCGGGAAACCCTCGCTTTTGAGCGACTCTACCTCACCCTCCTCCTCGACTGATGGCAAGAGCGGTCGCCACAGGTCCAGAAAAAGCCAGCTCCAGGCCAAACGAATGAGTCCCACTGACCTCCAATTCGAGACGATTCCGGGGGAAGAGGGTTCAGAGGCGCCGCCTGCCAAGCATCCCAAACTGGAGAAGGACGCTGCGCTTAAAAAGGAGACAATGAAGGCGTCTATTGCCAAACTCCTGGCCAACGATGAGATTCAGGAGCTGATTAAGCGGATCGCCAGGGAACGGGTACGATGCAATTTCCTGCTGGCTACATACCAGCTCCCAGATATGAATTTCGCCCTCAACACACCACTGGAGACACTTTGCTTCCAGTTCCGGGAGCGCATAAAACAGCGAAGGGGAAACGCCAGTCCCTCAAAGGCAGCTTCAAGCACCTTGGCCGGTGCTGCTGCCCCCTCTACTGCAACCGCATCAAAAGTGTCTGGCAAAGGTATTGTTAAGGCACGACAGCCTCAATCCTAACGCTGATTTAATCCATAAGATACACTACTTAAGAACTTGGGATTTTAATATAAAAAGTATAAGTAAGTAAGTAAGTGTTGAAATATGATTACGTTTTACTACTATGAAGATTGTAACTAATTTGAATAATATTATGTCTTATTAAATATAGAAAACGGTATTATCTGTCTAAATATCCACAATTGACTTTATTATTCATATAAAATAAGTGATAATAAGAGCAAATGCTTGTGACTATTGTAAGCATTGCATTAATCGGGCAAGATAGAAAATAAAATATTTAAGTAATAAATAAATCAACACTTGTTGTTTATTTGCTTTGTGAAGGGAGTATGCGCGAACTTTGCTTTGTTGTGATTGTGTGCGCGCTTGTGAAAACAGTCATTTGGCCGGCCTATTTCAACAGCCCGGCGTAGCCGTGATCGTCTAGTGGTTAGGACCCCACGTTGTGGCCGTGGTAACCCAGGTTCGAATCCTGGTCACGGCAATGTTGAAATACACATTGTCACGGAGTTGGGCTTTTTTTTATTACTTGTTTTTATTTGTTTTTATGTAATTAATTTTATTTTTTTTTAATTATACACGAATTGTATTGGTAACATTTTTTAAAACCCTTAAAATTACTAAATCTTTATATTAAAATACGTCTATGCTGCTAGAGCAAAAAGTGAATGTGCAAAAGCAATCTCTTTTCATGGTTTTCTTAATTTTTGCTGACCGCAAGTAAGGCGGGCCAGGCGGATTTTTGGATCCAGTGCTCCAACACCCGACATAGCCGTGATCGTCTAGTGGTTAGGACCCCACGTTGTGGCCGTGGTAACCCAGGTTCGAATCCTGGTCACGGCAATGTTGAAACAAACATTGTCACGGAGTCGGGGTTTCTTTTTTTTTCAATATTTTATTTTTTAATTAATTATAAATCTAGATCTCGTGGAGCTCAAAGTCAAATACGTTTGTAGCAAATATTTTCTTATAACTTGCTTAGTCAAGAACAGTTCAAAATGGATTATCAAGAAAATAGTGTAGACCCAGACACAAAAGATAACCCTACTGGCAACCATGAAAACAGGTATAAAGCCGAGATATCCAAATTCTATGCAACCATTGCAACGGTTTCGAGAAACATTCGTAAGGACGATTGGACATATCTACAGCGCCACCCGGAGATACGTGCCATAATCCGGGTCATTACCATGGAAGCAATCAATGCCAAGGCATCGAATATCCATCAATTTGTAGCGGATCTATTTAGTTCCGAAAACGACAAGGAATTGATTGAAAAGGTTTCTTTAATAATGTTTTGGAATTACTAATTTAAAAATAAAAATAAAAATAATTTTTAGATAAACAGGCAACTTAAAGCGGTCAACGAAGAGATGAGGGAAGGTATCTGGACCAATGCCGATGGGGCTATGAACTTTCCGGAATCCTCCGAAAACTCCTCAGAAAATAATTCAGATTGTCCAACACCAAAATTAAACGACAACAATCAGAAGGACGAGTTTGTCAAACCAGTTTGTCCAGAAAATTTTAAGCCCAGTTGTAAATAAATTAATTAAGTTTGTGATTGATTACTTCATTGCCCCCTTGGTCACTAGTTACCAGTGAACTTGTGATTTAATAATTATCCTTACTCTGGCATTCTATGATTATTAGCATATTGGCTATAATCATTATATAAAAATTACTTAAATAAATAATAATAAATAAATGAATATTTTAAAAAATAAAAAGCTCAAGTCGTTGCCAGACTATATGTCGAAAAAGTCTGGCAGCACCGAGCTGAAAGGCAGCGTCAAAGAATATAACTTGATAGGAAAAAGGTCATAATTAAGTGTTGTGTAATTAAAATAATTTAATTTATTGCCTCAAGAAAGCCAATTAAATGGTAGTACCCGAGGAGCGCCCGAAAAAACAAATTAAAACGGCGAAAAATCCAGCAGCACCAAGATTTTCTGGTGAGTTGCCCTCCCCTTCTCCGCCTCACGTCCCACACTCCATCTCTTTCCACCCCAACCGCTACTTTTGCGTTTTGTTGTGATCCCGTGCTTCGTACCAAAATAACGGCGTCAAGTGTTTTTTTTTCCCCTAAAACGGTCTGTGTGGCATGTCCAATTACTTAATTAGTTAAAACTCAACTTAAAATAGGTTCAAGTTTAATGTTAAAAAAAAACATATTTTAAATATAATAATTATATAGAAAAAGAAAGAGAAATTCCTAAGATCTACTTTACATCTTATTTAAAACGTGTGGCATGCCCAATTCTGACATTTGATGCAGCATGGCAGCGCAACAACAAATACATCGACATTAACAATTACAACAACAGTAACATCCACACTGACATCAACGCCGGCCGGCGAGCGACAAAACGAAAGCGAAACTTCATTCGTGTCGGGTTTACTTGGAAACGTCGAGTTTTTTTTTTGCTTCAATAGAACAGTTCTTTGCAGCGCGGAGTTGTGCCACCGCAAGGGCTTGGAAAATGCTTCCCCAAGACAGGAAAATTCTGAGGTGACAGCTCCACACCGGGTTACACTTGTCGCCGCGCCTATTTTACATGATTTTGTGTAATAACTAATAATCCCACCCTTCTATTTTCATTCGCAGGCAACATACACGCCAGAACCAGAACCAGAATCCGAACGCGACAGCGGTCTCGCGGCGTTCCAGGTTTAACGGCACCTATCAGCACTCCAAGATGAACAGCAGCTCGAAGGCGGACCCCATCTCGCTGAGCTTCCACGACTCCTGCCTGCGGATGTCGGACGTGCAGCTGCTGCACGGTCCCCACTGGTTGAATGACCAGATCCTGAGCTTCTACTACGAGTATCTGTCGCACGTGAAGTACAAGACCAACAATGACTTGCACTTCATTGCCCCGGAGGTGACACAGTGCATGAAGTACATGGACGACCAGGAGCTGGAGCTCCTGCTTGGCCAGAGCAAGGCCACTAACAAGCCGTTCATCTTCTTTGCGCTGAACGACAATGAGAGCACCGAGGCCGGCGGCACCCACTGGTCGCTGCTGGTCTTCTCGCGTCCAGAGAAGACCTTCTATCACTTTGATTCGTACGGGAACAACAACACGAGCAATTCCGTGGAGCTGATGAACAAGATCAAGGAGCTGCTGGGCCAGCGTCAGGCCAAGTTCCGGCCCATGCGCTGCCTGCAGCAGGCAAATGGCTACGACTGCGGCATCCATGTCATCTGTATGACCGACCACATTGCCGACTACCTGAACAGGTACGAGATGATTGATGGGCTGCCGCCGCTGCATATTGACGCCGTAAAGGCCAAGCGCACCGAGCTGCTGAAACTGATCCTCTCACTGGGCGGCAAGGGATAGAAGCTTCTCCCTGCATCGAGCCAGACTAGTATTAAGAGACCAAATTACGGAATGTAACACCACGCGCGCTCTTTGGAAGAGGCGAAGACACCTGGAGACATGTGAATATGATATCCTTGATATTGCTAATTTTAATTTGTTTAGTTTTGCTCGCCAAGTAAGGATGTTTACTTGGAGGGCTGTGCCAGGCACAAACACACACACATACAGAATAGAAAACAATGGCACCCCATGGAGGCGGTGCCTCCACATAACTAAGTTTGGTCTTGCAAATAAAGATTTGTTTACAACCGACTCATATTCCCCCTTGTTTGTGGCGCCGTCACCGGATTCAGGCTGCAAAAGTAAACACAATTGTCTTGGGTTGCAATTATTTATTATAAATGCACAACGGAAAGGGATCCGCTTGGATCTTTGATTATTTTACGATTAAAAACACATACAAAATAGATATTAATCCACATCAAAAATTGATATTACAACGAGGCACTGGAGTACATACAAGGAATACCTTTAATCGCTGTTCACGCTTTGGGTGGGTGGGTTTTTTTTGCAGGGGGAGTGGAGGAGGAGGAGATTCCCTGACCACTATCTAACAACTAGCTACGCTACATATGCTTGAACCTAGGGCCTGGCCCAGCCCCCGAAGGCTCTCTCTAGCTCCTCGGCCACGGCCAGGCACAGCCGATCTTCGTTAAAGTTGGCTATCACCTGAACTCCCAATGGCAGACCCTCGCTGCCCAGCTTGCCCAGCGGCACAGCGGTGGCCGGGAATCCCAGCACGTTCACAATGCCGGTGTAGGCAAAGTTAATGGGACGCGTGATGGGTTCGTTGTGATAAGGCGCCACTGTGGGATGCGTGGGGTAGATGAGCACCCCGTTATTGCCCAGCAATCGCTGCAGCTCCGTCCTCAGTTCGTTCCTCTTGCGCACCAGATGATCGTACTTGGGAGATCCATGCTTGCACTGGGTACTGTCCATAATCGCTGTCGACAGGCCGATGAACGTGTGCTTGGAGGCGCCAAACAGCCACTTGAAGAGCTCCAGGTAAGTGTTGATGTCGCGTTCCAGGTTACCCAGCTGGTAGGCAAAGCCATGCCCACTGTCATCCCGCATATTGGCAAACCAAATGGCCGCCGACTGACGGAACTGAGGCAGCTGGATACGCTCCACCTTCTGGCTGCCAAACTTCTCGCTCAGATGCTGAGCCACCCGCTTCATGGCCTGAAGGATAATAGTCTATAGTTTCTGGTCATATAGAATATTCGATAAACCATACCTGCCGGAGGTCAGGGTCCACAGCGGAGATCAAGCGGCCCCCGCCATCAGACTCCTGGTAGAAGAACTTCAGCTTGCTGAGGTCCACATCCTTGTCCAGATTGAGTACGGCCGCCTTCTCGCCAGCCATAATCTTTAGCATGGGACGCAGATCCTCGGCAAAGCGCGACATGGGTCCCAGGCCGAGGAATGTATTCTGCTCAGCACTGAATGGTGCCGGGAACTGGCCCACATTGGACACCACCAGCTTGCTGGGCTTGTGACCAAAGATGCCATTGAAGAAGGCCGGCATGCGAATCGAGCCGCCAATATCGGAGCCCAGACCAAACGGAGATGCAGCCGCCGACTGGATGCACCCCTCGCCGCCGCTAGAGCCGCCCACAATGCGATTTGTGTCGTAGGCATTCCTAGTGCGTCCGTGAACCGTATTGTTGCTCTCCCACCACATGCACACCTCCGAAACGTTGGTGAGAGCAAAAGGAATGGCTCCGGCCTTACGCATCAGGGCCATGGCATCGGCATCCTGTGCACCGCGCACATCCCGACGTTCGTACAGGCCGGCAGTGTGAAGCATGCCTAGGGAGAGAAGTTTAAAGTTAATATAATTTCCAGTAGCTGAATCGTAATACTTACCCTTGACGGAAATGCAATCCTTGGTGGTGATGGGCACTCCCAGGAAGGGTTTTTGTTGGGCCAACTCCTCCACGGTGTATTTTCCCGATTTAATCAAGGCATCGGCCTCAGCGGCCTCCTTGAGAGCCTGGTCATAGCGCTCATCCACCACGCAGTTCAGTATGGGATTCACATCCTTGACGCGTCTTATGAAAGATTCCAGCACCTGGACGCTGCTCAACTAGAAAGGAAATGGAAAAATGTAATAAAATATAACAAAAATAACTACCTCAACTCACCTCCTGGCTGCGAATCTTTCTGGCCAGCGAAGAGGCAGACTCCAGCAGAATGGGGTCTGTGATCGGAGGAACTCTCTCGCCCTTGGGGCCATAGATCAGCCGGAAAATGAAGCGAATGAAGGTCTGGAGAATTCCAAAAACGTAGCCACCAATGGCCTGGGTCAGCGGAACGCTCTGTGCCATTTTGCAGGGGCTATAGGAATGTTGCTACTGGGGAATCACAAGGGGAATTGTGTGTGGCTGAGTGTCAGTGCTGCCTTGTGGTCTGTCCCATGAGTTGGTGCTCTGGAAAATGCATATTAAATTATTATTATTATCGTAAAGTATGTACATACAAAATCTATATATACACTTTTAAAAGGCATAAATAAATGGCGTTGCTTTTGCAATTTCAACAGGTTTATCAGCGAGAAAATTATAAATATTTCCAGAGCTTTGTGTGGATAATATATATAGGTCGAAGCAGCTATACTTAATGGCCAGCAAAAAGTGTATGTTCTTGATTTTATAGTCGGTTTATATAGCTATTAACTTTATGAATTAATGGGTTCCTCAAAGGAAATATGAAATTTTCCCATTAGGAAATACTTTCTACTACATAAACCTAAAATAATCTGTGAATCTAGCGTAAGTGAAGGTTATTGTAGGGTATTATATGTAGGGGTAGCGTGCCTGTCATTCGAGGCAAAGGAAATCGATTTGCTCGTGTCTGGGTCGAGATATAACTTAATAGCTCCGCCACTTAATTGGGGTGTCCCAGATAGGCCATGTCCACACCTGTGGCAGTTGATGACTCATAACATTATTAAACACGCTGAAAAATAGGGAAAACTCAAACAAAACAGCCAGTAATTCATTCAGTAAATTGGTAAAAATTTTCAAAAATAAACAAAAAGCTTAAAAACGCAGTAAAATGTTACAAAATAACAACTGCGGCGTTGATAATTAAATTAAGAAAAGGGGAGAAACGTATCTTTTACTCTCTTAAAAAGAATCTAATGAAAACTTTTGCCTGCTCGCTCTCTTTGAATATATATTGTTTAAACAAACGACTCTAGTGTTTAAATTGTAAACAATTTTCGCTCTATGCAAAAACAAACAGCGGAAACTTTCAAGTCGGCAATAGATTCAGACAGAGGTTTGGTTTATATCAAATATTGGATCTACAATCTAATGTTCTAGGGCCATATGTTCGCTGGAACTTGATTTTGTGTTATCTTATCGACAGAGCGTGTTGTTGAGACAGCTAATTCGCTGCTTAAATAGGGGAAAGATTCTGACACAAAGAGTCTGATGAGAGTGAGCGTGAACCTCCATGAACTTGGACGAGCCCCAACCAAAGGCCGAGGTCATAAGCCCACTACTATCGACATCGAAGCTTACACCTCTTCCCCAACTATATTTATTGTTCTCTCAAAAAGTAATAGGGAATAATGATAAGAGTCTGGGAGTGAGTCACAGGTCTCGGCTGGCTTTTTTGTTTATAACGCCCGCTGTTGACGATAAAAAAAAGGCAATAACTTAACCATTATGGCACAATCCGAGTGCTGCTCTGTACTTGATTAGCAACAATTCAAAGTTCTAATAATTGCTTATCGCTTTGTTTGAATTCCTAGTGGGGCTCTTATCGCAACATGTTGCCTCAGTGAGTGGCTGCGTTTCGCAACATATCAGAGCTCGTCTCCAGGCCGCTAATTGAATTGCCAGACATTCGAATGCGAAGAGTGCATTATAATCAATTTTACAAACTTAAAAACTGAGCAGGAGCTGTATTTAACTCAGGGGGGGAATATAAATGTGATTTTGACTTTTAAGGGGATACAAAATTTGGAAAGCTACAAGGTACAAGTCCTAATTTCATGCCATTTCAAAGAAGAACGGAAGCTATCTTGGGGAAGCATAAGTCTGATTATCCTGAAATTTTAAAAATATCATAACTATGCCAAAAATACATTGATTTTAATTAGGAAATCAAAATATTTAATTTACTTTAATTTTATTTAAAATAAGAAAGAATAGAAAGGAAATTATCGTAGCTTTTGGCAATGAAAACAAACTAATACAAACATATTTTTTTTTTCTACAAATTTAAAAGTATAAAATCATAACATAGATAAAGCTTGGTTTAGCTTTTACTTTAAGATTAATAAAAATCCACAAATAGAATCTTGATGAACTTGAGACCTGTATCACCTTCCAGTTTCAGCTGTAAATCCCCCCCATCACTAGACTCGGTTAAAGGTCAATAGGCGGCAGTGATGCGAAACGATAATCGAGGCGTAATCAGCGCTTTAAGTGGACAATCCGATAAGATTAGCCATAAATACTTGTCTCACTTTTTGGCAATTTTTGCACAACAAAAATATATTCCCTTGTAATTTACGAGATCTGTTGCTTCCAATTGGACCCCTAGAAATTGAAAACAACAATCTCACTTAATTGCATGCCATTTCTAATTAGAAATCAAGGGGCTGCGTGTATCTATTGATTTCCAACTAGAACCCGTGCTGCATCAGTATGTGTGATATACACAAATGAGGTGGAAAAGCAAAAGCCACGACCGGCGGCGATGCCAGGAGGTGGGCGGGGGGCAATGCCCGGGGCGTGTGCCAGTGACATCATTTCTGGATAACTCGCCATTTCTAGCATATGCTTTGTTTGGATTACTAATTCATCAAGTGTCATTTTGCACTTGCTGTGCATGTGTGTGTGTGTGAGTGTCTGTGTGCTTGGGCGCGCGCGAAAATAAAAGAGGCCCAAGACAATGAAGCTCTGGTATGTCATTTAAAATCTCATAACTGATGCGACACCGAGCACAGGAATTGTTCGTTTCCATTGCATAAGGACAATGCTAAAACTGCACTTTGTTCAGCTTCTACGGAAAACCGGTCGGCCACAGATTAGCGGTTACTACTTCGCGCGTACGTGTGGGTGTGCACTTAAAACACGCAATTACGCCTCGCAGCGCTGCTGTGAAATTGCACAAATGTCCAAGATAAACAGATATACACACCGCACTCGAGAACGGCAGAAAAACAAAAACAAAATCACAATTTACCGCTGGAACGATGTTGTCGATCAGATGGTTTAAAATACTTTGTCCGTCTTTCGAGTGCGGTGTGACCAGGTGTTTCTACAAAATCCATAAGCGCAGTGTGCCCGCCGGCTGTTCTTTCTATTCTTGTTATCGATATATCGATTTCTGTAGATGGCTCCATCGATTAAGTGTCGATTATAGCTATAAGTGGCAACCCTAGCCCCGCAACAATTCGAGTTTGACGCTGAATTCTGGCAATGTAATTTTGTGATATTTTCCAACCGTATGTGAAACGTAAAACTAGTTTAGAAGTTGGTGATATTACCTCTCGCCATGAGCATCAAGAGCCCGGCCCTGCAGCTGGCCGAGCCGCAGCTGGCCAAGCTAACCAGTGAGTCGGAGGAGATCAGGATGCGCGCCCTTAACCAGGTGGAGACGCGCTTCATGCGCTGCCTGCAGTTGGGCGAGACAATTGACTTCAAGCCAATGATGTTGATGAAGCAACTCATCCGCTGGTTCGGACAAACGCCACATCTCGCTGCGGACAGAGTCTTGGCCATTATGCTGGAGCTGCTGCGCTCAGAGTACGGCAGCGTGGTGGTACGCAAGATTACCTACGACCGGCTGTCGACGGAGCTGGGTAAGGTGCGGCGCATTCTGCGATCGCTGGAGTCCGAGCGGGTTACCGATCTGCTTGACGACCTCCAGTATTTGCTGCTCCAAAAGTACAACATCCGCCTGGAGACACCGTCGGGGTCTTCGATTAGTTCTGTTAATGTGACCACCGAGGGAACAGAGTCGGTGACCAGCAGCATTAGCATTGTAAAGGACACTCTCAAGCCGGAGGATTACGAGCCCGCTTGGTCGCAGCCCTGTCCGGAGGATGTGGCCAGCTTGCAGAGCATGATAAATATGCCACGAAACGAAGGGACCGATGCCATCGAGGTGCAGGTGCAGCTTACACAACTGACCATCAGGATGGGCGACTACCCGGCGGAGTACCTTCTGCAGCCGCCATACACTTTCCTGATCCTGGTGCAGCTTCAGCAGCGCCGCGACGGCTGCCTGCTGCATGTGAACCGGGCGATCATAGCGTACTTAAAACAGCTCCAGCGCCGCATTGAGATTCGCTGCACTACCATGTGCTATGCGAATAGTCTGGATGCTCCCGGATCGCTCGCCAGGCAACTGAGGGTTGAGAGCGCCCTGTCACTGGTGCTGAACAACTGCCTCGACCTGGTTATGAAGTGCTCCGATAACGACAAGTGGCATGTCCTGGAGCTGGTCAAGCAGGCGGTCAAGACATACAAAGTACTCAAGGTGGGTATAGCGCCAGGTGTCACCACTCGATTCGGGGACATGGTCAGGAAGCTGCTCAAATTCTGCAGCAGCCGGACCGGCACTAAGTTGAGCGAGCTGGTCAGCTCCCTGATGGTTCCCCGGCTGCAGTCGCTGATCTTCAACGACCAGCTGCTGGAGATAATGCTCCTGAACATCAATTATGACAAGATGTTGAATAGCGCTCAGGCCAACTCCCTCATAAAGCCCATTCTCATGGACACTTGCTTCCTGAGCCTGCCAGGTCGCCAGAGCGCGCTGGGCGACCTTAAGGGCGTGGCCTTGATGAACTCCACGGATGATGACCATTTGAGGAAGCTGAAAATTGCCTACATGAGCGCACTGGATCAATTCCAGTCAACGACCCAGATGAAGGCTCCGTTGCTGATCGAAGCGAATGCGGTGCTTGTGGTGGTCAACCAGCTGGGCAGTAAGAGGCTGGTGAAGCAGCTATTCGACGCCGTTGTAGAGTGCACCCCGCTCTATCCTGGCAATCTGAAGCTAAAGATTAAGGCCCAGACGGTGCTTTGGACCTTGGTGGACTTGCCCGATAAGCAGCTCCGCTGGTTTCTTTACGGCCTGATGCGCAATCCGGTGACAAGTCATTTTCATGCCTTTATGACCAAGACGGTGTACATGCCAGGCTGCACCAATTTGGAGCTAGTGCGTCAGGGCATTCTCGGATTGCCGCTGACCAGCAGGTTCCTTCAAAAACTGATCGTCCAGAGTTGGGACATGGAGGCGCCGCAGAATGTGAGGCAGTGGTGCCTCGATTACTTCATCCTGCTCTTCAAGCTGCATAACTTTGTGGGGCAGCAGGACCTTCAGAATATTATCCAAATAGTTTATCCTCTGCTGCCGCTGCTGATCTGCCGCACCATCTCGGACACTCAGCTGACGCACGCTATCTGGGCGCTTTGGCATCCCAATACTTGCATGATAAAAGCGCCACCGAATCTGCGGATATTCGTCTGCTACCTTTTCCATCCGCACATTGAGGTCAGACATAAGGCTCCCATCCCAATTAACTTAATCCTGCAGGCGTTGGATATGAAAAAGAAGAGCCTGACCCCCCGCGATCAGTTGGTACACAAGTGGACGGACCCGGATATCTGCCTGATAAAGCCGCCGTTGAATTATAAAGAAATCTTCGCGAAGCCCACTGAGGAAGCCTTTCAGGGACAGCGCAGCTTGGATGCCCTGATGGGGTTGCTGGAGACCAAGGACCTGCGGCCATCTATCAGAAAGTCCTCAATGGCTCAGCTAAATGTGCTGCTCCGAAATTGGAAGGCCTGCGAGTGCTTTAACTCAAAGAAAGCCTTCAGCATGATTGTTTCTTCCCTGCCAATTGGCTTGGAGACACATCCCGGCGATCCTGCAGAGGTGCTGGTGCCAGCCGTTAGTATTTTGCTGAAGATGATGCTACAAAATGCGGATTTTCGTAATCAGGTAGCCTACATGCCCGAGATGTACATGAACCTGGTCCGTGCTATGGTGCTGTTGCCCCACGAGGAGGAGTTGCGGCAAAATGCCAGCATCTGCCTCTTCGTGATGCTCTTCTACGACGATATCATTGCCACCGAGGACAAGCTGGTGATTGCAGTACAACTGGGTGGCCTGATGTCGCCAGTCACCCATGAAGTGGAAATCCCAGTTCCACACAGCCCCGTTACCGAAGGTGTAAGTGCACAGCAGCGCCTGGATAAGGCCTATTTTGGGGATGATGAGACCGCCTCTGGCCAGCATTGGCGCCTGTTTTTGTGTCACTACCTACGCAAGGTCATGACACAAGAGAGCATGCAGGCCTTGGACATCAGGAGTGAGCTTAAGATGAACCTGGGTGACGTGGCCATGATGCAGGCCTCGGAACCAGACGTACAGCTGCGCAATCAGCTGATGGCGGCGAGTAACTGCAGCAGTCACGAAGCCCTGCAGCAGAAGCTCGATGTCATTCAGTTGTTCCTGGTCCATCTGCGCAGCTCTATACCGGACTCGGAGGGCCAGAGTTTATGGCAGCTGATCAACAAATACATACGCTCGGCCCCAGCCAACGATGCGGATTGTAAGCTCTACATGTCACTGCTGGAACTGTGCCTCACCTGCCTCAGCTTCTCCCATGACCAGGTGATCAAGGGGCTGAACGAGGCCCTCGAAACGGATCCGAATCACAGTTTCCTTTTGCTGCTGCAGGATAGGAGTATATCCCTGGACGTGCTGCACCTAATAGGCCAGTGTCTGGAGCAGCTGCTGGCCAACGAGAACGAGATTCGCTTGAAGTGGCATGGCAAGTTGTTCCTTCAGCTGAGTTCGATGGCCAGGAAGCACTTTGAGATCCGGCAGCTGCAGCATGTGCGCTGTATACTGGGCATCCTGAGGCGCCTGAGCGAGCGGGAGCTGATGCTCAGCAGTGTCCAGGTGAAGGTGAGTACTCCACCTCAAGTTGATCAATTTCTATACAAAATTTAATGAACAATTGTTGTGATTTCAGCACTATTGTCAGCACTTTATGCAGCTGTCCAGCGATCTGAGAACCTCAACGCAGACGGGAGCCCAGTGGCTGCGCGACTGTCTACACATCATTTGCGAACTCCACTTGCTCCAACCCTCCGGGAAGACCACGAACAGCATATACGAGCCGGGTGTGGCCAATAAGGTTCTACGCTATCTGTTGGGACTCTGCGGGCACAGCGATAGCGATGTGCGTGCCCTCTCCTGGGTCCTGATGGCCGACTGGCTCGGCTGCTGCGATGTGAAGATGGAGAGCATTCTGCCGGGCTTAAACTTTCTGCCTGGCGGACTGCCAGCCTGCTGCCTGACCACGCTATTGGACGTTCATGAAGTGATGCTGGTCAGAGTGCTGGCCGGCAGAGTATTCATCCGGCTGATGCCGCTGGTGGGAGCCGAGGCATGCGTGGATATTTTGCGGAATCACACCTTTCTGAAGGATGCCTCATGGGCTCTGAGGACGCTGCATGTGTCTCCCCATCTGGACAAGCAGCCGGCGGGAGAGCAGCACTCCTGCGAGATAATCAGCTGCTATGTTTCTATATGCATCAGCATGGTAAGCCTCGACCCGGAGTGGTGCAGCAGTACACTGTGCCAGCATAGTTTCATGAGTGGCCTCAGTGATGTGTTTAAGACGCCACCGCCGACACTAGACCAGTATTCGAATGCCTTCTTTGAACTGTGTGCCGAGCACATTTGCGAGCTGTATGCCCTCTGCTATGTGAATAACTTTGAGTACCTCCAGAGGAGCATCTGCCGCGACACCGTTTTTTTGGAGAGCTTCCTTGCGCTAATTAACTATGTGACGGACGTGGACCAGCAGGGTCAGCTATTTAAGCTGCTCCTAGTGTTCTGCAAGGACTCGAATGCATTTTCATACCTTTGCGCGGAGTTGGAGAAGAGGCCAGGCTTCTTCATAGACTTTTTCCTGATTGGACTGCATAAATCAGCCCTGGGAACCGATCTCAGGCGCTACACGCTCAAGTGCCTGGCCATGATCTTTCTGAAAACACAGAGTGCTCCTTTGGTAAATAAGCTGGAGCAATATGTTGTGCCCTTGTCTCCGAATCGTGACCCAAGTAAACCTCCCTACACCGAGAAGGAATTAGTTGGAAACAATGTCAAGGCAATTGCCTTCATTTACCGAATCCTGGAGGATCAATTCCTTTGCTATTATATGGACAAAAGAACAAATACTTTTCTGGAAGCCGTCGATCCTGGGCACGTTCAGGTCTGTGAAACCTTCGGTGTCTTCCTGAAGTACTCCAAGGAGGCTGCCTCCATAGCCGACGAGGCGCTTCTGGTGGATCGGTTACTGATTATGTTCAATGCATTTCTGAAGGACGACAAATTCGGGAATGCCTCAGCCTATGTAAGACGCGTGGGCGCCCATAAGACACAGCAAATCCTGGGCAATCTCTTGGTGCTGCTTAAAATGATGTCGCAGTGGTTTAGCTCGCCCCATTCGGTGCTCAAGGGGACCTCGTCTGCGGCCCTAATGGTGAACATATTGGTCCGTCTCTGGCCGTGGCTATCGCACTCGGCGGAGCTGAAGCAACTTGTCGTCCAGGTGGTCATGTTCCTCACCGAGTACTCCTTTGAGATGTGCAAGCAGACCTCACAGATTCAGCCTGAGCAATCACATTCCCTGCTTCAGTTGATGTCCCGCGTGGCTGACTTTGAGACCACCAGGAAGGAGCCCAACGCTGGAGCATTTGGCGAGGGAACTTGCATAATTCCCGCCCTGAGGGTCATGAGCAATTGCTGTTCCTGCTCCGAGGGCCGCCTCAGCCTGTCCAAGATGCACGTGCTGGACATGTTCGATACGATTCTGCCCGCTAATCCTTCGGTTAGCAAGGTGCGACCCCAGGTGGTTCGGGCTTGGCTGGCCTTTTGGGAAGTCTACTCCCGCTACGATGTGGGCGCCAAGGCGTGTCACCTGCACTCCCTGATGAACATTGTCCGACGCCTGTCGCCACTGGACGACCGGAGGATTCTGAGTCTTCGCATCATTCGCAACATGAGCTTCTTTAATAACAACCGCACTGTGCTCACGGATATGACAGAGTTCATAAATATGCTGCGCGATATTCTTAATCAACCGGTGATGCAGAAGGATGCCTCCAGTGAACAGGGCCTGATCTCGTTCGAGGAACACCGCCTGGCGGTGCTGATGCTGTACAAACTCTTCGGCTACGGGGCCAAGTACAAGGCCAAGCTGCGTGGCACTAAGCTAATGCAACTGCTGACCCACCTCAAGGATCATATGGAAGGCATGAAGACTGAGAAAGAGGATCGATTTCCAGACATTCCCTATGCAGAAGAGCTCCTCGGGCTGCTGACCAATTTCTTGGAGGCGGTGGAAGAGTAGAAGACGAAGCTGACAAGGTACAAAGCAAGGGACTATTTTATTTATAATGAAGTTATTGTTTTTGTTTTTTAATATGTACTTTTTTGAAATGAACATTAAATTATTTTTAATACCTTATTTGAGCGAAAATGAACTAAGAAAGTGCATTTATAATAATTTAAACGAATGAAGTTTTTATTATTTAATTTAAAGATTTTTAAAATTTAATATTGGGTAAATGTAAGCTTCTGCTAGAAGTCCCATTGCCATCAAGATTATGGCGTATTTATCCATTTGTGGTCTCCATAAGATGTCGCACTGAAGTAGCCCCAGATGTACATATACCCAGCAACCGCAACTTGGAAATAAAGATTAGACTGTCCACACACGAGCTGAAAACTCTTTCTTAAACGATTTTCAAACGTTGTAAAGATAGGACTCCATAAATCTGCCATTATTTAGATACCAAATAGGCAAAACTTTAACTGGGTCTGGGGAAGCAACTACAAAAAAAATTGCGGGGTTTTGCCACATTCTCCTCGTTAGTATCGAGCGGTATATTGCATGTTCAAAGCGATTTATCTTTATGGGATTCAAAGTGCGAATCACTGCCGATAATATCCGTCGAGCCTCAACCTCGGAACATTCAAGGCAATGGGCTGTTTCAGTGCAGATCCGACTGGCCAAAGGAACTGTTCGACGTTGTGACCGCTAAAATCAAAAAAATAAATCATAGCCATGAAATCGGATGACGCGAATGTGAGCTTTGATTTCCTGAATCAGTTTCCAGTGATATTAAGCCATAAATTCTTTTAAAGGGTTCTGCCAAAAGTCAGTCGGACATGGCTCTTATCAATGTCCTGTCGCAAAGAAAACACCCGAGGCTACGACTACCCTGGTACTACGCTCCATCCTTTCTACTCCTGTGGGTGGCCCTGTTCTATGCGGTTGTGTATCCTCTTTATCATCGTCTGCCGGATAGTGTCCTGATTGCAGATGAGGCTCGCAAGCCGGGCGAATTTGTGGCCGAGAGGGCACAAAGACTGCTCTACAAGTACGATCGGATAGGACCCAAAGTGGTGGGCAGTGTAGCCAATGAGGTGACAACGGTGGCCTTTCTTGTCGAGGAAGTGGAAAACATTCGGGCAGCTATGCGCAGCGATCTCTACGAGCTGGAAATAAATGTGCAACAGCCTTCGGGTGCTTATATGCATTGGCAAATGGTGAACATGTACCAGGGTGTACAGAATGTAGTTGTGAAAATCAGCAACAAGAGCTCTAATAGTTCTGCCTATCTCCTGGTGAACAGTCACTTTGATTCCAAGCCCACCAGTCCAGGTGAGTTCAACTTATATGATTAAATTTTGCTGTTTAGTAAGAGATCCTCTTAGGATCCGGCGATGACGGCTCTATGGTGGTGGTTATGCTGGAGGTCCTGCGGCAAATTGCCATCTCGGACACAGCCTTTGAGCATCCCATAGTCTTTCTGTTCAATGGAGCTGAGGAGAATCCTCTAGAGGCCTCTCATGGCTTTATCACAGCCCACGAATGGGCCAAGAATTGCAAGTAAGTGGTGACTTTCCATTTAGTAAAACATAAATATAAAATATATTAATCCCACAGAGCTCTCGTAAACTTAGAGGTGGCTGGCAGTGGTGGACGCGATCTGCTTTTCCAGAGCGGACCAAATAATCCCTGGCTTATAAAGGTATGACACATTCCTAAGTAACTCAACACATATGAAGAATTCCAGGGCCCATCCTAGTTTATAGTGCTCGTGCATTGTTTTCCTGTTTATCGAAATTTGATTCCTTAATTGCGGCAATTTGATTGTAGAGTGTTTACTTTATGATTTCGACGCTTCCAGCAATAGTAAAATAAATTTTAAATGTAGATAGATATAAAGTTTCTAAAGTTTCTTGGTAACCGGAAATATTTGACCAATTCAGGGACTTTCCCAGTTCATAGACCTCGCGCAGAGGGTATTTGTTTATCTGAATTTGATTAGTTTATGACAGCAATTAGATTGTAGAAGATTACTTTATGATTTTTCCAAGACTTCAACTGTTTACTAATGGATATAATGGATTTATAATATTGCCAAACTTTTTATAGTACTACAATCAAAATGCCAAGCATCCGTTTGCCACCACAATGGCCGAGGAGATATTCCAGTCTGGCATTCTGCCTTCAGATACGGACTTTCGTATCTTTCGGGACTATGGACAGCTGCCGGGTAAGTTGCTAGCAATTATAATAAAGAAAATAGTTCCCAAATATCCTACTTGTATAGGTCTTGATATGGCTCAAATCAGCAATGGCTATGTCTACCACACCATTTTTGATAATGTTCAGAATGTGCCCATAGCCTCTCTTCAAAACACGGGCGACAATGCTTTATCTCTGGTGCGGGCCTTTGCCAATGCCAGTGAAATGTATAATCCAGAGGTGAGAAAAACATATAGTTTTTAAAGAAATAATACTTATATATACTCTTCCACAGGATCACAGCGAAGGACATGCAGTGTTCTTTGATTTTCTGGGCCTTTTCTTTGTGTATTATACCGAGACCACTGGCATTATCCTGAACTGTTGCATTGCTGTAATCAGCTTGATTCTGGTGGGCTGCTCTCTGCTGAGAATGGCCCGCGAATCGGAGGCATCACTGTGCCAAGTCTCGATATGGTTCTCCATTATCCTGGGACTTCATGTTGTGGGAATGATTCTCAGTCTGGGACTGCCACTGCTGATGGCCGTTCTCTATGATGCTGGCAATTGTTCCATGACTTATTTTAGCAATCACTGGCTGGTGATTGGCCTCTTTATCATTCCCGCGATTATAGGCCAGATCCTGCCATTGACTCTGTACTATACACTGAAGCCCAATGTAAGTTTGCTGGAGATTTGTATATAATTTAAACTGAGAGCTAAAGGGTTTACTTAAAACAGGACAAGATCAGTCACCCTAACCATCTCCATATGAGTCTCCATGCTCACTGCGTGCTGCTGGCCATAATTGCTATTATCCTGACATCTGTAAGCCTAAGGACTCCCTATCTGTGCATGATGTCCTTGCTGTTTTACTCGGCAGCTTTGCTAATTAATCTACTGAGTACGCTTCACGATCGCTGTAGGTTTAAGCATATAAAAAGTTATATATGTGCCAGTTCTAAGGATCTTTATTTGCAGGCTACTTTTGGGTGCTGATGGTGCAGGTCCTCCAACTGATGCCCTTCCTTTACTTTAGTTACCTGTTCTATACCTTCCTTTTGGTATTCTTTCCCATGCTGGGACGCTTTGGCCATGGCACTAATCCAGATCTTTTCATTGCCCTGATATGCGCCTTGGGTTGCTTCTTTGCCCTGGGTTTTATGGTGAGTCGCATAGAGGTTTTATTCCAGACCGAAACCAAGTGAATCTCGTTCTTATAGGCTCCCCTGATAAACATGTTCCGCTGGCCCAAGTTGGCTTTGCTTGGTTTGGGTGTTGTTACCTTTATTTTCTGCATGATTGCCGTCTCCGATGTGGGTTTTCCGTATCGCGCCAAGACCAGCGTGATGAGGATTCACTTTCTGGTGGGTTAATTTCTTCAAAAGGTTAATAACCTCATATTAATCAATCAATCTTCCAGCATGTCCGTCGCATCTTCTATGAGTACGATGGCTCCGTGAGCCTGAGCGATTCGGGTTACTACTTTGATTTCCAGGATCGCCGGCTGTACTATCCCCTGGAGGACACCAGCTTAAATCTGACTGGCCTGGTCAGCACTTCATCTGACTGCGACAAGTATTTGATGTGTGGAGTTCCCTGCTTTAATCACCGTTGGTGTAAGACCCGAAGCTCAAGTCACTGGCTGCCGCGTGAGCAGGAGGTGGCCATACCGGGAGCCACATCCCTGAAGCTACTCAGCAAGACCCTGTTGGACACAGCCAAGTTGGCACGTTTTGAATTCGAGATCTCTGGGCCACCGCACATGAGCCTGTACATACAGCCCTTGGAGGGAGTTGAGGTGGATGACTGGTCCTTCATAAGGAATATGCTGGATGAGCCCGAGACGTACTCGGCTCCCTATCAGATATTCTTTGCCTATGGAAAGGATAACTCGCCCTTGAAGTTTCACATAGATTTTAGGGTGAGTCTAGAAAACTTCTTTAATAAATTCTGTTTTAATTTTACTTCTTTTAGAAATCCTCTGGAGACTTCAACACCGCCACCTTCCAGCTGGGCTTCGCTGCCAGCTTTGTCAGCTACGACTACGAAAGGGATGCAGCTGGTCTGAAGTTTATATCCGAGTTTCCCGACTTTGCTCATGTCATGGAATGGCCTACGTTATATGAACGTTATATATTTTAAGTTTATGCTTACTTATGGTAGTTCTCGCTTTAGTAACGTAGACCTAAGAACTTTATTTGTTGCCATACGAACTAATTAATCAAGAGTGTGTAAGTACTGCCCGTGGAGCGATTAGAGATCGGCGATTAGATTCGAGGGCGTAGATCCCGAACTGACCTGCAAGCGGATTTTAAATTGTAAATTAAATCTGCACTATCACAGACTAATTAGCTTCCCCGTGTAGTTTGTTGTTGGCCCATATCAAGGCTCTCCTTGCGTTATCTTTGTGGGCTCAAGTGGACCGGCGGGATCCGCAGCCGTCAGACCACAAACATTTCAGTAGCGTGACGGATACGCCTCAGAAAGGTTCTCGACTTGGCAGCAGCTCTCGCTCTCTACGGGGAATAACATGGAGCTACCGGCGAACGGCGGCGATAAAGCGAGTACTTTTATTTATAAACATTTCTCCGATGAATTTTAGTCACTGTAAAATCCAGGAGGGCTACTCGGACACCGTTCTCTTCAATGTCTTGGCAAAGAAGAAGGAGATGAGAAGGCGTCTGCCCTGGTTCTATGCACCCGCCTTCCTGCTCCTCTGCGTGGTGCTATTCTTCGCGGTGGTTCTGCCGCTCTTCTACAAACTACCCGATCAAGTAACCCTTGCCGACGAGCCACTGAAACCCGGCGAATTCGTGGCGGAGAGAGCGCAGAAAGTACTCAAAGAATTCGATCGTATCGGGCCGAAGGTGGTGGGGAGCACCGCCAACGAGGTGACCACGGTTGCATTTCTCTTAGGCGAGGTGGAAAAGATACGAGGTGAAATGCGCAGCGATCTCTTTGACTTGGAGGTGGATGTCCAGCAGCCAAGCGGCTCTTATGTGGTGGGAACCATGACCAGCATTTACCAGGGCATTCAGAATGTGGTTGTCAAGCTGGCCAGTAGGAGTTCCAACAGCTCATCCTACATGCTGGTCAATAGTCACTTTGACTCAAAGCCAGGCAGTCCAGGAAAGCTAATGACGAAAATTAAACTCAGAGCCCAGCACTAATTGTTTCTTATGAGTAGGTGCTGGCGATGATGGCACCATGGTGGTGGTTATGCTAGAGGTTCTGCGTGTAATGGCCATTTCTGCAACGGTCTTTACGCATCCCGTAGTATTTCTGTTTAATGGAGCAGAGGAGAATCCTCTGCAGGCCTCCCATGGCTTTATTACTCAGCATAAATGGGCAGCCAACTGCAAGTTTGTATGGAATTAAGTTTTTTTATTTCCAATTTAATTATATTTCTTACAGGGCAGTCATCAACCTGGAAGTGGGAGGCAGTGGAGGACGGGACATACTCTTTCAAAGCGGTCCAAATAATCCCTGGCTAGTAAAGGTGTTTATTTCCTTTATTATTGAAGGAATAGTATATACTTTATAGTCATAATTTCAGTACTATAAAAAACACTCAAAGCATCCGTTTGCCTCAACTTTGGCGGAGGAAATCTTTCAATTTGGCATACTGCCCTCTGACACGGATTTTCGCATTTTTAGAGACTACGGAAATATTCCTGGTAAGTTTATATTAAACGGTTAGTAAGAATATATCATTAAATCTTTTCTTAAAGGTCTTGATATTGCACAATTTAGCAATGGCTACGTTTACCACACAGCCTTTGATTCATTCAATGTGGTACCAGGACGCTCTGTTCAGAATACAGGAGAAAATGTTCTCTCACTCGTCAAAGCCTTTTCCAATGCCCCTGAACTGGGTAATTCTGAGGTAATGTCTTTTTAAACCATAAAAACAAAAGAAGATATTAATTGATGAAAACCCCAAATAATTGAGAAGTCTTCAGTCGTTGAGTTTTTGTAAGAAACTGATTTTATTCCATTCAAACCCTAGCTTATATAGCTAACATGAGAATGTACATTTAGATATTAGTTCTAGACCCACGCATCGGACAGTTCCCGATCGTGAGAAATATACGATAAGGGTGCAAACAGTCACCCCGAAAGAACATATCTTAAACAAACCCAGACCGCTCGCAGGAGGTCATATTTCGGGTTACTTGTTACATAGGCTCAAGTGGCGGTTGTATTAATAGATAGATATGCACATACAAGTGCTAGGCCGTGCTCTGCTGCTGGGACTTTATCGCTAACAGATGCTTCTTATCTAAAACCGTGTTCATGTTTGAACATTCTGCCAAGGGCCAGCAAGATTCGGGGTACATTTAAATTAGTTGCAATAAAAAGATAAGTGGACTGTATTTATTTTGTTTCATTCGATACAATTAATTTTGCAACTAATATTTTACAAAGCCCTCCGTATCATGGCTTAATACATGTACAATTTTATTTCTTTTTAACTTTTAATTTTTAATTCATCAAAATTTGTTTGTTTTGTATTTCTTTTTTTGTTTTGTATTATTTTTCTTAATTTTTGAAAAAATTTATATTCGTTTTAACTGATATTTTCTGACTTTAACTCCAGCTTTGTAAATACCTCCGAAGTGAGGTCCTGCCGGGGGAATATTGCGTTAAATAACTTCTGATCTGACTTTGTTCCTGCCTCTTATGAGTGCAATATTTATAAATTCTTTTCTTTTACAAAATCAAAAAATTATTATATTAAAAAAAGAATTTTAATTAAGTCGACTTAGCTGCTGCTTTTTCCACATCTGCCGCGCCGCCGTCGTCTTTAAATTTGATGTTGTTGTTTTTGCTGCTGCTGTCGTCGCTGCCGCCGTTGTTTGTTGTAGGATGATTTCCTGATGCCGCCTGTTTCTGTATCGTCGCTGCGGCCGTCGTTTTTGTTGCAGACTTATTTGTAGTTGCTGCCGTGAGGTCGTCCCTCCTTCTACTTTTCTCCGTCAAGGGCTGGGTAACTTCCACACAATATCTTAGCCGATTTCTCGACCCCAGAAAATTATTTTATTCTTATTTTCTGGTTGCCATATCTGGCATTTACAAAAAAACCAACCAATGGAGTTGGAAAAAAATATTAATAAGGACTCTTATTGTCCTTTAATTTTAAAAAACCAACCAATGGAGTTGGAAAAAATTTTTTTGTTTAAAAACAAAAGGGACTCTTTTTTGACCTTTTGAATTATCGTTTTCACGACCACCAAAAACTTTTTTATTATTGTGTTTTTTTTTTTAATTAATTTTGTCACGATAGGTCTTTTTTTTTTTCACTACCGCGACTTTTCGATGTTTTAGGCCTCGAAAAAACGCCCACAATAAATATTTGTTATATTTATTTTTTTTTTTAAATTTGCCGATTTCTCGACCACTTTTTTTTTTTTTTTACAAGAAGGACTCTTTTTTTATCCTTTTGCATATATATATGGTATATGTTGGCCATTTCAAATACCATAACATAATTTTATGCACTTTTTACATTTTCTTTAAGCACATTTTCTACTGATATTATTGGCTCCAGCACGCCTTACCATTTTTTTCATGGTATTACAGCAACCTAAATGGTGCTTCAATTTAAAACATAAAAGACTCTTTTGTGTCTTTTTGTTTTTATTTTATACTCTGTTCCTTACCACGGGTGGGGGGAAACAAGAGTTAATTATTTTGCTACCTTTTAGCTACAAGTGTTACTTGCTTCGCTTGAAGGAGCTGGCCTCACTCTGAGTCCCTTACCATAGAGGGGGAAACTGCAGAGTTGTCGAAGTAAATTTCTTCGAAGGCTCGATTGACCAAAATGAAAACCCCAAATAATTGAGAAGTCTTCAGTCGTTGAGTTTTTGTAAGAAACTGATTTTATTCCATTCAAACCCTAGCTTATATAGCTAACATGAGAATGTACATTTAGATATTAGTTCTAGACCCACGCATCGGACAGTTCCCGATCGTGAGAAATATACGATAAGGGTGCAAACAGTCACCCCGAAAGAACATATCTTAAACAAACCCAGACCGCTCGCAGGAGGTCATATTTCGGGTTACTTGTTACATAGGCTCAAGTGGCGGTTGTATTAATAGATAGATATGCACATACAAGTGCTAGGCCGTGCTCTGCTGCTGGGACTTTATCGCTAACAGATGCTTCTTATCTAAAACCGTGTTCATGTTTGAACAATTGATATATATAACAGGCAGACACCGAAGGACATGCCGTATTCTTCGACTTTTTAGGTCTGTTCTTTGTGACTTATACGGAAAAAACTGGCATCATCTTGAACTACTGCCTGGCTGGGCTCAGTCTTCTGTTAGTTGGTTTTTCCATTTGGCGAATGTCCAGTCAGTCAGAGGTTTCTATAGGAAAGACATTAATATGGTTTGCCATCCTCCTGGGGCTTCATTTGATTGGATGTCTTCTGTGTATTGGCCTGCCTTTGCTGATGAGTGTTTTATATGATGCTGGAGATCAAACCATGACCTATTACAGCAGCAACTGGTTGGTGATAGGTCTATACATCTGCCCGGCTATCATAGGTCTTGTGTTGCCTTCGACATTGTTGTATTCATTCAAGACAAATGTTAGTTGGTCTTTGGTTATTTTTACTTAATTTTATTTTAATTTAATTTAAATTTATTTCAGGAAAAGTTGAGCCATTCGTATCAGATTTACATGGGTTTGCATGCCCACTGCGTTATCCTGGCAATTCTTTCTCTGATCTTGACAGGGATAGGACTGCGTATACCCTATATGTGCATGATATCCTTGTTTTTATATGTGGCTTCTTTGTTGATTAATCTTATAAGTACTTTACATGATAGAGGTGGGTGGAAAGGCTAATTAATTGTACATTTTGTATCCATTTCCTTTCTTTTTAAAGGTTACTATTGGGTTGTGACAGTGGAGATAATCCAGCTCTTTCAGTTTGTGTATTTTTGCTATTTGTTTTACATATTCCTGGTGATATTCTTCCCTGCTATGGGAAGAAATAGGGACTCATCCAATCCAGATATGCTAATAGCCCTGATATGTGCCATGGGAACATTCTTTGCCCTAGGTTTTGTGGTAATATTAAAGAATAGTTTCTTAAATAATAGTTAACTAAGTCTGTATTTCAGGTTCCTCTGATAAACATGTTCCGCTGGTCCACAGTTTTATTGATTGGTCTCGGCGTGGTGACCTTCATCTTTTGCATGATCTCCCTATCGGAAGTGGGATTTCCCTATCGTCCAAAGACAAGTGTGATGCGGGTGAACTTTCTGGTAAGTTTATATTCATTCTTCTTTATAAATCGAGTTAAGAACATAATCTTTTCACAGCAAACTCGTCGCATCTTCTACGAATTCGATGGCTCTACTAGTATCGATGATTCCGGTTACTACTTTGACTTACAGGACAGGCATGCCCTACGACCGCTTAAGGATTACCCCGTAAACCTCGCCGGACTCAGTAAAATAAATCCCCCATGTACTGACTACGTGATGTGTGGCATGCCTTGTTTCTGGAGCAGCTGGTGTAGGTCACTCTCCAGCGCAGCTTGGTTGCCGCGTGAGCAGCCAGTGGATATACCGGGCTCATTGAACCTAACCCTTTTGCGTACAAGTGTACTGGAGTCGGGAAGGGTCAAGAGATTTGAGTTAGAACTCGCTGGACCACCACACATGGGCTTGTATATAAGACCCTTGGAGGGAGCTGCTGTGGAGGACTGGTCCTTTATAAGGAACATGCTGGACAGGCCGGATAAGTACTCGGCGCCCTACCAGATATACTTTTCCTACGGCTTGGATAAGTCACCATTTACATTTCACATAGATTTTACAGTAAGTTTCTAAAATAGCCAAACAGTTTATGATTTTATCTGATATTTATTTATTTTACAGAAATCCAATGGAAACTTCAATGAAGCTATCTTCGAGCTTGGGGTTGTGGGACACTATGTTAACCAGGATTTCAAGCGTGATGAGACCACCGTGCAGTTTATTAGAAGCCTGCCAGACTTTGTTCACACCATGGAATGGCCCTCTCTTTTTGTGCGATTTATCTTCTAGGATCCCCCTTTCTGCTGTACTCTATATAGCTTTGCTTCTATTATACGTATTTGGGTCGATCCCTGATCTTTGGCTGCGATAATGCCAGCGATAGGGTAAAGGCTGAGAAATAAATATAATCTCTATACTATAGTAACGTCACCTTAATCTGCCAGACATCGGTCAATGAATAAGCTTTAATTTGCAGCTGCCCCTCGCGTGCGTCGGAATCGCCACTCATGTATATTTATATTAAGTCATAAACCCCTCCAATTTAGATACCATGGCCGTGGCCATGGTTAAGTCCCAGCCGCCCTGCTGCGCCTTAAGACAAAGCAGTTCCCCCGCCGGCCAGCGCCGGGTATCAAGCGGCACACGGCATTATCTTTATGGGCCTTAATTCGGCGGAAGGCTTCGAGTCGATATGCTCCGGGCGCAGACGTTCAGTTATGCGTGGACCGGGCATCGGAAGGGTTTGAATTGGCTCCGCTAGCAATCTAACCATGGAGGAGAAGACTGATAAAGTGAGTGTTGACTTGTAAGATTTATGAGATGCGCCAGAGCGGATTTATTGAATGGCGTCTTACCAGGAGATCGCCCTCGCCACCGTGCTCATCGAGTCCTTGACGGTGCACAAGAAGCCAGCCGACAGGCGAAGACTGTCCTGGTATTATGCCCCCTCCTTCCTGCTTCTCTGGCTGGCGCTGTTCTACGCCATAGTGATCCCGCTTTATAACAAGCTCCCGGAAAGGGTGACCATCTCAGACGAGTCCCTGCGGCCCGGGGAATTTGTGGCGGAACGGGCTCAGAGTCAGCTCTATGTTTACGATAGGATAGGACCCAAAGTCACAGGAAGTTATGCGAATGAAGTGACTACGGTTGAGTTTCTTGTGAATGAAACGGAGAAAATCCGCTCCCAGATGCGCAGTGATCTCTACGAACTTGAGGTGGATGTCCAGTCACCTACTGGTGGCTACGTGTTCATCGACATGGTCAATATGTATCAGGGAATTCACAATGTGATTGTAAAGTTGAGTTCAAAAAGTTCTCAGAGCGAGTCCAACCTGCTGCTTAACAGCCATTTTGACTCCAAGCCAAGCAGTCCAGGTGAGTGATTTCCTGATTTTCAATTCTAGTGAAAGGTAATGACCTTTGTCCTCAGGTTCGGGTGATGATGGTACCATGGTTGTGGTCATGCTAGAGGTCCTTCGTCAAATGGCCATATCGGAGACACCTTTTGAGCATCCCCTTGTCTTTCTGTTCAACGGAGCCGAGGAGAATCCCCTTCAGGGGTCCCATGGTTTTATTACGCAACACAAGTGGGCAAAGAACTGCAAGTGAGTTAAAGGAAATTCACACGATATCGGGTTGGTAATAACATAAAAATATTGTTTTTAGAGCCTTTATCAACCTAGAAGTGGGCGGAAGTGGGGGACGGGACCTATTGTTCCAGAGCGGCCCGAATAATCCCTGGCTGATGAAGGTAAGAATCATTATTCTTCGGCAGAAAGTGGCTTATGGCATCCAACAAAAATTTAACTGTTGAGCTTTTATGGCCGACTTTATGGTTATTTTTTTATACTCCCGAAATACTGGATAGCCTCTTTATAGTATTATAGGCAACATGCGAAGCACCCGTTTGCCACCACCATGGCCGAGGAGATCTTTCAGAGCGGAATTTTACCGTCTGACTCAGACTTTCGAATTTTCCGGGACTTTGGGAATATACCCGGTGAGTCGATGAGTCACTTTATGTTCAATGGTTTCGATAACAATCTGGTTTCCCGCAGGGCTGGACATTGCCCAGGTTAGCAACGGATATGTGTACCACACGGTATTTGATACCTTCGAGGCAGTGCCTGGCCGATCCATACAGAACTCTGGAAACAATGTCCTTGCAATGGTTCGGGCCTATGCGAATGCTTCTGAATTATACGAAGCCAAGGTAAGATTATAACTTATTTCTTAATGAAGGATTTTGGTTTATAGGTCAAGACTTTTTCAGGGTGATGATGGCCATGCTGTCTTTTTTGACTTCCTCGGCCTTTTCTTTGTGTATTATACAGAGACCACGGGAATTATCCTGAACTGCCTCATTGGAGTAATCAGCCTTGTTTTGGTGGGCTGTTCCCTGTGGCAAATGTCTCGGAAGTCGGAGAAGGTTACGTTATCTCAGATCTCTATTTGGTTCCTCATTATCCTGGGTCTTCATGTGGTTGGTTTTTTGCTGTGCTTGGGCCTGCCTCTGCTCATGGCTGTGATGTTTGATGCGGGAGATCGGTCGATGACCTACTTCACCAGCAACTGGTTGGTGTTTGGACTCTACATATGCCCCGCCGTCATCGGTCTTGTACTTCCCTTGACCCTTTACTACACCCTGAAGCCCAATGTAAGAGCTAAATTTAATTTCTCTTATACCTAATACAAGAACTTTTTCTTTTATTAGGACAAGCTGAGTCATCCTTATCACCTCCAGCTGAGCTTGCACGCCCATTTGGTGGTGCAGGCCCTGCTAGCTCTCATCCTGACCGCCATGGGTCTGCGTTCGCAGTACCTGTGCCTCATTTCCATGATCTTCTATGCAGGCGCTCTCCTGATTAACTTAGTGAGCACGTTGCACGATCGTGGTGAGTGGAGTACTAATCTTTAATCTAAAGGCTCTCGTTGACTATGATTTATTTCAGGCTACTATTGGGCTCTGATAGTGATGTGCCTCCAAGTGCTTCCGTTTTGCTATTTCTGCTACCTATTCTACATGTTCCTTACGATATTCTTTCCGGTCCTGGGCAGGAATGGTTACAATACAAATCCAGATCTTATTATTGGCCTATTATGTGCTATTTGCACCTTTTTTGCCCTTGGGTTTGCAGTAAGTTCTCCTTGTTAGTGTAAGTTTTAGTGTAATCTCTAATGCTGTTTTCATAGGCTCAGTTCATCAACATGTTCCGCTGGTCGAAGCTTATACTCCTCGGATTGGGAGTCGTCACCTTTATCTTCTGCATGATCGCCGTCTCGGAGGTGGGCTTCCCTTATCGGCCAAAGACCAATGTGATGCGGGCCAGCGTCTTGGTAGGTTATCACTTTATTTTGATTTTCAGCCAGCTCACTCTTATCTTGAATAGCACACTCGTCGTATTTTTCACGAGTTCGATGGCTCTGTGAGTCACAGTGATTCCGGCTACTACTTCGACTACCAGGATAGAAGAGCTTTCAATCCCCTCCAGGACACCAGTCTTGACCTGACTGGACTCCAGCCTGTGAAGAACGACTGCGACAATTACGTGATGTGCGGAATTCCCTGCTTCTACTACAGCTGGTGCCGATGGCGTCAGTGGGCTGGCTGGCTTCCTCGCGAATCCGAGGTGGAGATTCCTGGAGAGCTGACTCTTGAGTTTTTGGGAAAGACCATCCTAGAGTCAGGAACAACAGCTCGATATCATTTCCAGCAGTCTGGACCGCCGCACATGAATGTGTTTATTCAGCCAGTGGGCGAGGCTGTGGTGGAGGATTGGTCCTTCGTGAGGGACATGCTGGACGATCCGGAAGAGTTCCAGCCGCCTTACCAGATCTTCTTTTCCTACGGAACTGATGACACTCCTTTAACTTTCCACATCGATATGTTTGTGAGTTTTAAAAATGTTATTAGAGGTAATGAGTCGATGATCAATCTATTTTATTTTGCAGAGAGCCGATGGAAAGTTCGATGAGCCCACCTTGGAGCTAGCTTCTGTGGGTCACTACGTTAGCTACGAGTTTCCCAGGGATGCGGAAGCCCGCAAGTTTGTGGCTGACTTTCCGAACTACGTGCATGTCATGGAATGGCCCTCGATATTTAAGCGTTATATATTTTAAGTCATTTATAGCTGTAGGTAGGTAACTAACAATTTTACAATAAAATCCATCCATTACCTGTCGTAACAGGTTCATATAAAACTTGCAATTATGAATTTACGGCTGGAAGAGATTTGATTTGATAAGAAAAATTACTTTAAAAATACTTTATAGCTAAAAGTTGAGATCCCAGTATATCGAGCGATATATGCTATTATCTTTATGACTTTTTTGGCAAAAGGTTTCAAGTTAGCCTTCTCGAGTACTAGCAATCAGTTCCGCGTGGATTGGGCATCAGAAGGCTTGCTCTCTCAATGCCAGCCCATAGAAGGAAAAGTTTTGTAAAGTTTTTTAACACGTGGATAATTAAGAATTTAGGTCATGACTTCAGAAAAAATTGGACATGCACGCCGGCCAGCATTTTCCTGGTACTACGCTCCCTCATTTCTAGTTCTCTGGCTGGGCCTCTTCTATGCCATCGTGGTCCCTCTATACAACAAACTCCCGGAGAGGGTAACAATTAGGGAGGAGTCCCTCAGGCCTGGAGAATTCGTGGCGGAACAAGCGGAGAGACAACTTTATGACTTTGATAGGATCGGACCCAAAGTCACAGGAAGTTATGCGAATGAAGTGACTACGGTTGAGTTTCTGCTAAATGAAACGGAGAAGATCCGCTCCCAGATGCGCAGCGATCTCTACGAACTCGAGGTAGATGTCCAGTCCCCCACTGGTGGCTACGTGTTCATCGACATGGTGAATATGTACCAGGGAATTCACAATGTGATTGTGAAGCTGAGTTCAAAGAGTTCCCGGAGCGAGTCCTACCTGCTGCTTAACAGCCATTTCGACTCCAAGCCAAGCAGTCCAGGTGAGTGAATTCCTGATTATCAATAGTGCCAGTTAATGACATTTTTCTTAAGGATCCGGGGATGATGGCATTATGGTTGTGGTCATGCTGGAGGTCCTTCGTCAAATGGCCACATCGGAGACACCTTTCGAGCATCCCCTTGTCTTTCTGTTCAACGGAGCCGAGGAGAATCCCCTCCAGGGCTCCCATGGTTTCATTACGCAACACAAGTGGGCAAAGAACTGCAAGTGAGTCATTATGGTAATTATACCATAAATCTGGGTTTACTAAAACTAATTTGTATTGACAGGGCTTTTATTAACCTGGAGATACCTGGAAGCGGAGGACGTGATCTCTTGTTTCAAAGTGGACCCAGAAACTCTTGGCTGATGAAGGTATCTCCAAAATGGATTTTCTTTACTAATATTATTCATTTATTTTATATAATTCTATATTTTTATTTTATTTATTAAAGTATTATAAACTACATGCAAATCATCCATTTGCCACCACAATGGGCGAGGAGATCTTTCAGAGTGGGATTGTACCTTCGGATACAGACTTTCGGATATTCCGGGACTATGGGAATATACCTGGTAAATAAAATGTACCTAAAGCTAGTTTTTAATTTTTAATGACACATATTTTATAGGTGTCGACTTTGCCCAGATTAAGAATGGATATGTTTTGCATACTGCATTCGATTCTTTTGAGGTTATTCCTGGCCGATCGATTCAGAATACGGGAAACAATGTTTTGGCTCTGGTACGGGCTTACTCAAATGCCTCAGAACTCAATGACACCGAGGTGGAACTTATGTAATATTTTTTTGTTATAAATATTAACTTTAATTTAACACTTTCAGCAAAATGTTGGTGGACATGCCGTCTTTTTTGACTTTCTGGGCCTTTTCTTTGTGTATTACACAGAGACCACTGGGGTCATTATGAACTGTTGCATAGCAGTGATTAGTCTGGTTTTGGTGGGATGTTCTCTCTGGAGAATGGCTCGCCAGTCGGAGAAGGTTACGATTCCTCAAATAACGCTTTGGTTTCTTATTATCCTGGGACTGCATATACTAGGAGTTCTTCTATGCTTTGGTCTGCCGCTCCTTATGGCAGTGCTCTTTGATGCTGGCGATCGTTCCATGACCTACTTCACCAGCAACTGGTTGGTTTTCGGACTCTACATATGTCCCTCTATTATCGGTCTTGTACTTCCCCTGACCCTTTACTACACCCTGAAACCCAATGTAAGACTTACCTACTTTGTCATATTATTTAATATTTATTAAATATTTTTTAAAATTCCAGAATAAACTCACCCATAGCTATCACCTGCAGATGAGCTTGCACGCTCACCTGGTAGTACTGGCTCTTCTGTCTTTCATTTTGACCTCCTTGGGCATCCGTTCTCAATACCTGTGCCTCATTTCCATGATCTTCTACGCAGGAGCTCTGCTAATCAATTTAGTGAGTAAGCTGCACGATCGGGGTAAGTTTTTGATTGCAAATTTGTTTTTAAAGTTACATATTTATAATAAATTCTTTTCAGGCTACTACTGGGCTTTGATTGTTGTTAGTCTCCAGGTGCTACCATTTTGTTATTTCACCTATATTTTCTACATGTTCCTTGAAATATTCTTTCCCATTGTGGGACGAATGGGTAGAGGCACAAATCCAGATCTGATTATAGGCTTACTTTGTGCTTGTTGCGTTTTCTTTTCAATGGGATTTGCGGTGGGTTATTGATTTTAAATATTTCATTTTTTAAATATAAATTAATTACAATTCATTCTTGACAGGCTCAGTTCATCAACATGTTTCGCTGGCCGAATCTTATACTCCTAGGGTTGGCAGTGGTAACCTTCATCTTCTGCATGATCGCCGTCTCGGAGGTGGGCTTCCCCTATCGGCCAAAGACCAATGTGATGCGGGCCAGCGTCTTGGTAGGTTATCGCTTTATTTTGATTTTCAGCCAGCTCACTCTTATCTCGAATAGCACACTCGTCGTATTTTTCACGAGTTCGATGGCTCTGTGAGTCACAGTGATTCCGGCTACTACTTCGACTACCAGGATAGGAGAGCGTTCAATCCCCTCCAGGACACCAGTCTTGACCTGACTGGACTCCAGCCTGTGAAGAATGACTGCGACAATTACGTGATGTGCGGAATTCCCTGCTTCTACTACAGCTGGTGCCGATGGCGTCAGTGGGCTGGCTGGCTCCCCCGCGAATCCGAGGTGGAGATTCCTGGAGAGCTGACTCTTGAGTTTTTGGGAAAGACCATCCTAGAGTCAGGAACAACAGCTCGATATCATTTCCAGCAGTCTGGACCGCCGCACATGAATGTGTTTATTCAGCCAGTGGGCGAGGCTGTGGTGGAGGATTGGTCCTTCGTGAGGGACATGCTGGACGATCCAGAAGAGTTCCAGCCGCCTTATCAGATCTTCTTTTCCTACGGAACAAATGACAATCCATTGACGTTCCACATTGATATGGTGGTTAGTTATTTTCAAACTAAAAATATATATATAAAACTAATCCGATTTAAATTCTAGAAATCTGATGGAGATTTTGGGGTACCCGTCTTGGAAATTGCAGCTGTGGGTCATTTTGTGAGCTATGAGTACGCCAGAGATGCAGAAACTCTCCGCTTTATAGCAGATTTTCCCGATTACGTGCACGTTATGGAGTGGCCCTCGGTATTTAAGCGATATGTTTTTTAGACCGTATATAGCCATAGGAATTTATAAAAGATTTTTACAATAAACTGCTATGTGCGAAAGGCGATACTTCGGGTTAATCGTGTGATAAGGTTTGTTATCTGAGTTCTTACCTGGCGATACGGCCCCCCTTTGAGAAGAGGTCTATAGCCGCTTTGAAGCTGTACGATAGTTTATCTTTATTGTTATTGGCCCGTGTATGTTCGGTAATTATTTAGTTGCGCCTGAATTACCAACCGAAGGGGATCGAATTAACTCCCGCCGGTCAAACAAACATGGGCCACAAGTCGGATGATGTGAGAATATGCTAAATCCAAAACGAGGTGTTATTTAATTGAATTCTCTTTTAACAGGAGGTTTCGCTCGACACTGCAGCCGTCGAGTCTCTATCGCTAAAAGGGGATCTGGTTAAGAGGCAGAGACTGCCCTGGTACTATGCTCCGTCGTTCCTGCTCCTCTGGCTGTGTCTCTTCTTTGCCATCGTGATTCCCCTGTACAACAGGCTACCAGATAGGATTACCATCTCCGAAGAATCTGCCAAGCCAGGAGAATTCGTGGCTGAGCGGGCACAGAGACAGCTCTTCGTTTACGATAGGATCGGACAAAAAGTAACTGGCGGTTATGCAAACGAGGTCACAACGGTTGCTTTTCTTCTGGATGAAATAGAAAAGATCAAAGAGCAAATGCTCAGGGATCTCTATGAAGTCGAGGTGGATGTCCAGGCGCCTTCGGGAAGCTTTTCGTTAGGTAGTATGGTGAGCATGTATCAGGGAATCCAAAATGTAGTCGTCAAGTTGAGCACGAAGCAATTCCAGAGTGAGTCTTACCTCCTAATCAACAGTCACTTTGATTCGAAGGCAGGGAGTCCAGGTAAGTTATTAGCTAATTATGAAAATATCTAAAGATGTTATTTTAGATTTTACTAGGTTCTGGCGATGATGGCACCATGGTTGTGGTTATGCTGGAGGTCCTACGTCAAATGGTTATATCGAAGACGCCCTTTGAACATCCAATAGTCTTTCTGTTCAATGGAGCTGAGGAGATTGGTCTCCAGGGTGCTCATGGTTTTATCACGCAGCACAAGTGGGCAGCGAACTGCAAGTGGGTCTTAATATTTTACTATAAAAACCTTAATTAATATTTTGTCATCTTTTAGGATGGTTATAAACCTAGAAGTGGGCGGCAGTGGAGGACGGGATCTCTTGTTTCAGAGTGGACCCAATAAGCCTTGGCTCATGAAGGTTTGATATATTTCAATAATATTAAAATAAATTAATTCCATTTTTTTGCAGTATTATAAACGTTATGCAAAGCATCCGTTTGCCACAACAATAGCCGAGGAGATTTTTCAGGAAGGAATTTTGCCATCAGACACTGATTTTCGAATATTTCGGGACTTTGGAAATGTACCTGGTACTTTATTTTTATATTTGTTTATATAAAAATACATAAATTATAAATTATAAATATTTACAGGCTTGGATATGGCCCAAACTGACAATGGATACGTGTACCACACAGCCTTTGATACTTTTGACGTGGTTCCGGGAAGATCCATCCAGAATACTGGGGATAATATTCTAGCCCTTGTTAGGGGCTATACGAATGCCAGTGAATTGTCCGAGAAGAGGGTAAGAAATGAAGAATTTTTTAAAAATATTTATAGATTTATTTTTTAGAACGATGATGAGGGCCACGCTATTTTCTTCGACTTTCTGGGTCTGTTTTTTGTGTATTACACGGAGACCACTGGGATCATTATGAACTGTTGCATAGCAGTGATCAGTCTGGTTTTGGTGGGATGTTCTCTCTGGAGAATGGCTCGTCAATCGGAGAAGGTTACGATTCCTCAGATAACGCTTTGGTTCGTTATTATCCTGGGACTGCATGTGGTAGGAGTACTTCTGTGCTTTGGTTTGCCGCTCCTCATGGCAGTGCTCTTCGATGCAGGGGGTCGTTCAATGACCTACTATTCTAGCAACTGGCTGGTGTTTGGACTCTTTATATGCCCAGCATTCATCGGTCTTGTACTTCCCTTGACCCTGTACTACACCCTGAAGCCGAATGTAGGAGTAATAAACTCTTAATCTTTATTTCATGTTCAAAAAAGTTTAATTGCAGAACAAACTAAGCCATGGATACCATCTCCAAATGAGCCTGCACTCTCACCTGGTGGTCCAGGCCCTGCTCGGTATTATTCTGACTGCCATGGGAACGCGTTTTGTGTACATATGTCTTATGGCAATGATCTTCTATGGGGGCGCTCTTCTGATTAATCTGCTGAGCACTCTGCATGATCGCGGTAGGGCGTATTTTATTATATATTTATTTCAAAGATTCCTATAAATATTCTTTATTACAGGAAACTTTTGGGCTTTGATTGTGATGTGCCTTCAGGTGCTGCCGTTCTGTTACTTTTGTTACATCTTCTATATACTCCTTATAGTGTACTTTCCGATCACAGGAAGAAATGGCATTGGCGCCAATCCAGATATCATGATAGCCTTGATATGTGGTGGTGCCACGCTTTTTACTTTGGGATTTATTGTGAGTGGCTTTAGTTGGAGATTGTTTTATGATTAATTAATATTTTATTTACTAGGCACAATTCATCAACGCTTTTCGCTGGCCGAAGCTTATACTCCTAGGCCTGGGAGTGGTAGCATTTATTTTCAGCATGATTGCAGTCTCGGATGTGGGTTTTCCGTATCGTGCCAAGACCAATGTGATGCGATTTAACTTTATGGTTGGTGGAGACTTGATAAACCTACCTTTTTCTGATTTAATTTTAAATTATTTGTTCCCACAGGATACCCATCGCTTATTCTACGAGTACAATGGCACCTTGAGTCACAGTGATTCCGGCTATTATTTCTCGTATCAGGATAGGCATGGCTTAACTCCTCTGCAGGACTCCAATGTTGATCTCACGGGCATAGTATCTATGGCGGAATTCTGCGATGACTATGTAATGTGTGGAGCACCTTGCTTTTATTCTTGTGGCGGACGAAGGAATGCTCGTTGGCTGCCTCGGGAATCGGGTATTCAAATGCCCGGCGAGGTTATCCTGAAGTTTCTAGGGAAGACCGTCTCCGAGGCAAACAACACGGTTCGATTTGATTTCGAACTAAGTGGACCTTCCCAAATGAATATTTTTATACAGCCCGTGGATGAGGCTAAGGTCACAGACTGGTCCTTTCTTCAGAATATCCGGGAGAGATATCAGCCTCCTTATCATATCTTCTTTTCCTACGGAATAGATAATAGCCCTTTTAAGTTCTTTGTGGAACTAACGGTGAGCTATAAAGTATTTTAAATTGATGTATTTACTATATTATTATTTATTAAATATTTTTACAGAACTCCGATGGGAATTACAATGTCCCTGTCTTGGAGGTCGCAGTTGTGGGACATTTTGCCAGTCCAGAGTATACCAGGGATGCGGAGGTTCTTAAGTTTATAGCGGAATTACCTGACTTTGTGGATGTCATGGAATGGCCTGCTCAATACAAGAGATATATTTTTTAAAGCCTATAAAATTCATTCAGAAATGAAGTACTACGGTGTCTTCGTACGTCGTAAAGTTTTACAATATTGTATAGATATATCTTTATATAGGGATCAAACTTACAGTCCGGGGGCTGGTGCTCGATAAACTTGATGAGCGGTATATTATGAAAATAAATTAATTTACTTTATGAAGAGTCTTTGGATTCACTCATAAATATACTGGGAATCTGAGCAGATAATAGAGTTTCCAAAAGCTTTAAATGTGGGAAACTTTCAAGTAAATTGCTTAGTCGCACATTTCAGCTCGTTAAATTCAGAACAACTCAGATTCTAAACAGGATTTAAGTATGAACTTTTAGGACTTTTTCTAATAAAAACATTTTTAAAATTATAAGATTTCATATTACAGAAATCGATATTCTTGGAACTTGGATCTGTAAGACAACGTTTGGCTGCAACCTCCTGTGTAATCTAAAAACCTAAAAATCTGGTAAAGGTTTTGGCTTTTACCTTTATGGAAATTTTCTCAAACTTAAAGCGCTATATTATTACGAGTTGTAGCTATTGAAGTACTATTAAAGTGCTATTTAGATTTTTCTAATAAACTGCTTTACGTATTTTAGCTGAAGGCGCCTCTCAACAGTCCGTTTGTATACTTTTTGTTTGGCACATATACTATATCTTGATAAGATCTCTTATCTCAGTATCCAAGCGATCATTGTGTTTGGAATTGTAGACGATATTATCTTTATAGGCTTTGATTTCACAAAAGCTTTCAAGCTGAAGAATTTGTCGAATAGACTTTCAGTTTTAACTGAATTGGGAACTAGGCGAGTTTAAACTTAATTTGCTGGTAAAATAAAATGGAAAATAACTCAGATGAAGTGAGTATTTGTTTGTTTAAATGAACTGAAATAAATGATTTAAATGACGCAAACTTAGAAGGAGATTTCCCTAGAGAAAGCAGCTATGGAATCTTTATCCCTGAAGAAAGAAAGTGTCGGAAGGCAGAGGTTATCCTGGCATTATGCTCCTTCTTTCCTTCTCCTTTGGCTGTCTCTTTTCTTTGCCATTGTGATCCCCTTGTACAACCGGCTTCCAGATAAGATTAACGCCTCTGAAGAATCTGTTAAGCCAGGAGAATTTGTGGCAGAAAGAGCAATGAGCCAACTCTATGTGTACGATAGAATCGGACCCAAAGTTACAGGCAGTTATGCGAACGAGGTGAAAACAGTTGCTTTTCTTCTGAATGAAGTGGAAAAGATTAAAGAGCAAATGCTTAGTGATCTGTACGAGATCGAGGTGGATGTTCAGACGCCTTCGGGTGGCTTTTCATTTGGGAGCATGGTGAGCATGTATCAGGGAATTCAAAATATAGTCGTCAAGCTGAACGCCAAGCAATCCCAGAGTGAAAATTACCTCCTGATCAACAGTCACTTTGACTCGAAGCCAGGAAGTCCAAGTAAGTCTTAACCTATTTTGTATCCTGCTTTTCTCAGTACTAAGGGTAGTTATTAGGTTCTGGCGATGATGGCACCATGGTTGTGGTAATGCTGGAGGTTCTTCGCCAAATGGTTATATCGAAGACGCCTTTTGAACATCCAATAATCTTCCTGTTCAATGGAGCTGAGGAGCTTGGACTCCAGGGTTCTCACGGCTTTATAACGCAGCACAAGTGGGCAGCGAACTGCAAGTAGGTATAAATGTTTTACTATAAAGACTTTAATAAATATATTCTCTTGTTTAAGGATGGTTATAAACCTAGAGGTGGCCGGCAGTGGAGGTCGTGATATCTTGTTTCAGACTGGCCCCAATAAGCCTTGGCTCGTGAAGGTGAAAGTTATTTTAAATCACTTGGAAGATTCAATCAAAAATGTGTTTCTTATAGTATTACCAACACTATGCTAAGCATCCATTTGCCACAACAATAGCCGAGGAGATCTTTCAGGGAGGACTTTTGCCATCGGACACGGATTTTCGAATCTTTCGGGACTTTGGGAATGTGCCTGGTATATTCTATATTTATTTGCTTACTTAAAAAGACATAAATTACCATTTATAAATGTGCACAGGTTTAGATATGGCCCAGATCAACAACGGCTACGTTTACCATACAGTCTTTGATGCTTTTAAGGTTATTCCAGGACGATCTGTTCAGAATACAGGAAATAATGTTCTCGCCCTAGTGAGAGCCTTCTCAAATGCCAGTGAATTGTACGAGACGGAGGTAAAAAATCGAATAAATTTTATTCTATATTTTTTTAAAGACTGTGTACTAAATTTTAAATAACTTTTTCAGAATGACGATGATGGACATACTGTTTTCTTTGACTTTCTTGGCCTTTTCTTTGTATATTACACAGAGACCACTGGGATTATTATGAACTACTGCTTTGCAGTGATCAGTTTGGTTCTGGTGGGATGTTCTCTCTGGAGAATGGCTCGTCAGTCGGAGAAGGTGTCGCTACCCCAGATATCCTTGTGGTTTCTCATTATTCTAGGACTGCATGTAGTAGGAGTTCTTCTGTGCTTTGGCCTGCCTCTACTGATGGCAGTGCTCTTTGATGCAGGAGATCGATCGATGACCTACTTCACCAGCAACTGGCTGGTGTTTGGCTATTACATATGCCCCTCAGTCATTGGTCTTGTACTGCCTTTGACCCTGTACTACACCCTAAAGCCAAATGTAGGAGTAATAAACTCTTAATATTAATTTCATATTGAAAAAAGTTTAATTGCAGAACAAACTAAGTCATGGATACCATCTCCAGATGAGCCTGCACTCCCATTTGGTGGTCCAGGCCCTGCTCGCAATTATTTTTACTGCCATGGGAATGCGTTTCCAGTACCTCTGTCTAATTTCTATGATCTTTTATGGAGGTGCTCTACTGATTAACCTAGTGAGCACTTTGCAAGATCGTGGTAAGTTATAGAAAATATTACTTATTATAGACCCTTTATAACCATGTTGTGTTTAAGGCAACTATTGGGCTGTAATTGTGATATGCCTTCAGGTGCTCCCCTTTTGCTACTTCTGTTATGTAATCTATATGCTTCTCGTGGTATTGATTCCTATTACTGGAAGATATGGTATGGGCACAAACCCTGATCTGATGATAGCTCTGATTTGTGGCATCTGCACCTTCTTTGCTTTGGGATTTATTGTAAGTTAATTTTATTGAGACTTTTATTGAGATCCCTCCTTAATCATTGATCATTATTAGGCTCAATTCATCAATATTTTCCGCTGGCCGAAGCTTATACTCCTTGGCTTGGGAGTCGTAACCTTTATTTTCTGTATGATTGCTGTCTCGGAGGTGGGTTTTCCCTATAGACCCCAGACCAATGTGATGCGAGTCAATCTTGTGGTAAGTTGTACATACAGTGAATTTATAAATAATTGTAAAAGGTTGTCTTTTCAAAGCACACTCAACGACTCTTTTACGAGTTCGATGGCTCTTTGAGCCACAGTGATTCTGGTTACTACTTCACATATATGGACAGGCGGGGACTTAATCCGCTCAAGGACTCCCAGCTCAACCTGACGGGACTGGTGCCCATAGAACCAGACTGCGACAAGTATGTGATGTGTGGTGCTCCCTGCCTATACTCTTGTGGCAGTCGGAAAAGTGCCCGTTGGCTGCCTCGCGACTCGGATGTTGTTACACCTGGGAATATTATACTAAGATTATTGGAAAGAACTACAAATCAACCCCAGAACACTGTCAGATATGAGTTTGAGGTATCTGGTCCGCCTCACATGAATATCTTCGTTCAGCCAGTGGGTGATTCTAAGGTCACAGACTGGTCTTTTGTGGGAAATGCCCCTGAAAAAGCTCAGCCGCCCTACTACGTATTCTTTAACTATGGAATAGATGACACTCCTTTGAAGTTCTCTATTGAATTAACAGTGGGTTATATAATCTCTTAAGTAATGAAGTAAAAACTAAAGTTTCTATATATTTCAGAAGTCCGATGGTGATTTTAGTAAGCCCCTCTTGGAGCTCGCCGTTGTGGGACACTTCATCAGCCACGATTATGACAGGGATGCAGAGGCTCTAAAGTTCCTTGGGGACTTCCCCGACTATGTATTTGTGGTGGAATGGCCTTCTATACTCAAGCGATATATTTTATAAAAGTATTATATTAACCACTCAATAAACTGGCAGCCATTACCTGCCCGAATGACTATGAAAAACCTGCCTTCACTTTTCAGGACTGAAAGTTTGGTGCTGATAAGAAGTGTTATTCGTTTGATATTTTCATATCGTATTTGATTTAGGGTTAATAAAATCGATGCAAACCGTAAAGTTTATAATACCAAATTGATATCTTTATGCATGTGCACAATCTTGAAACTAAGAGGCCCTTAGCTCGATGCCGTGCTAGGTCTAGAAAGGCTGCACATATTCATTCAGATGCCATATTACGAGAATAAATCAATTAACTGACTTTATGAAGAGACTTTGGGCTTAGCCATAAATATACTGGGACGTGTGGGCTCCAAGTTGGATATCCAATCAGAGATCTGATAAAAGAGTCTCCTCGAAAAGCTTTAAATTTGATAAGCTTGCGAGAGAAACGCTCAGTTGCGCGCGGTTGTTCGTCGAGATCTGATGCTGATAATTCCCAAAAGTTGAAAACTAATTTGGGAACGAAATGGAGCAGCACAACGAAGGTTTCAAAGAGGACACCGTCTCTTTGCACTCGGAAAAGTCCATCAAATTCATTGGGAATGAGAAAAGCACCTTGCAACTGGTGACCGAGGAGCCGGCGGACACTGAAAATGGAGCCCACCTTGAAGGCATAATAGGTTTTCGGGAGAAGAAGAAAACTGCCAAGCCACTGCCTTGGTACTATGCTCCTGTCTATCTGCTCTTTTGGGTTGGACTCTTCTTTGCTGTGGTCTATCCCCTCTTCAATTACCTGCCCACTGGAATCAAGCTGGCGGAGGAGTCCGACTTGCCCGCCACCTTTGTGGCGCAGCGGGCGGAGGAGGTTTTGCTGAAAATAGATTTAATGGGACCCAAAATAGCCGGTGACTACGTGACCGAGGTGACCATGGTTAATTTTCTGCTCGAAGAAATAGAAAAGGTGCGTCGAGAAATGCGAAGCGATCTGTACGAGTTGGAGGTGGATGTACAGCGCTCCAGTGGCTCTTTTCTCCACTGGCAAATGATCAACATGTACCAGGGAATCCAGAACGTGGTGGTAAAGCTGAGTGCCAAGAGTTCCAACAGCAGCTCCTACTTGCTGGTGAACAGTCACTACGATTCCAAGCCCAGCAGTGTGGGTAAGTGTATATTCCGGCTTTTTTCGGGTTTAGAACTAAGATTTGACCTTGCTTTAGGCACTGGGGATGCTGAGCTCATGATTGTGGTCATGCTGGAGACCCTTCGATTGATGGCCATATCCGAGGAGCCCTTCCTGCACCCTATTGTCTTCCTGTTCAATGGAGCTGAGGAGCAGCCCTTCCATGGCTCGCATAGTTTCATATCGAATCATCGCTGGTCTGCTAATTGCAAGTAAGTTTATAATTTCAACATTCTCCAAGTGAACTTCTAATCTTTGGGCTTTCGAAATCAGGGCACTAGTCAACCTGGACTCTGCTGGCGCTGGTGGTCGCGAAATTCTCTTCCAGGGGGGTCCCAATCATCCCTGGCTGATGCGGGTGAGTGTAAATCGTGCAATCCACTTGAAGGCTATCTAAATGAGAGCCGTAAAACGTGAAAGTGCGCCTTCTTTACGGCCCCGGGGGTTTATCTAATCTCGGAACTTAACAACCGATATGTAAAACAAATCATGAATTTTTTAGCAATACAAAAAAAGTGCCAAGCACCCATTTGCCACCACGATGGCCGAGGAGATTTTCCAGGCTGATCTGATACCCTCAGACACGGATTTCCGTATTTTCCGTGACTTTGGACCAGTGCCAGGTGGGTTTTTAAAAGTGATTAACTCAGGGGGAAGACTATATAATATATATCTCTTTCTGGTTAGGCCTGGACATGGCTGGTTGCTATAACGGATTTGTTTACCACACCAAGTTCGATCGCTTTAGCGCCATTTCCCGGGGTGCCCTGCAAAACACTGGAGACAATGTCTTTGCTTTGGTTAGGAGTATCTCCAATGCCGAGGAAATGTATGACACTGAGGTAGGAAGATACGAAGAGGGTACTCTCTTATAGTTCCTAGATCTTATATACCTTTATTTACAGGCTCACTCTGAAGGACATTCCGTGTTCTTCGACTATCTGGGTCTCTTTTTTGTCTACTACACCGAGTCTACGGGTGTGGCCCTTAACATATCCTTCTCTTTGGGCGCCATTCTCCTTGTTTGTCTCTCCTTGTGGCGCATGGCCAGGATGACGGATCGCACAGTGGGCACCTATTCCCGAGCCTTTGGAATGCAGTTCCTACTGGCAATCCTGGGCTTCCTGCTGGCCCTTGGCTTCCCCCTGCTCATGTCCGTGTTTTACGATGCAGGCAATAGGACTATGACTTACTTCAGCAATAGTTGGTTGGTCATTGGTCTTTTTATCGTACCCTCGGTTATAGGCCTTGTCCTGCCAAGTACTTTCTATTTGAGCCTGCGACCAAGCGTAAGTATTTTCTTGTTTTTTTTTTTTTTAATATTTGTAAATTTTATATATATTTTTTTTAGGAGAAGATTCCTCATGCTTACCACCTGCAGATTGTGGGACATGCCTATTGTGTTCTCATGGCTGTGATTTGCATTTTACTGACAGTCGTTGGCATTCGCACTGCCTATCTTTTTATGATGTGCGTCTTCTTCTACGTGGGAGCTTTGATCATAAATCTGGCCAGTCGGCTGCACGATAAGGGTAAGTTCATGAAGATGCAAGGGAAATATATAAAATAGAATCTTATATATCTTTGTCTTGCTTTAGGTTACCTCTGGACTTGGGTGCTTGGCGCTTGCCAGGTACTGCCGTATCTATACTTCACCTACCTGTTCCATGCTCTTCTAGTCATCACTATTCCTATGACAAGCCGCAAGGGCCTGGAAGCTAACCCGGATTTTCTTATATCTCTGGAGTGTGCCTTGGGATCGATTCTGGCATTGGTGTTCTTGGTAGGAACTCACTCCCTTTCAAGGATAATTGAAAGTTTAGAAAGCTTTAATTAATTATTTCTTGCAGGCTCCTCTTCTTAATCTCTTCCGACGCCCCAAGAGCATGGTTGCTGGTCTGGCTGTGGTGATGTTCATCTTTTGCATGATCTCTGTTTCGGAGGTGGGCTTTCCCTACCGCGCCAAGACAAATGTGATGCGTCTACACTTTTTGGTGAGTCTTAGGTGAAGCTTTAAGTAAAATACCCAACTAATGACATTTAATCTTCCTTACCACAGGAGGTCCATCGCAAATTCTACGAGTACGATGGTTCTGTGAGTCTCGAGGACAGCGGCTACTATTTTGATCTGCAGGATCGTCGATTGGAGCAACCCCTGCTGGACAAGATCAATCTCACGGCTCTCACACGTCTCGATGAGGAATGCAAGACGGAGATGAAGTGTGGAATGCCCTGCTTTAACCATCGGTGGTGTGCTGCCGTGAAGGATGCCCGTTGGCTGCCACGAGATGTGCCCGTGGATCTGCCTGGCACTCCCGTTCTGCAATTCTTGAACAAGACCGTGATTGGGACTGAGTCGGATCCAAGGCTACGTTTCGAGTTTGAAGTGTCGGGACCACCCAGGATGAGTCTGTTCTTTGAGCCTCTGGATGGGGTTAAGTTCCTGAAGTGGTCCTTCCTCATGGGAATGCTGGACAATCCGTCAGTGTACAAGCCCCCGTATCACATCTTCTTTGGCTACGGCAGCGACAACTCGCCCATTAACTTTTTCATAGAACTAACGGTGGGTTATATATACATCATTTTATATCTGATATATTCTTTATATATATATATTTATTTGTAAATCCTTCAGAAAGTCGACGGCAAGTTCGATGTTCCGCTAATGAAACTGGGAGTATCTGGTCACTACATGAGCCATCTGAGTCACCGCGATGCCACCACCATGGAGTTCATCGAGTCACTGCCAGACTTTGCCCATCCCATGGAATGGCCCAGCTCCTATGAGCGATATATATTCTGAGACATCATACTCATATTTCATGTTATCAATTTTCAAATTCACATTGTATTTTTAGGATGAATTATTTATGATAATAAAGAAATGGAAGATTTACTTTTATTTAATATGTTTGTGTCTGTTGGGAACTCATAAGATATAGCTTTCAAATTATGTTTGTTGTTTACTAGTTACTACAATACTATATAATAAATATATTATTATTATTGTAATAATAATCAAAGTTCCTATTAGGCTCGCAGATGTTTCCAATAAATTAATAACAAGAAAGGAAGCTCCAGTTCGAAAATCAACCAAACCTTTCCGATAGTTTCTTTTTTATACCCTTGCAGGGTATTGTAATTTCAGTCAGAAGTTTGCAGCGCAGTGAAGGAGACCTTTCCGACCCTATAAAGTATATATATTCTTGATCAGCATCAAGAGGGGAATCTTTCTAGATATGTCTGGAAGAAATCGATTTTTTGGCCATTTTTGCAAAATTTTATAAGGGCTTACATCATTAAAATTTGTGATTTTGATAAAAAATTGAATTTTCAAAATTTTTAAATGAAGTATGCAGATTTATTAACTGTAGAAAATCTTGCACAGAACAGTTTTCCGATTTAAAATTAATGCTCTTTTGCCGAGCTATAATATTTTTAATTAAAAAAAAAAAACAAGAAGTTTTTTAATATAAAAAATCCGATTTTATAATACAAAATAATATTTTTCTAAGTCAAGGAATCATCATCACCCTATAAACCATGTATATTCTTGATCAGCATCAACAGGGGAATCTTTCTAGACATGTCCGGAAGAAATCGATTTTTTGGCCATTTTTGCGAAATTTCATAAGGGGTTACATCATTAAAATTCGCAAAAATGGCCAAAAATTTTGATTTCTTAAAATTTTAAATTTGGTATGCAGTTTTTTTAAATTAATAAAAACTAACACAAAACTACTTTCCGAATCGAAATTAATGCATTTTTGGCTTAGTTATGATATATTTTAATTGTTACCTGCTGGCCAAAGTTAGCTTTCTTTCTCGTTTTTTATTCATATTTGACAATCAAGTAAATGTTTTTATCTTTTAGACATGGCTAAATCGACTCAGCTATTGATGCTGATTGAGAAAATATATATTTATAGTTTATAGAGTTAGAAATGACTTTTTTAAAGCTTTGCACACTTTTAACAAAAACTATAATACTCTGAAAGGTTATATAAAGACCATTACCTTTGTAGTACGATATAAATTATGTAGTTCAGATTTCCCAGACGCTACTATCGGAGATTTTAATTGTTACGATTTTAGATATGGTTGCTTACACAACCTATTTTACTGCTTTTGGGACATAAATCATATTTCCTCATAAAATATTGGCCGCAATTTAAGGCTGGTCTTGGGGAAAAGTTAGTTGTCGTTAGTGATTTGACTTGTGAGGTTCTCGTTTAGCTTTAAGAAAAATAATGGGTTCCCCCAGAAATAAAGAGGTTAGTAATAGGTTAAAGAAGCTACAAGACCGTTAAATATATTTTATTTTATTTATTTTTTAGACACTCTTATGTGAGGAATTCAAAATTGATATCCAGGCTAAGAAACTCCCCTGGTATTATGCCCCCACATACCTACTCTTCTGGGTTGGACTCTTCTTTGCCGTGGTGATTCCACTCTTTAATTATCTTCCCAAGGGAGTCAAACAGGAGGAGGAATCTACTCTACCTGGAACCTTTGTGGCTCAGCGGGCAGAGAGCCTGCTGCTCCAGATGGATATAATGGGTCCCAAGATAACTGGGGATTATGTAACCGAGGTGACCATGGTTCAGTTTCTGCTCGACGAGATAGGCAAGGTGCGCCGGGAGATGAGGGAAGATCTATTCGAGATGGAAGTGGATGTGCAGCGTTGCAGTGGCTCCTATCTCCTGTGGCAAATGGTGAACATGTATCAAGGGGTTCAGAATGTTGTTGTCAAGTTGAGTCCAAAAAGTTCCAACAGCAGCTCCTACTTGCTGATCAACAGTCACTTTGACTCGAAGCCAACCAGCAGGGGTAAGGGGTCATAAATCCAATGGAGGGATTGTTTTTATTAAGATTTTCTTTTACTTTTCTGCAGGAACTGGTGATGCCGAGGTAATGATTGCTACCATGTTGGAGGTGCTTCGTTTAATGGCCACTTCTGAGGAGAACTTTCTTCACCCCATTGTTTTCCTCTTTAATGGTGGTGAAGAGCAGCCAGCTCATGGCTCTCATGGCTTTATAACCCAGCACAGGTGGTCAGCCAACTGCAAGTAAGTATATGGAATTGCAGAATTTGAAGGTTCTTATTTTAAGCTTGAGAACAGGGCTCTCATCAACCTAGACTCGGCTGGTGCTGGAGGTCGTGAATTACTATTTCAGGGAGGTCCCAACCATCCTTGGCTGATGCAGGTGAGCTAAGCTTTCATTAATTAAATTATTTACATTAAAAAAATATTCTCTCAGCATTATAAGAGAAGTGCCAGGCATCCTTTTGCCACCACCATAGCTGAGGAAATTTTTCAGGCTAATCTTATACCTTCTGGAACAGATTTTGTGATCTTCAGCGACTATGGGCCAGTGCCAGGTGGGCTAAACATAATTATAAGATATAACTTTATAGTATTAGTATATATATTTTCTTTCTTGCCAGGTTTGGACATGGCTGGTTGCTATAATGGCTTTGTTTACCATACAAAGTTCGATCGTTTCAGCCAGATTTCCAGAGGTTCTATACAAAATACAGGCGACAATGTTATTTCCTTGGTCAGGAGTATAGCCAATGCCGAGGAAATGTTTGATACAGAGGTTGTAAGATCATCCTGACTTTAATATAGAGATTTAAAAGGATTCTCTCTCCCATAGGCTCACTCCGAGGGCCACTCTGTTTTCTTTGATTACCTGGGTCTCTTTTTCGTTTACTATACCGAGTCCACGGGTATAATTCTCAACATTTCCTTTTCTTTGGGGGCCATGCTTCTCGTCTGCCTTTCTTTGTGGCGAATGTCCAAAGTTTCAGGACGGAGAATAGGCACCTACTCCCGGGCCTTTGGAATGCAGTTTCTTCTGGCATTATTGGGATTGTTGCTGGCCTTGGTGTTTCCCATACTCATGTCTGTATTTTATGGCCTAGGCAATCGTACAATGAGTTATTTTAGCAACAGTTGGTTAATCATCGGCCTTTTCGTCTGTCCCTCAGTGATTGGCCTAGTTCTGCCCAGTACTCTTTATCTGAGTCTTCGACCAAGCGTAAGTATTTCTTTGGTTTCTTTTAAATTATAGTAAATTATATACTTGTTTTTTAGGAGAAGATCCCACACACTTATCACCTGCAGATTGTGGGACATGCTCACTGTGTGCTCTTAGCGGTGCTCTGCATCCTGGTCACAGCTATTGGCATTCGAACTGCTTATCTCTTTATGATTTGCATATTTTTCTACATGGCAGCTTTGATCATTAATCTGGCTAGTAGACTTCATGATAAAGGTAAAAGAAAATGTCAAGAAACCTATTCCTGAATCGTATTCTCTCACTTAGGTTACCTGTGGTGTGTAATGCTTGGAGTTTGCCAGATCCTGCCCTTCCTGTACTTCTCCTATTTGTTTCACACTCTCCTGGTTATAACCATTCCTATGACCAGTCGGAATGGCATGACCATTAACCCCGATATGCTGATATCCCTTCAGTGTGCTTTGGGTTCCATTCTGGCTTTCGTTTTTGTGGTAAACTTGATCTTTTAATACTTGAATTTATTTATAAAAGGATTTTACAGGCTCCCCTACTAAATCTTTTCCGCCGTCCCAAAAGCTTGATTGGTGGCCTGGCTTTGGTGATGTTTATTTTCTGCATGATTTCTATCTCAGAGGTGGGCTTTCCCTACCGCTCCAAGACCAATGTGATGCGTCTTCACTTTCTGGTGAGTTTTTCGTAGGAATTCTTTAGTATAAAGTTTAAATTTCTGATTTTTGGCAGGAAGTACATCGCAGGTTTTATGAGTACGATGGCTCTATTAGCCTGGAGGACAGCGGCTATTACTTTGACTTTCAGGACAGTCATTTGGGAAATCCTCTACAGGGCTCAGTTAATCTCACGGGACTCACTCGTGTAGATGATCAGTGTCAGAGGGAGATGAAGTGTGGAATGCCTTGTTTTAATCATCGTTGGTGTGCCACCGTAAAGAATGCCCGCTGGTTGCCGCGGGAGGAACCCGTGGTTATACCTGGATCTTTGGTCTTAAATCTACTTAACAAGACAGTGGTGGAGAGTGTTTCGAAACCAAGGGTTCTTTACGAGTTTCGGCTGTCAGGTCCACCAAGGATGAGCCTGTTTATTAAACCTTTAGAGGGAGTGAAAATGTTGAACTGGTCCTTCCTCAAGGGAATGCTGGACAATCCGTCGATCTACAAGCCTCCGTATCACATCTTTATAGGCTACGGCATTGACACTTCACCCATTGATTTCTATTTAGAACTTACGGTGGGACTAGAAGAGTTTTTATTGGTTAAAATGTATTTTTATATGAATCCAAATATTTGCAGAAAGACGGTGGCAACTTCCATGAGCCAGTGTTTGAGTTGGGTGTTTCTGGTCACTACATGAGTCACCTGAGTCAGCGAGATGCCACCACTCAGAGATTCCTCAATGATCTGCCAGACTTTGCTCATCCCATGGAGTGGCCTACATCCTACGATAGGTATATATTCTAAGGGGTCTTGTGATATCAGAATGTTCAGAAAAACTAAATAGAAATACACAATGAAATTGTTTAAATATTTCAAGACCCTTTGAAATCGAGTGGAAATTATTATGGCCTTGACTTTGGGCCCATCATTGGGTACTGCCGACCAGATGCGGCACAATAAACAAATAAATCCACAATGGCCAACAAGTGCGATTACGATATGGGGCAAAGTCAGCCGTAATGATTTCGGTTGGGGTAATCACGCCTGTCGTCAGCCCCTCGAGGGTCCCAGAAGATCGCAAATGTTTGGAATTTATCGTTGGCATAGCCAAAAAAAAAAGTTTTTTTGGTAGGTACTAGCATGTGCGCATGCCGATAGAGCGCCGCGGTGTGAATAACACGCGCCATAATGCCATAAATATCGAATATCTTTATACTATGCTGAAGATATCAACCATATCGCATCCATAAACATAAAGCACAATTTTAAATTGCGAATGGAGATGTCGGACGAGTTAGTCGTGCGTCGAGAGTCGCTGGAGGAGCTCTTGCTGGGACGGTTCTCGAATCTCTAACCTAAAATGGGTGCTAGAAGGGACAACCTGATGATCGAGCTAGAGGCGGAGAGGAAACTACGACCATCGAAGCCGTTTCCCTGGTATTACGCCCCCACCTATCTGCTCTTCTGGGTGGGGCTCTTCTTCGCGGTGATTTATCCGCTCTTTCAGGCTCTGCCTGACGGCATCAAAATCTCCGAGGAGGCGGAGAAACCGGGTAAATTCGTGGCCGAAAGAGCACAGTCCCTGCTGCTGGAAATGACTCAAATGGGTCCGCGACTTGTGGGCGATGTGAACAATGAGGTCACCGCCGTGAATTTTCTTCTCGAAGAAATCGAAAAAGTACGCCAGGTACTGCGTGACGATGTCTTCGAAATGGAAGTGGAGGTGCAACGTGCTTCCGGTTCATATTTGATCAAGGGCTTCCTGAATCACTATAAAGGCGTACAGAACGTGCTCGTCAAGCTGAGTTCCAGGAGTTCGAACAGCTCGTCCTACCTGCTAGTGAACAGTCATTTTGACACCAAGCCGGGCTCACCGGGTGCCGGAGATGATGCCTCCATGGTGGTGGTGATGCTGGAGGTTCTGAGGCAGATGGCCATTTCTGGCGAACCCTTTCTGCATCCAATCTTGTTCCTGTTCAATGGCGCCGAGGAGCAACCCATGCAGGGCTCTCACGGATTCACCACTCAGCACAGATGGGCGGCCAATTGCAAGTGAGTTATAGCTTAAAATCTGGTAGAGAGATCTCTAGGTCCCTTCTAAACCAAATTCACCCTATCCTAGGGCCCTTCTTAACCTGGATTCTGCCGGCGCTGGGGGACGAGATTTGTTGTTCCAGGGTGGTCCCAATCATCCCTGGCTCATGGAAGTAAGTTCCGGAAATCCCCTCAAGAATTTCTACGAAAATTTAAAGCACACGCTGATGAATCATGTATTTCTTTTTTTAATTTTTGGCAATCTTTGCCTTGATCGCTCTTTCGATATGGACAATATCAGCCGCCGTCTGGCGGCTGCTTCTAAACCAATTAATCTAATCTGGCGTCTTATCATCGTCTCGCAGCATTACAGAAACAGTGCCCCGCACCCGTTTGCCACCACCACGGCGGAGGAGATGTTCCAGGCGGGCATTATACCTTCGGATACTGATTTTCGGGTCTTTCGTGACTTTGGAGTGGTGCCAGGTTAGTGGCTAACACTATGAGGTGTTCCTGGGTGTTACTTAAGGTATGTTTTTCCTTAGGCTTGGACATGGCCAACGTTTACAATGGCTTTGTTTACCACACGGAATTTGATCGTTACACGGTGGTTTCTCGGGATTCCCTGCAGAACTCTGGTGACAATTTGCTGGCACTGGTGAAGAGTATTTCCAATGCCGAGGAAATGTACGACACGGAGGTGGGCTTCCTCTACATCTCCTCTATAGATTTTCATAACTAAAACCTTATCTTTCCTTATTTTTACACAGGCACACGCCGAGGGCCATGCGGTGTTCTTTGACTTTATCGGTCTCTTCTTTGTCCACTATCAGGAGTCGACGAGCGTGGCCCTTAACATATCGTTTTCACTGGGTGCCATAGTCCTCATCTGTGTCTCCTTGTGGCGCATGTCCAGGGTCTCTGGAGAGACTATGGGCACTTATGCCGGTGCCTTTGGACTTTTGTTTCTGCTAGCTCTCGCCGGCATCCTCCTTGCCTTGCTGTTCCCCGTGCTCATGTGCATCTTCTATGACCTGGGTGATCGCACTCTGAGTTACTTCAGCAACAGTTGGCTGGTCATTGGCCTGTACATAATACCCTCGGTGATTGGTCTTGTCCTGCCCATGACGCTCTACCTGACACATCGACGAAGTGTGAGTACGCTTTAAGGAAAGTTTTATTTATGAAGATTTAATTATGTTTTTTATTTTGATGCAGGACAAGATCCCGCACAAGTACCTACTGCAGATAGTGGGCCATGCAAATTGTCTTCTCCTGGCCATACTGTGTCTGGCTTTGACGGCTTTGGGTTACCGCAGTGCCTACCTGTTCCTGATCTCGCTTATTTTCTATGTGGCAGCTCTGATAGTCAACTTGCTGAGTCGTCTGGACTGTAGGGGTAAGCATATAGATCTAATGTTATACAATAAATATTAATTAATCCCTTTCAAGGTTACCACTGGGCCTTGGTCTTGATGGTCAGCCAGATAATACCCTTTATCTATCACGCCTATTTGTTCCATATGTTCATACTCATTCTTATTCCCATGGCCGGGCGCTTTGGCATGAACACCAATCCGGACTTGTTGATAGGAGCTTTGTGTGCCTGTGGCACCATTCTGGCCTTGTCCTTTGCGGTGAGCTTAGTTTTGAAAGGAATCTGACCATAAACACTAATCTCTGAATCCTATTTCCATGCAGGCTCCACTCATCAACATCTTCCGGCGACCCAACTCCATGCTCGGCGGGCTATCGGTGGTCATGTTCATCTTCTGCATGATCGCCGTCTCAGAGGTGGGATTCCCCTACCGGGCCAAGACCAATGTGATGCGAGCGGACTTTATGGTAAGTACTCCAGGATTACATTTATTCGAAGATCATTAAATACTTTTGGGGGAGCAGCAAGTGCATAGGAAGTACTTCGAGTACGATGGCTCCATGAGTCTTGAGGACTCCGGCTACTACTTCCACTTGGGAGATCGGAATCGAGAGGCACCGCTCCGGGATTCAATGGACCTGACGGATCTGGTTCGCCTGGGCGACGACTGTGACACGGAGCTGATGTGTGGTCTGCCCTGCTATCGCTTCTGTGCTGCCCGCAAGGATGCCCTGTGGCTGGCACGTGAAGAGCTTGTGCAATTGCCTTATCCCACGGTGCTGGAGTTGGTAAACAAGACCGTCCTGTCCGGTGGGTACCAGGTACGCTTCGACTTTCGCCTGTCAGGGCCACCGAACACGGGCCTCTTTATCCTGCCGCTGGACGGCGTAAAGGTGCTCCGCTGGACCTTCTCTCAGGGCATGTTGGACGATCCGGCCACCTACAGGCCACCGCTGAATGTGCTGCTCACCTACGGTGTGGACACTGCGCCCTGGGAATTCTACATGGAACTTTCGGTGAGTACATGGGTCAGGTGTATGTTTTGTGAGAAAACATCTTAATGTTCTTGCAGAAGGACAATGGCAACTTCGATGAGCCGGTGATGAAGTTGGGCGTGTCCGGTCACTACATGAGTCCGCATGCCGAGCGGGATGCGCTGAGCAAGGAGTTCCTGGCCACGCTGCCGGACTTTGCCTTCTCCACAGAGTGGCCCAGTAGCTATGAGCGCCATATATTCTAGAATTCTAAGAGTTTACCTATGTTTTTTAAAGTGTTGTAATTGATAGTATTTATTGGATATTGTATGAGGAGGCTTTAAATTGATTTCTTTTATTTATCTTCCTGGAGGACTGACTGATTTTAAGGTTCTATGTGTTACCCGACCAGAAGTCTGGAGGCTATACAAAAGTCATTGACACTCCCGAAATGAAATGGCTAAGAATGGGGCAATGAAATGCGTTCAAACATTGGTTGCTGCATTTCTCAATGCATCGATGGGCAAACAACATTCACAGTTGGCGGTGTAAGCAAACTATTGTAGTAAAACATTTGTGCAAACACATCTGCTGCCCCCCTGTTTGGGCATAGAACCAGCATCCGGAGAGATGGGTGTATAAATACCGAGCCCGGGACCCTCGATAGACACACACCGAGTTCTGCAGCTCATCCGACTACCAGCAACAGCTAGCCAGGCCAAATAACAACCAATCAAGCACCATGAAGTTCCTCATTGTCCTCGTCTTCGTTGCCGTCTTTGCCGTTGATTTAGCAAACTGCGCTACAGGAACTACAGGAACTACAGGAACTACAGGAACCTCTCCGACCTCTCCATCTTCCCCAACAACCACGACCTACACTTACACCACTACGCCCACATACACAACGCCTACCACTACCGTTACCACCACCACAGCCAAGCCCATCAAGCAGCAGATCCTGTCGCTGCTGTTCAACAAGAAGTCCGGATAGAGAAGCTTCACCGACCAAAGATGCCGCCTTCCTTGATAAGCCTCGATTAAAGAAATAAAAAACCCAAAAACCAATATCAAAACAAACACGATCCGCCTTTTGATTACTTATTACCACAGTACACAAAACAAAAACCTATTTCATCTTTTTGGAAATGAAAAGGAATAACATATGGGACGGTTTCACATTATATTTTATCAGACCAATTAACATTGAGTTCATTTTTACATGAAAGACAGTATCAAATTTCTCTCAGTGCAAGTTGGTAAGTAGTTCCTTCTCCAAAGTGAGGCATCTCACGTAGCAACGCGGCAGCTGTTTCGGGTAACTGACATTTGCCCAAGTGGGGCGTCATTACCGCCTTCTGGCCGGATGGACCTGTTCCCAACCAGCTGCCCGCCTGCCCCAAAGGTCAGGCGACACTTGCAACACTCAGTTAGTCAAACAGTCAGTCAGTCGGCCAGTTGGGTGAGTCCGCTGGCCAGACATGATCATGGTCAGGTGGCAGTCATAATTCGTGATGATCATCAGCGGCATTCGAGTTAAATGTCTAATGACTGGGCTGACAAATTGATGTAGGAACCCAGCCGCAGAGGAAGAGCCATGAATGCCACAAGCTGGCCATGTACAACACGACTCGAGATGATCGAAACACCAACGCCCCACTAAATACTGAGGACACAGTGGTTCCTGTTAAAGAACAGATTCTGAAAGAGTAATATTGAATTAAAGTCATGCAATTCTAGCTTGATTTCAACTTATTGAAGCAATGAAAGTACTTAGAATATTATTTATCTATTTAATGTAATTATCATATATATGAAAATACTTTTAAAAATAGTTTAGTCAACATTAAGCTACCATTGCTTACAAGACTCTAACAAATGATCTGTAGAATACAACTAAACCCAAATTCCACTCATTAAAGTATTCAAATTTTTTCCTCTACATTCATAAACGTTCTCTCAACACCTGAAGGCTTTTAAAATAAACCATTAAATCTCCACTGTGCCATCGCCATCGACAGGTTGTCATGTATACAACTCATTCGACAAATTGCGGCAACCCACAGATCGGCTGGGTCGTGCTCTTGTGGGTGGATTCGGATTCTGATTCCGATTCGGTTCATGAACGCTCCATGAGAAGATCATCAGCATTGGCCACCGGCCTCTAGCAGGCTTCCGAGATCAACCGTGGCGGCGCCTCTTCAAAATGCTAGGCACTCACCCGGCTGTGGGTCGTAAATCTTGGCCAGCTCCTCATATCTGGCATCTGGGCTCTGTGCTTGCTCTCTAGCTCGTGTTGGCAACCGTAAAGTTCAAGCCAACGAGAGCCATTGGGTATAAATATGCAAACAGACATCTCTGGCGGCCACAGTTACGGAACGAGGCGAATCAAGTGCAGACGAACACCAGCCAGGATCACAAGGATACAGTGCAAAATGCAATACGAAGTAAGATGGAAGCCAAAAGGGATATTGTTAGGGAAATAAATAGGAGTTAGTCTTGGATATAGCTCAGATATATGCAAAATTTTAAATTTAACAGATAAAAAAAAGAATAAATTGAGTAGTCTTGTTATTGTTATCCTCTGAGTCCTGAGAGAGAATTAACTAAAAAAAAGTGCCTGCTCTCCTTGCAGTTCCTCTTAGTGGCAGCTCTGCTGCTTAGCTTGGCCCAAGCCCAACCCAGACCCCAGGCCCAAGGCGAGCCCATTCCCATCATTCGGCAGGAGCAGGAGGTCAACTTCGATGGCTCCTACAAGTACTCCTACGAGACGGGCAATGGGATCAATGTTGCCGAGGAGGGCTACCTGAAGAACGCGGGCACCGACAATGCCGGCCAGGTGAGTGTGCACCAGCAGCAGCCTCAAAGTCGTGCCCAGCCATCGTGGCATTTGGCTGGATGGCAATTTGCCCAAATGTGAACCAAATGAATCTGCAACTGATCGCAACTCACATTTGCATCTCGTCCAAAAAGGTCGCGCAGGGCTCCTTCTCCTACACCTCGCCCGAGGGCATCCCCATCCAGATAACCTATCTGGCGGACGAGAATGGCTTCCAGCCGCAGGGTGATCACCTGCCCACTCCGCCACCGATCCCGCCTGCGATCCAGAAGGCATTGGCTTACCTGGCCACTGCCCCTCCGCCACCGCAAGAGCCGCAGCAGGGCGGCGGTGGGTTCAACAACCGACGAGGCTAGACACTTCAACTCCCCCTCTCCTCCTTTCACATAGATTACCTGATATTCATTTACAAAACCTGTGCGAATTAATAATGAAACTGGCCATACAACAACAGAATGTGAGCGGGCAGATTGTTTGAGATTTATTTAAAATGTTTTACAAATCACTTAAGGCGGCTTCTTCAATTGGTAATCAAAATTCCATTAAATGGTGTCGAACTAATAGTAATATTTGAAATTACCTTTTTTAGGGGGTTTCTTGACATTTGCATACACAAAATAAGTATCTTCTGGCTCTTCTTTATGGGTAAATGAAAATGGCTATTGAATTTTTAATAAACATAATTAATTAACAGCATAGAAATACAGAAAAAATATTTTTATTTATGATATTAAAAGAGCCTTGATTGAAATTGGGTTTTTAGAAGGTCTTAAAACTTGTATATACAATGATAAATATAGGTTATTGATAATATTTATTTTGTATATACTAGTTATATTTATTATAACTTAATTAAAATATTTACTATAAAAAGAGTAAAGCATTCAAAAGTATTTTTGTATAATTATAAATATATGTGATTTACTTTTTCATATAAAATTTCTCGATTTATAGGCTGAAAAGTGTGAATCAAAGCAATTATACATATCAGGCTTGGCCATATTTTGATTTTATTGACCAGGCTAATGAGCTTGGGAATACCTCAGTGATGATAGTAAGCAAAAACTGGATTTTAGTAGATTAGATTCCAAAGTTCTAGGTGCAAAACGTTGGGAATTGTGAGTCAAAACAATGATGTCGTTTAAATATCGCTTTTATAGGACAAGCTGTTGGCTGTTTATGAGCCTAGAAGCAAATGGAAAATAACGGCATATTAATTGTTACTAAATCACAGTTAAATTTTTAATTTAATTAGTTCTGTTTATAATTAAATTATTTAATTATTTCTGTTGTTAATTTTAGAGCTTGAATGCTAGAATAAAATGTATTTCCTATTAATTGTATTGTTTGTTACAAAAAATTGCTCTAAAAGATATCTGAACTGAATATATTTAAAATGAATATCTTAACATGATTTACGGTTAAAATATTTAGATAAATATCAAAATAAGAATTTTGTAAAGTCTTTTTTTATTAGCACAAAAGTTTATATTTTGTCCCAAACTCTTCGAAAATATTTGCATAATTTCAGGCTGTTCTGAATATTTCTTCAGCTTGCTGCCAAGCTCCTAAACATAATCCACCCGCTGTCCGAATCTCTTCTAGTCACCAAGAAGATCAAGAAATGTCAAGTGCCAAGATTGGCTCCCGTGACCACGGCAATAGATCTCCATTAAGTCGCATCACCTGCTGAGCTGGCCTGTGCCTTACTACAAATTATGAATTAATCGGCTCGTAAACCAAGACGCTTAATTGATCAAGTCACCCACTGGTGCACCGGTCCGAGCAGTGGCAATTAGGCACAGCCAGCCTCTCAGGGCACCCGGAGTGGAGCCCCGGCTCTGTGTGGGCGGATGGGGTGCATCCGAAAGGTATAAAGCTGGGGGCCGTTGGCTAGAGCTTTTCATTGCTCGTCTTCGACGATGTGGCTGCGTGTAACGGTGAGTTGGACATGCAAAGATTAGCTGTATATACAGTGGATTAACCCAGTTGCTGCTACCTTCCAGATCGCTCTTCTCTTGGCCTGCGTGGCCATGGCTCTGGCCCAGGGCGACGGACGCTATCGTCCTCCACCCACGCGGGCTCCCGCCGGCGGAGACGGACGCTATAGAGGCGGCAACGATGGCAGGTACACGGGCGGCAACGATGGCCGGTATCGGGGAGGCAACGATGGCAGGTACTCTGGAGGGAATGATGGACGCTATGTCCACCAGGACAACAAGTACCAGCACGACGATCGTCCTGGCGGGGCTTACTCGGGCGACCAAGGACGGTATGTGGGCGACAAAAACAGAGGCGGCGGCTCTGGTGGAGGCGGCGGAGGAGGTGCAGGAGGTGGAGCAGCGTCCGGCGGAGGCGGGGCTTCTGTGCCTAGAGCCACAGCCAGACCCAAGCCGCGTCCTAGTACTCCAGCTCTACCTGCGGTGCCCGATCCCACTGCCAATTTACCCAAGGGACGGGGCACTGGCGAAGGCGGCAACGGTTGGGCCATTATCCGTCAGGAGGACGATGTGGAGCAGGATGGCTATCATTATCTCTGGGAGACGGAGAACGGCATTCTGGCCGAGGAGAGTGGACGCATCGAGAAGCTGACTGAGGAAGATGGCCTGCGCTCCAAGGGCTTCTACGAGTACACCGGAGACGATGGCATCCTCTATCGCGTGGACTACGTGGCAGATGACAATGGTTTTGTGCCTAGTGCTGCCCACCTGCCCACAGCTCCACCTGCACCGCCCTATGTGGCCAAGTTGTTGGAGTATCTCGAGGCGAATGCCAAGAAGAAGAAGTAAATGTAGAGTTGAAATGTCAAAGGTTGATGAAATAAATAATGTGCCATAAGTAAAATTGTTTTGAAGTTTTAATTAAAGAATTTAATGTAGATATTCGATTTTGCTAAGATTTGCACGAATATCTTGTCATTAAAAAGAAAAAGTTTGCAATTTAGTAAAGTTTGTTCAGGGAACAATTTAGTAGAGGATATATTTTGAAAAAAATTAAAAGGCCAATATCTAAACATTTCAAATTAGCTAAAGACAAGAAGCAAGATATTAATCAATTTTTTATTGGGTAATAATCGATAAAATTGTTGTCTCGCAAACGTAATTGTCCTAAATTAATTCCACAAATTACAGTTTACTTTATTTTCTATCTACACAATTTTCATAGATATTTTTCTATATCTAAAAGCTATAGTTTTAGCTCAGCTTAGGCAGGATGTGCTGTTGTATGTACTCCAGGACCTCGTTTATGGTGTTATGAATTTTGGCAGGCTGAAATTTAAGAAGCCAAAATATTATAAACCTAATTTATTTTTAAATCCATCCAACACTTACATCCCTCTCAGAGTAGATATTGGTTTTCTGCGCCTCTCCCGCCTCCTGAACTGGCTCCTCAACAGCCTGGACAGGTGACTCCGGCTGGCTCCCTCCTTCAGCTGCTTCACTCTCCGGCTGACAGCTGGCCTCACATTCCTCTCCCGGCTCGTGGTACTCGTAGGCCTGATTTCCCTGATCCGATTCAGACTCCTCACCCCACAGCTTATTCTCATTCACATAGCTATAACGCTTCGTGTCCGGATGGGATTCGTCGCCATCCCGTAGCCACTGGAACTGGATAATCTGCCAGCCAGTGCCATTGAAATTGAAGTCGATCATGAAGCGGAGATGATCCCGTGGACCCAGTGAAAGGCTATCGCCACCGGCTTCCTGCACCCGGGCCTCGAGTTGATCCTGGACATTCCGGAAGATGCCGCGCAGATCGGCGGAGTACGGCTCACCGCGATCCCCATAGCCGCCATCATAGGGCCGTGGTTCATGGCGATACTTGCCACTATTATCGGGAACATACCAGCCAGCCGTGGCTCCATGCAACTCGGGAATATAGCGACCGCGCTTGACTGGCAGTGGATCTGGCCGTTGCTCTGCATCACCATCCTCTGCCCAGGAGCCTCCGATGAGCAGTAGAGCGACCAGCAAACGTGTGTCCATGTCGACTACGAGATAACGTCTGATCCGATTCCAATGCTCTCGGTATCCATTTTGGTTTCGCCAATAGTTTTTTTTAGCCTATAAATCGCGAGGTTTATGTCCAAGACGGCGTCGTTTAATTGGCTTAAATATGGGCGGGATGCGAGCTGATTCGGTGGGTCATCCGTTAATAGAGAAATATATAGAAATTCTTTGCATGCTAACAAGTCATTTGGAAACAACTTAGTTAGCAACTCGTTTGCATTGACGACAGTGCGTTGCATTTAACCTTTCTGAGATGCAAGGCGGCGGTGCTTGTTGGATTGAAATTGGGGGCGAGAGCTTTGGGAGATGATAAAGTAATGATTAGATATCTTTATATTTATTTCAATTAATTAATTTAAATTTAAATTTAAATTTAAGTAAGTGATAATTATTGTTAAAAATAATATTTTGGGTTCTTGGATATTGTTTAATGCAGATAAAAAGTTGTTTTTTTTAATGCCTTGATCTCTATGTTCCCCCAGATTTATTTAGAGTTCTTAGTATAGAAATTATAGATTCAATAACTCTCTTAAAACTTATTATATTAGACATTTAAGTAGATTTTTAAAGTCCCTAAACAAGTACAAAAATATTAAGAGACTTAGTCACAAAGGTTAGATCATCTTTGACTCATGATTTATTCCCTTTTTGGTGTAAAATCTAATATATTACCATATTACTTTATAATAAAATAAAACTGATGCTATAAATATACTACTATAAAATATAAAAATATTATGATTTTAAACTAGAGCTAAATTTTTAGAAAATCATATATATTATTAATCAAAAGATGATTTAATACCCCATAAAACATGCACTAAATCCAGCCAAGTCATTCATCTCTTATTTTAACGATTTGTGATTTTGTGAATCAGCCAAAGACTCGCTTCCAGAAACGCGATAATCCCTCCCGAAAAGACATTCAACTGCTTGCTTGCCCCATTCATCGATTGATCGATGATTGGCCAGACGAGTTTCAATTTGTTTACATTTCAGCAAATCCAATGGGATCAACGGCAATTAGTGTCGTTTAAATCAAATTTAAGCCGAATCAAAAACAATGAAACGCCCGTTTTGTTTTAATGAGCATTAATAACAAATAATAGCTGTCAATCAATCAAGCAGCCAGATCGGTCAACTCGTACGAATCGATATCAATTAATCATTTCTTCGGCGATGATTTGGGTAATCACAAGTCACAACACTGCGGCAGATCCCTAGAATCTTCAAGAGATGTGAGAAATCGAAAGCTCCACGCCCCCAAGACAAGGTGAAGACAAAATAGTGTTCTTGGCTTGAACCTTGCGCATATTTGGTTTATTTGATCATGGTAAGGAAGTGAGTGAATGAATCATGGGGTTAAGAAACTCGAACACCAGACGGATCAGATCATTGCTACTTGTAGTATATATATTCTACGAATATATTGAAACTGCAACTTGTTGATAAGCCAACAGGTTGATGGGTCTGGTTTGTGAAATCTCGAATTGTTCGGGATTTTAAATTATTCACATGGCATAAATAAGGAGAGAGAGACTGCCGCTGGCAGTGAGTTGCCAACAATATGGTGCGTAATTTGGTGTTTTGCATGCAATTAATTAATCTCGCAAATCGCCGGCTACACCGCTCCCGGGGAATAATCCACACTTCCCCTTAAAACAAATATATATATAGCAGATTGTCCTTCGGCCTGCTCAAATTATCACCACTTATAGCTGACGATTTACTATATAATTTCGAGTTTAGTCAGACGGCGCCTGCAGTTAAATATTTAATGATAATTCTGCGGTTAATCTTGACTAGGCATATATTTCTGTGGAATAATATCACAAAATTCCATTCGGATGAGCTCATGCTCTCATCTCGGATCGCTGGTGAAATATACTCGTTATAATACATTTCTCTTTTTCGCACTTGTCAGGCTGGAAATTTATTTATATGTGATATTTCCTTTTTATACCCTTGCAGGGTATTATAATTTCAGTCAGAAGTTTGCAACGCAGTGAAGGAGACGTTTCCGACCCTATAAAGTATATATATTCTTGATCAGCATCAACAGCCGAGTCGATATAGCCATGTCCGTCTGTCCGTCTGTCCGTCTGTCCGTCTGTCCGTCTGTCTGTCTGTCTGTTTCTACGCAAACTAGTCCCTCAGTTTTAAAGCTATCTGAATGAAACTTTGCATATAGTCTTCTATATGCTCTCACTGCTATATATGTCGGAACGGGCCGGATCGGACGACTATATCATATAGCTGCCATACAAATGTTCGATAAATTTATAGAAAAAAAATTATAACTTGGCTGTTTTTCAAAATTTTTGCATAATTTTTGGGATATGGCCATTTTATATAATTTCTGAATTTTGGTAAAAATTTTATGAAAATCGGACGACTATATGATATAGCTGCCATAGGAACGATCGGGGAATTAATAGGAAAAAAATTATTGCTTCGTCGTTTTTCAACGTATTTTTATCTACTTTGAGATTTAAGCTTTCTTTATTATTTTAGAATTTTGGTATAAATTTCATAAAAATCGGACAACTATATCATATAGCTGCCATAGAAGCGATCGGTAAATGTATAAAATATGTAAAGCTGGGAATGTAAAACTGTAACTGTCAAACTGTAAACATAATAAGTATAGATAAAATGTAATGAAACTCTGTGTTGTGAGTGTTTTCAGCATTTAAATCTATAATATAAACATCAAAACCAATCTGCAAGGGTATACAAACTTCGGCGTGCCGAAGTTAGCTTCCTTTCTTGTTCCTTTTTATATTGAAATTTATATTTGCACACTCCTTACAAGAGCCGTGATATGAAATGGCCCTGAAATTCTGTTTATTTAGCACCTTTGCACGAGAGGGAGGATCGATCGATCGATTGATCAATAATTTCGGAGCTTTGAACCCGGCTTACACACACTTTGGGTTATTTAGGGCCTCCAGTACCGGTGTCAAGATCCCAGGGCCAGGTGTCGGGTTTCAGGTTGGTTTAGGAATTTCGGGGGTTTAGGATTCCAATTACGACTCATTGTGCCCGGTAATTTGTTGGCATTGTTTGTGTTGAGGCCTCTGCTCCAGTTTGGCAGTTTGTCATTTTGGCCTTTTGTTTCGCTTACAAACAAAATTTCGTTTTGTAAATTAATTCGTTGCGTGAAACAAATGCCAAACAATTAATGGCCCAACTGGCTTGTACTTAATGTGAATGCTCTGAAGTGCTACCAAAAATCCATCCATCTATCTCTGGCATTCGGTGGCTAAACTGGCTTCTCGGCCGTAACCAATATTTATAGACGTGCATTTCAGATTTATACCACCTCAGGCTGTACTAATTGAACCAAAAAAAGGAGAGCGAACGATAATTAAACAAACCGGGTGAACAATTTGGTTTTAAAATTTGTTTAAAAATGAAATTGCGAGGGAAAAATGATATTCGTCGAAGCCCACACAAAAATGAGACTTATTTATGGGGCATATTGTCGAAAAATGCACAGCCTATAAAGATTTCATTTGTTTTGCGCTAAAATGCTAAAGACTCTGACAGCAGGGCTTAGCGGGTGAAAATACCCCTAAATCATCTCTTGATCGAGAACAGGAATGCCAAGGAAATAACGTAATTTCGTATAATAATCCATTTGCAAACATTATTCGTTGGAGTTCGGCCAGGAGAGAAATAATCAGGGAGACAGCCATCTGTAAATGAGGGGAAATCGGTTTTTTATTAAGATATAATCCACACTAAGAGAAAAATTTCATTTAATGTAATTTATTTAAATAATTTAGTATTTTTGAAGAGGATTTACTGCCTGTATATTTTAGCACTTATTGATTCAACTTTTTCAACAGCATTCTTTCTTTCCAATATCTTTTCTTTTTCAGCAAGTAAAGTAATCAAAAAAGGCATATAAAAATAAATAATGAATAATACCCTCAACATAACAAGTCAAAGAAAATCCCAGCCTAAGATCAGGGCTCCACTGCCCTCGAGATAAAAGCCTGCTCCACTAGCACAATGCTCTAATTAATAGCTCCGAAAAAGATACGAGACAGCCCTCAAAAAAAAGAAATAAATAAATAACATTGTACAGATTAGAGCAAATTCCGCGGGCATATCATAATAAAATAGTGTATATATATATAATCCAACATATAGCATAGCCAGGGTCTGTGTTAGTGACACATGTGGCTTCGCCGGCTTAATCACTTTCATTTAAAATAAACAAAAACAATGAGCACGAATACAAAGAAAACAGAATGCGAGAGTCGCGTTTATCTTGAGTTCGGAAGCGCGCTTGGGTCCGCGCTAGTATGCGTCCGGAAACCATGGGCCGCGGAACTGAGCTCTCCGCTGCGGGATCTCTCTGGATCAGTGTGTTCTGGCTGATCGGTGGAGCTCTGGTGGCCTCCGCCGCCTCCTCCGACGAAGTGCTACGCTGCTTTCAGTGCAGCGATTCAGACATCTCGTGCGGCTCTCCGCGGAATCCCCTTGGCAATGTGCTGGAGTGTCCCAACTCGACCATGTGCTCCTACACCGAACGGACCCTGGTGCTAAATGGACGCGAGTGGACCAAGACCTTGAGGGGATGTGCCAACCAGGTCCAGCGCACCGTTGACCTGGTCAACCGGAAGTGGGAGTTTGGCTACGAGGTGAAGGATCAATACGAGGAGGGCTGCGTGCGTAAGGACAAGGTCAACTACTGCCACTGCCGGGGATCGCTATGCAACTCGTCAAGCTGGCCATCAGTTGACTTCCGACTGCTGATCTTCGCCAGCATCGTACGACTCCTCCTTCTTTCCGGCTAGTTGGAGACACTTTTTGGGGTGTGTTACCCAGCGCACTTCCTGCCGCCGTCTCACATAGTCTGAAAATATGTAGTAGCTTTAAGCAGATTATGGGCTTACGTGCGACACTTTCCAAAGGTGAAGCCGAGAAGCCTTGTCAATAAAGTCAGTCACACAAACTTGTTCCTACTTGACCGGGGGATTAGCTTTTGACCGATCTTAAGGAGATTTTCATGCGATGATTTACCTGTGACGCATCAAAGACAGTGCCAGATTTGACCAGCAATATGACTCAGGGTCAATGTCAAAGTCATGTATAGCTATAGCCAGAGTTTGATGTATTTTTAATTAATTTAATACCATCAGCACTCCTGCGGCTTGAAGTTCTCGATTTTGTATTTGGAATTGCATGCAAATCAAGTGGCAACAAATCGTACCTGTAATTGATTAAAAACTCATCTTATTTAAATATTTATTAAGTATTTGTGACTTTTATGAATGCCCCCATATAGATAGCGCCGAAAGCCAAGCCGAACTCGGTAAGTAACAATAACAGCACGCGCCGTGATTCACCAGATCAGAGCTTTGATCAGCTCTCGCCGGGATCTCACTCTTGGGTTTCCAGATCGGTGGGTTCAGCGTACGACCTTTGGAGTGCATCGACTGTGACGCAGTATCGATACTGGGCAGAGGCATCGATGTATTCACCATCACTAACCGATGCTGGGATGCCGGGAAGCTCGGTTGTGGCATTTTAATCACAGTTTATGTGGATGACTGTTATTAATCGGCATAAGTCCGCCACTGACAATCGTTCTCTATGAGCTAATGCACTGAACGAAACATAATATAATAATATTTAATAATATATTTCTAGGTTTTTAAGGCTGATTTATGTTAATTAATTTCTAGATTTCAACAAGGAATATTTATGTTTAATAAAACATATTGTATTGTATTAATGTTTGTAGTGCCTTAAAATGATTACAATTATAAACTTCCATTCATCAATCAGTTAACAACTTAAAAACCATTAAATATAAAAATATAAACCATAAATATACATCGAATTCAATACTAAATCCACGAAGATTCATCCCCATTTTTGCAGTATTTTCTTAACTATGAACTTGACAGCGTCTTCAGAGGCGAAACCGTTAAGGACACATTCCAAGACGATCCCCAAGCTGTCACTGTCAGAGCCGTGGCGACGGCGGTGTCAACGTTTGCCACAAACAATTAAATTCGTTTTTGTCAACATTTTTTTCTTATGCCAATTCCCTCCGATTCCGGTTATATATATGCACGTATGCTGCGAGCACCGAAAACCCAAGCCCAACCCCATCCTCAGCCTCATCTTCATCTCGATCTGCGATCTGCGATCTTCGATGCTCCACTCCGACTTCTGGCTGGATATTAATGCATTTTTCGTTGCGGCAGGCGTGCGCATTGTCTGAATCGTTTCTTATTTTATTTATTTATATTGTTTGTTCAGTTTTTTGCTGTATTTCCGCTGCGGCGACTTAATTTATGATTTCATTACGGCACTTTTATGGCGCTTCCGAGTGCCTCCAGGTAGTTGGGGATATGCGTATCTGTGATGTTGTCATCGGTTGCCACAGCTAGTTAAGCTTCGAGCTCCAGCTGTGAAGTTAACGGTGGTCATTTGGGGATCAGGGAAGTGGCTTAAACTCTAGAGGAGATTTTTTATGGCATTTTTGGGGAACTGTAAAAAATAAACAAGGAGAATATAAATTCTGTTCTGAGGAAAGAAATCACTACCTTTTCCCTTAGACTCCCTTAGTAACTTTGTTTTTTTCCCATATCCTTAATTTAAAAACAATATTGTTTTGAGAAGAATATAAAATAAACAACAATTTCAATCTGCTCTTAGTGACGTCTGACCTGAAATTAACCTTCGATTATCAACGAATTAAAATTGCTGCCAAAAATGATTCGCTCTTGTTGTTCAGCAGAATTTCGATGACACTAAGCCAATTAAAATTGGGAATTTCTTCTATAAAACTGGAATAAACAATACACCGATGAGTCATCAAAAGTCCTTAGCTCTAAGATCATATATTATATATATTATATATAAACTTTGGTAAACAACCCCTAATGACTATTGTCATTCTTTAACATTTACAAACTGAACAATGAACTCGATAATGAGACATTTTCTTAAAAATAATACAGTACAGTAATACAAATTGTTTAATTAATTTTATATGTAATTACGTTTATTTGGTGACATTGATACGCATTATAAATAATTGTGTCTGAGTACAAATAAGTTTGGAGAGATTGAGACAAAACACAGAGAGATAGAGAGAAGAACCCGACTCATCATCTAAAAAATCCAAAAGGGAGCAGCTTGGAGTATCGCTCTTTCAAGAATCGTGGTTGATGAACCGAAGTGAACCGACGGATCATCTCTCGGAGAATTGAGGCGCGTCGATGCGTCGAGAGCAGCGGTGCTTCAGCGGCGACTGCGAACCTGGCATATTTCTATATAAATCCGGTGTACTTGAACGGCAACCAAACATTCCTGTTGCAGTCGCCCTCAGAGCAGGATTATCCAGCCAGCAGCAGCAGCATCAGTCCGAGGATATATACATTCCCCCAAATAAAGGATAACTCCCTTCAAAGCTAACACCATGTTCATCAAGTCTTTGCTGTGCTTCTCCCTGGCCGCGGTAAGTATTCAAAAAGGATGTTTGTGATATTGATCCTGATCAGTGCCAAAAAAGAGTGTTGTGTTACCCAAGAAATATATTAAATAATTATAAATAAATTAAATAATTAATTAACTTCATTACTCGGTGCAAAGCAAGTTTAAGCTAAGCTGCACCTTTAAATAATTAGCAGCATTCGCAGATGTATTTCGAGATCAAATGTTTACACAGTGAAAAATCAGGATTGATATATAAGGAAATATATAAATTTGAAGATTGTTTTTTAACAGATATAATATTAAATAGTGAAGGAGACTTTAGCTATCCTATAAATCCTATATATATCAGCATCAACAACCGAGTCAAACTATCCTTAACATTTTATTTATAATTTTACTAATGTGTGACAGCCACTTCCTAAATATCAGTTAATATAATAATATAATATAATATATATATATCTTATATACCCCACATTAGGCCCTCCTCATTGCTGTCTGCCACTCCAGTCCGCTTCCGGACGAGAATGGCAAGTATAATCCCAACAACGACGGCAGATATCGGGCCACCGATGATGGACGTTACCATGCGAGTTCCCAAAACGAAGGTATTTTCGTGATTCAACATTCAAAATTTCGTGCCTACTGCCACGCCCACTGACTGCATGCCGTCGCTGAAGCTAAAGCTGCCGCCCACTAAACCCAAGAAAATGAAAAGCAACATCGACTTGCCCAGATACTAACACTCTCACACTACTAAATACTAAAGCCATGTATATGTCGGAGGGAACCGTTATTTAATTTAACCGTAGTCGAGCCAGCGAGTTCTGTCCGCCTGCGCACTCCAAACGTATCTGTCCTCACGTCACTTTTCCTTTTGCCTTTTCACATTTTCTTACTTTTCACTCAAACGTCAATCCTAGACAATCTCTAGCTGTCTCTCTCACTCTCTCATATTGTTGCGACAGACGAACAGACCTCACTCAGTAACAGACAGTCTACTGTCCTTTTCCTGTTACCGACTCAACTGTAATTGCGCCTGCGCGCCAGCGACACCTACAGGCTACCAATACCTGAGCATGCCGAATAATTCTGTTGCCATAGCAACAAGCTTTCCAAATTTGCACTTAGCAACCAACTCGCCGACACGGCCATCCTGACATTTCACGCGTCCTCGCGTGACGTGTCTTCTAATAGCTCTAAACACAACAGTAATTTTCATTTATTTTTCTCTCTTGTTTCTCTCTTTTGTCTCAACTTAACATTTCATTTTAACTGTTTCATTTATGTCAAATAAGCTTTACTTTTATTTCTTCTCGCCACTTCACTACCACAACTCTTACTCAACATGTCTTCATCAATTTATACAGGCTCTTGCTGCACACTTTGCAACGCTCACACGCACCTCTTGCGTCACGGTCTCTCTGGACCCTCATAGCCTTATAAATGATTCCACCAACGAGTGCCTCAGTCGGCGATCTCTCGCTTACACTTCTAGTGTCTTCTTTGGCAGGATAACCTTTCGAAACCAATAGAGTACAAGCTCTCTTCATCTTTCAAAAGGCTCCGCTTCACATATTCTGACCATAGGAATAAAGTAGGCCCTGTTTCATGTGATCCGACACGGCCTTCCTGACAAATCACACGTCCTCGTGTGTTAACTTTAAATCACAGTATTCTCAAATTTCAGTACTCGTTACATTTTATTGTTAACAAACATTTCATTAATTTTCTAAACATAAGTATTGAGGCATTTAGACAAAATAAGCATCTTGGTTTCATGATAACATGATAACATAACAAATTACATCTTCATTTTAATCATAATTTTCAATTCAGACTTCTCTAATTACATAGCTTTATCAACTGGTGTATTTCCTTATACACCCACATACTGACCCCCGCCATAACTATTCCTTCTGTTATGGTGCGGTCTCCACTTACCCCCGCCATAACAATTCCTTCTGTTATGGTGCGGTCATTATATCCCCTCTTGGGATTCCAAGGCATCAACCGTGCCATCCATATCATCATTCCCCACATGGGAATCAGACGCATCTCCACTTGAGTCGTCTAAATCTTTATCAATCAACGTCATTGCTTATTTGTCTATTTGGCAATGCCCTCAAAAACTCATGCGCATTATAAGTTCTTTTGCTTGTTAAGGATTTTAAAATGTACCGATCTCCATCTTCATTTCTTTATCTCTTTCTTTCTCTTCTCTCTCATTCGTAACAATTTCAATTTCCAATTTATCCATTTTAAATTAATCTTGCCTTATCAAACTTAGTGCTCTTCCTTGCATAATTTTACCAAACCGGCAAAACGTAACTTTAAATTTTTCTTTATACTTTTCTCTGTGTCATATGGTGGTATCAAGCCCAAAGGGTGGGTCCGATTGGCATCTCTTAAGGGCTTGCATTGGTTGCACTACTAACTGTGCAGTTCGCCGCAATTGCACCCTGCCAAGAGCATCTTGCCATCACCTCTGCGGTCCTGGTATCCAGCCAGATGATTACTTTAAAACTTTACACATGATACAACCTTCAACAATCTTTAAACTTAGTCATTTCCAACAATATTGATAAATCTTGCTGAGTCTATTTTTTTTTCCACCCAAATACATAACGGATTTATAACCTTGATTAATAATCAACCAAATTTAAGGGACACTACTGGCAGATAACATTGCCTCACACCTCTTTGTATACTTCAATACTCCTCTTCGTAACTCAATTTAATTTCAATTATCTTCAGTTGTTTATAAACTATATCAATAAATTCTGAATCCTGATGTTGATCAGTCATTCATTTGAGATTTCTATTCTAAGTTCACACGTTTTTCCGTCACTTTATTTTTATTTATCGGAGTTGAAATCAGTCACGTGAATTCTGCACACAAAAAGAATTCTACATTTGCCTTGCGCTTTCTCTTCCTCTACTCTATTTTAAAATCATACGATTTCAAGTATGTCCATCAATGTTCAGATAATTTTTTTGAAATGATTACATTTGCAATAAGTATAGACTAAAAACTCTCATCTGAATGAAATAATGACTTAAAGATACTTGAAGCCGAAGAATCTGTCTCATGATCTGAGAAAATCGAGGCACACGTTTTTGAAAATAAGGCACCAATTCAATAAATGGTCTTACGACGGTCTCTTAATTGCACCGATTAAAAGGACGGACCTTTAACGTAAGGATTTTCTAGGAATTGGGTCTGATTTCTCCACCGCACACCTCATAGCTCAGATACTGCGTAGTAGGTTCAAGAAACCCACATTTGGTAACGTTAAATGACAACCCTGGTACAGTCAACACATTTAATACAACCTTCAGCCTTCGGAAAGCCTTTTCTTCCGAGTTTGCCATGATTAACACGTCATCTATGTAAACTATCGCAAATAATCATGATAAATTCCAAACGCCTTAACAATTGCATGATGAAGGTAGAAGATGCACTCTTCAAACCAAACGGCACGGCAGACCAAACAGACGGCAACTCGTAATTTTTTTATTTAATTATTTTTCAACAGAAACATTTTTCCTTCACAGGGTATGACATAAGCGGCAAAGGCCACTGTCCGAAACCATTTTCGAATATTGCTCCCGATATTCTAAGCACAACCTATCGTATTCCACAACATTGCCATCAAACACATCTCTATTCCCATCTTTAACCAACAACTTTATGTCCAAACCATGTGTGTGGGGACACTCTGCACTATTCATGTCTTTTAGGCGAATTTCTAAAGCAGACTGAATATATAAGTCTGTATTTGCCGAAATTGCTCTTAACCGCACTGAGCTCCCAAATCGAAGAATAATTGGAAAGGGCTCACCCGATACTGTCACTGTTGAATCACACAAATCAACTCGCTTCTACATGCAGCTGCCGCTGCCGCTCGCAGCCGCTGATACCCATCTCGTGCACACAGATACAATGTGACCACTGTTATCACGCCTGAAGCGCGTCACTCCAGCTCTTGGCACTTCAGCCGCAGTTCCGCCCGTGTGCTGTTGTTGTTGTCTTCCATTCTTCCCCAAATTTTCTGGCCGACAATGATGACACTTGCAACCGTCCGGCTCAACACGCGACCAGTGCATTTGACTGCCTATCACGACTCCGGTGTCTCGCACCACGCGGCTGCGCAAGCTTTCGATGCGCTACTGAATTTAATATCGACCGACAATCACTTTATCAGAATGCCCGCGAGGCTATGGTGAATCCCACTTCTGATGTCGGAGGGAACCGTTATTTAATTTAACCGTAGTCGAGCCAGCGAGTTCTGTCCGCCTGCGCACTCCAAACGTATCTGTCCTCACGTCACTTTTCCTTTTGCCTTTTCACATTTTCTTACTTTTCACTCAAACGTCAATCCTAGACAATCTCTAGCTGTCTCTCTCACTCTCTCATATTGTTGCGACAGACGAACAGACCTCACTCAGTAACAGACAGTCTACTGTCCTTTTCCTGTTACCGACTCAACTGTAATTGCGCCTGCGCGCCAGCGACACCTACAGGCTACCAATACCTGAGCATGCCGAATAATTCTGTTGCCATAGCAACAAGCTTTCCAAATTTGCACTTAGCAACCAACTCGCCGACATATATATTATATACTAGCACGAATAATCTGTTGACTCTCTCTGATAAGTTCAAGCTCAAGGCTGACGTCTTAAAATTAGCGAAATTTGTAAACAACCAAAAAATCAAAGGCCTTGAGCTGAGCTTTAAATACTAAACCCCAAGAAAATTTCTTCTTTTAGCACTTTGATATTAAACATTTAATCTCTTATAGGCCGGAGTGGTTCGCAAGAAAGTTTAGGTAAAATATAAAAAAAAGGGAAATTAATCCTGTATATTTCATCCCATTTCACACAAAAAGCAGCTGAAAGTTGATACTTATTTTGGCCTAACTGTAGCGTAACTCTAAATTTAAACATTCAACTGCCAACTTTGTACATAAATCGAAGGAGAAACTAATTAATTCTGTAAATATCTGTTGATGGATATGTATAACTTGAATAGTTTCAAACTGAAAACTCACCTCACACTCACACTAGTTAGAATAACTCAAGGATAACCCAACTAACCAAAGATTTATATCTTTAAACTGAAGGTCGCTACCATCACATGGCTCAGCCCTATAACCATGTGAGCGATCATCGTGAGCTCGGAGTGTACCATCACATTCCCTATCCCTACGATGGCGGATATGGACCCTATTCCGGCCTGAATCTTCCTTATGTCCATGATGACAGGCCCTACAAGTGAGTGTTATTATCAAATTTAAATAGAAAGAGTTTTATAACTCTTTTTCTTACCTTTTCTTACAGCCACGACCTGTACACAGTAAGTAACGCCGAGTTTAAAGTACCAGAAATCCGCTTGGAGTACGGTTTCCCCGATCATGAACCCCTTCACGAACCGAGCACACAGCACTAAGATTCCCAGAATTCCTCCAAGATCAACACACCGAGAACTCCCCCCGCAATCCCCGAACCCCATGCTTTCATAACAAAATCCAAGCAAAAATTTCGAGAATGTTTTTCGGCTCTGCAATTAAATCCTTACCCAAGCGCCACATGACACCATGACACTTTCCACATCCGGTTTCCTGCCTGCATGACCCCACCAATTCCTTATTCCCGATGCCACACACACGCATGCAACCCACAAAAAAAACACACCCAAGCACATCAGTTCCGAACTCAAGCAAACCAACTGAATATCACCAGAGTACGACCACCAAGAAACCCACTACCACCACAAAAAGGACAACGACTACCACCACCACGACCACGACCACGCCCAGGAATATCCTGTTCAACTATGATGACGAGGGCGGCCACAAGATTCTGCACCAGGAAGAGGTCCGTGCCAAGGACAAATACGATCATGCGTAGGTTTTAAGCTCTTGAAAAGATTCCCAAGTGGGGATCTTATTCCTTGTTAACCTAATTAAACCTTTACTGCTCCTTCTTTACTTACAGTTACCTCACCGAGAATGGAATCTATGGCGAGGAACAGGCCAAGCTCCATCATACCGGCGGCACCCATGCCAAGGGCTACTACGAGTACACCGGTGACGATGGCAAGCTGTACCGTGTGAACTATGCCTCCAATGATGGTGGCTTCATGCCCCAGGGCGATCACATCCATCCCATACCCGAGGCCATTGCCCGCGCCCTTAAGTACGTCGAGGAACAGCACAAGGCCAATGGAGGAGCCCAGTTCGATCATCGTGGCTTCCGTATCAATCACATGACCAAGGATATCAAAGCTCAGATCAAGAGCCTAGACACGGTGCATATGCCCAAGGAGCTGAGCGCTAAGATACACATGCTCGAGCACGAGGTGGAGCTGGCCGAGGAGGAGGAGCGCCAGGAGAAGGCCGAGATGCTGCGCAAACGTAAAGCCAAGAACTAAGAGCGTGTTTCCCCCAGACTCGCCTCATCCACAGCCATAAAATCTAAATATGTTCCCTGTTACCAAACCAAAACCCCTGACCAGTCCTAGTCCATCCAGAACCCAACTCCATTCCCCATGCATTGTCCAGGATTATTCCTTGGGCAAACACTATAACAAGCCATCGCAAAACCACAAAAAAAGGAAAAGGAAAAGGTAGAAGAGTGCCAGCATCATTGAATTGCAACCGGAGAACATCCGTTTATATATATATCTATGCATATATAGTCCGCTCCCATGTTATTTCGTATTTATTTATCTGTCGAACTTGTCGAATTTGACGATGTTGCTATGCATAAGATAATTAATATTTGTTATACGCTATATCGAAATAAAACCTACTAAATACTTGTTATAAATTACCAAGAATTTTGATTGCAAGAATGCGAAGATCATTGTGGGCCCTTGACTCGCCAAGTCTGAGTCGCATTGTTCAAATTCAAAGGCCGCGAGGTGCTGTTGATACCGAAAGTGTCTGACATTTTGCCAATTATATTCAAGATTTTCAATACATAATATACGGGCGGCGTTAAAAAATTAATGGGTTTGTTGAACCCCCTCGGTCGAGATCAAAAACAAGTCTTAATCTAAGTACGGGTTTTGTGTACACATTTTTGTATACACATTTCTGATTAGCAAAGTGACCTAGTTTTTGGGTTTTGTTGTAAATAATAAAATAGCTTTATATGGACTAATATAAGAAAAGCTTATGAAAATGAAAGTTCTATAGAAAATAAGATTAAAGCAATTTGGGAAAGCTTAAGTTGTAAAGTTTCTGGACCTTCCTAGACTCTCTTTTCATCAATTAAATGTCTATAAATTAATCATAAATTAGAAGAAAATTATTGAAGAATTCTTTAAGATTTAATGTTTACATTATCTTGGTTTTTAAAGATTATATTTAAATTTAGTTAGCACACTTTTATGCTTGTTATAAAATTAAGAAAGCTTTTAGGGCGTTAATTAGACATCGAAGCTTAATAGGCCATAATAAATAAAACCAAGAGAAAATGGCTGACTTTATCTTAAAAATTCAAACAAATTCCAAAGTATTTTTTAATATTTATTTTATTTCTGGCATTTCTTTAGTAAAATTCTGGTTTATAAACTTAATATGATGGTACCAAACTTGAAATCAAGGAATAAAAGCTGGTGGCCTGTGTCATTTCCCAAGCCAAAGTCTCATTATTCACAGAAAGAATGCTTTTCAGGAGCTCTTTATTTTCGTTGTGTGTTTTTAGCATTTGACGCAATTCGGTTCTCAAGGCTGCAAAGAAAAGAATTTTAATATTAATCCCGATTTAATTTGTAATTTAATTATAATTCTTTCCAGTAAATTATCTACTTACAAATGAGTAAAGGCCGTAAAACATTTGGGTCATTCCGTCCCTTGCCACTTGCGGGTGTAAAGGTGTAAATATCCTCTAGCACTGCCTTTTCATCAGCGATGAGTCCATCCTCCGTTTTATCCTTCTCAACATCATTGTTTTTACTGATCTCCTCCACCTTCCGGGGCAGAAGATCAGCAGTTGGAACTGAAATTGGTAGTGGTTTGGGATTGGGAATGTCTAGGCCACCAAAGAACTGGTTCTGATAGTACAGATCCCGGTAGTTAGGGTTTCTGAAGTAGCGGGAATCTCCTTCACAGGCAATGACGGCCAGTATAAGCACAAAAATGCAAGAAACCTGAAAAGATATATAATCCAGGATATAAGATCACATCCTTTTCAGAGGATCTACTCCAACTTGCCAGCTTTAAAGACATTTTTGCTCTGGCGACTTTCAACGATGAAGTCCGTAAGAACTATAACAGCCCCTATGGCTCACAGACCATTTTATATAAATTTTTCGCATTATTTTGCATAAAAGATAGTCATCATTTTGCGTTGACGCCCATTGACAAATTGTGAACACGAGGAGTTTAGAATTTAGGAATTTATATTGACTTAATTTAATTGGGCGTCAAGTTTGAAAGACAGAATTGCTAATTTCGCCTGTGGAAAATTTTTGAATTCATTTTAAAAGTGAAATTCGAGGAGATGCTAAATTAATGATTTACTTATTCTAAGATTTTGGTAAGATATGCTATATATTCTCCATTAGATGCTTTACAGGAATATATACGTAAAAAGGATCATTTTAAAATATTTTGACATCTACTTCTTATTAATCATAATCCAATTACTAGGAATAGACAACTTTTCTCTCTTAGTCATCATTATTTAATCATCATTATTTAATTAATTAATCATACCATTATTTAATTAATTTAATTTAATTTCCATGCAACAATTATTTAATAATTTTTAATGTTATATGTTAAGTTAGTATCAAACAAAAAAGGAAATTAATTTCAGGAAGCCGAAATTTGTAAACCCTTGTCATAGGATCCTGGCATCAAATCAGAACTGTAAGCCTAAAATACATTAATTTTCATTAGAAAAGCTTTTCTGTGCTAATTATTTCTAGGCTTACAAATCTGCATACTACATTTTGTACATGGCCTACAAAGGATTCTAAATATAACTCTATTTATAGCCCTAGATTATTTAAAATATAATTATGAATGTTGAAATGTCTCATTTTCTGGACATTTTTTTATATTTGGTATTAAATCCAAAAAGCTTTTATAATTTGAATGGCCTTATGGTCTATAAAATAAACAATAAATGGCTGCCTTAAATCACCGAAACACCCAAAAATAACATTGAATTCATTTTTTGTAGTATTTATTTTATTTTTCTGGCAACAAATGTTGTATAAAAATATTTAATTTATTTAAAACAGCATTCAATAGGATGGAGCAAAACCTGAAATCAAGGTGTAAAACCTGGTAGCCTGGGTCTTCTCCCAAGCCAAAGTGTCGTCTTGCACGGAAAGGATACTCTTCAGGATCTCCTGGTTTTCGTTTTGAGATCGTGCTATTTGACGCAAGGTAGTTCGCAGAGCTGTAAATGAATAAAGTTAAGATAAGTAGTCCGATTTCGATTTATAAAATATATTATTAGTAATATAATGTCCTTTTACATTATTTTATATTAATTTTTATTTTATTTCTTTTAATTCCCTTTTAAATTTAGTTCAGTGGCAGTAATGATTACTTACAGACGATCAATGGCCGCAAAACGTTGGGATCATTTCGTCCTTTGCCACTTCCAGAAAGTGCAGAAATAGCCTCCGACAGACCCTTCTCCTGTCCGAGGATATCGTCCTCCGTATCGTCAATCTCATCATTACTGTCATCAGGGATCTCCTCCACCTTACGCGCTTTACGCTCTGCAGTTTCGATTGGAATGGGAAATGGGTCTGGGTTAGGATTGGGATTGGCATTGGCTAAGCCACCGTAGAATTGGTTCCGGTAGTACAAATCCCGATAGTTAGGGTTTCTGAAGAAGCGGGAATCTCCCTCACAGGCAATAGCTGCCAGGGAGAGCACAAAAAGGCAGGAGAACTGAAAGGATACATCAGAATATAACATCTCAACCATTTCAGAGAGTCCACTTTAACTTACCAACTTTAAAGACATTTTGGGAGATTTTTTTTGCGACTTTCAACAGCAATCTGTCGGATGGAACTGTAATATTTCTGCGGCTACAAGGTGGTTTTATATCATCACCAATCCATTTTGCATATTATATGTACGTCAAACGTTCATCGGAAAATTTTGGTGAACAGATATGCTCAGCTTAGAATATAGATTTGATTTAATTTAAGTGTTTAAGCGTGTTTCACTATATGAAGATATAAATGCTAATTTTGTTTGAGGAAAAATTTTGTATTTATAAAAGTGAAATTTGAGAAGACACTAAAAAGACTATTAAGTTAAATAAACTATTAAGTTTCTTGAAATCTATGTTGAATAAGGTATTTTTTGGGATCTTTATTATGAATTCTATATCCGGTAAACTAGTTACAATTTTTCAATTTCTTTGGCAGGGGAATTCGAGATGACACTAAATAAATTACTAAGTTAGGACTTTATAAAGGTATGCAAAAAGCTTTCACAGAAAGAGAAAATGCGAAAGTCTAAGTTTGTGAGAAATTATATCTCTTAGCAATTAGAACTGGATTAGGTTTTTGGTATTATCATTTCTAAAGTTCTATTATACAAGTATATTTAGTTTGAGGGTATAGTTTTCGGACTGTAACATAATTTTTTTGACTGTGATTTAAAGCTTTTTTAAGCTTTATAAATAACCAAGCCAAAATGTGATCATATTTTCCGAAAGTTCTTTTGGCTAGTTTAATATAGAGTTAACATTTATATTATCTTTAACAGAAATAAGGCTGTTAAGAGCTTTGCTTTATAAAGCTCAAGAGGGCTCAGATAGACAGGCAGTCGCCAATATATCTCACTCGTCTAGTGATGCTTATCACGCATTTTTTACTTAATGGGCTTTCTCTGTAAGATTTTAGTCGAGCTTATAATACCTGGCAGGGTTTTTTGATTTCAAGCCTCAGATATAGTACATCACAACCCCATTTCCTGAGACAGTTATACTTTGACTTGTAAAAAACTCATCAATATTCCCTTCCATAAGAGAAAACAAAAGCCTAAATAAGAAAGTTTATTAAAATAATTTTGTATTACTTATTTATTTATTTATCTTTTAAAGTTGTGTTATCTTAAGTCTTCGACTGTGATAGGTCATGATAGGAATGATTTGATTGCCTTGCTCTAAGATGTTCCAATAATTTGCAGAATTTTAATGTAATCATTCATATTTATATATATTTATATCATTTAGTAGTATTAGTATTAGCTCTCTAGTTTTATTTAGCAACTTTTGAAGCCCACTTTTGAGCTTAAAATAAAACCCCGAGAGCTTTTAAGGCGTTAACTAGACTTGGTAGCTAAGCTATAAGCCATAATCAATAAAACAAAGAGAAAATGGCTGCCTTCATCTGACCAAAACACTCAAATAAAACAATGGATTTATTTCTGTGGTATTTATTTAAATTAAATTAAGAAGGCTGAACCATATGTCACACAACTAACTAGAAATATGTAGGAAGCAGAGTATTGGCATTATCTTAATGCTTGGTGTAGACCACATTAGCCGCAGCCGGTTGGCTGGCATAAAAAGCAGAGTTGACGCCGTCATCTGAAAGGAAAATAATAATAATAAAGTATGAAATGTAAAATATATAGAAAACAGAAGCACAACTTATGGAATATTAAGTTAAATTAAGAATGAAAAGTATATAAATAAAGATTGAAGATTGGAGAACCAATGTTCAGAAATCACATTTTTAACTTAAGACCAGTATTATTTATTTATATTATGGTTTAGGTTATTATACTTTAAACTTTCATTAGAAAAGATATTTAGAATTCACTCAAAAAACTTGACTAAACTATATGAAATAAACTAGTTATATTAAAAGTTTAATAGACAAAATTTTGCTTATGACTTTACTCATTTAAAGATCGTTTTATCTTGCGTATTAAAGTCCACCCGATCCTACATTATTTGTAGATAAAAATAACTCCCACTTCATAAAAATATATCTTTCTTTGAGTTATACTCACAGGTGATCACTGGCCTGAAACCATTGGCATCAGCCAAATACTTGACTCCCACGCGCAGACCCTCGGGCGTGATGAAGGAGTAGGCACCCTCCACTTGCTCCTCCTTCTCCTGGTTGCCAATGTTGACGGGCACGCCCTTCTCCTCGCCATGGATGCCGTTCTCCGTTTCGTAGGAATAAGAGTAGGTACCGGCACCATAGTTCACATCATTGTTCTGCTCCACAATCCTAGCCTGGGCGGCGGCAATGTAGGGATTGTACTTCTTGTAGAAACCATCATAGTAGCGCCTTAGATTGTACAGATCCCGGTTGCGGTAGTACAGGTCCCTATAGTAGGGATTCCTCAGATACGGATTCGACTGTCCCTCGCAGGCAATGGCCGCCAGGACAAGCACAAAGAGGCACGAAAACTGAAATCACAGGATATAAGAACACAAATCCACTACCCTAAAGGTCCACTCTAATTTACCAGCTTCAAAGACATTTCGTTTCTTTTTGATCTTTTTTTTGACAACTTTCAGCGATGATCTGTCCGACGGAACTGTAACAGCTTCTGCTGGCCACAGATCGCTTTTATAACCAACTCTGAATCCTAACCAGACCATTTTGCATAAGCATCAAATTTCTGTCCATAAAATTCATTGTATTCGGTCAAACTTTCGGGGCAGAGAGTCAGACAGTTTCCGTTTAGAATTTAGATTGGCTTTATTATAATTCGCGTGCCTTTGTTTGTATAATTAAAATTAAGAGCATCTCTTTGAGCCGACAAAACGATTGGCAAAAAAAAGCAGGCGAACAAAAAATTGCTAAAACACAGCTGGGGGGCGTTAAGTGTTTATTCGTGTTTAACTATATGAAGATGGAAATGCTAATTTCGATCGGGGAAATATTTTGTATTCAGTAGTGAAATTTGAGAAGCCACTGAATAAATTAATAGATTAATTTGCCTAGGCTTACATCACTTTAACAAATTATAGTTTACAGATTTATTAACTTTCTATATGTAAGGGTTGAGGGTTATTATATCAGCTTATTGTTTATAGAAGTTGACACGTGAAAAAATTAATTTTATAGGTTTAAGATAATAATTTGGTTCTATAAATAATAATTACATAACATATTTTCCAGTAATTCCTATTGGAAATTTTTGCAAATTAATTTACTTCAATTTCAATTTATTTTCCTAAATAATTTTCTATATATTTTCCTATTTCCCCTCACCTACTGGCCTCCCAGCTCCATTGCGTCTCATATAATTTATTGTTTCCATTGGAGATTGAGGTGAATACGTTGCCCATTCATGCCGTACCCCGAGATGCGGCCACATGAATAAATATGAATGAAGTTTGGAGCTTGCTGAGACGGCGATGATCTGGCGGAGGGGAAACCTCATCTCGATTGCATCGCCGCGTTCGGCCTTCACATTTCGCGTGCGATTTGACAGCCGTCAACGGGTGCAACAATAGCTGTGTAATTGTGTGCCTACACTAGTCAGCAAAAGTCACGTGCCAGCTGGGGTTTTATTAATTGGGACCCCTAAACGAGAATAGTATTTCTTTAACGGCCCCAATTAGCATTTGAATTCGAATTCAAAGCTGAGAATCTAACAAATTGCGATCAGCGAGCCTAAGCAATCAGAACAAAACCAAAGACTGCTCTCCAACTGGAACTATAAATGTCCAAACACTGGCCATTCGTATATTTTATGGTTCCGAGATTCACCGAGTCCGCGGCCCAATCGCGGAATGCGTTAAATAAGATCTGAGCAAACGGACAAAAGATCTTTATTAGCTCATTTGCATAAATGAGCCGCTGAATATTTGTCGTCTAATTAATTGGCTCCAAATTTATTTGGACTTGGCTATTTAAATATTCATGGAAGGCATTGTGGTTCTGTCAGAGCCTAAAAAAAGGAGAATCAAAATAAAGTGGCAAGACTATAGGCTTACATGTCAAGCTGTTTTTAGTTAGATTAAAATCTAAAGCAAGTATATAAAAAATCGATAAGTTGTGTTTAATAAATCATTAATAAGATTCTCACACTTGCCAAGGCCCAAGAAAAGTTAGTGGTTAAGGTAATTACTCAACACGTGAGTGACAAAACAATTAGAACATAAATTATTTATGATAGAGGCAACCCCTTCTTATAACCATATTCTCTCTTTAGTGGCTATAAAACCAAAGGCTTTCGAATTCCAGAAACCAGTTTATAGTAATTCAAATGCAGTTAGTTTCAAAGGTTGGAGGTGGAGTACATAAAACCTAAGATGGCAAAGCAACGAACCTACAAGGACTTCACATTCATGGCCAACACAATGTTTCAGACTCTGGGCTATGATTTAATGGACTCACCCAGACCCTGGTGGCAAAAGTTACTCCTTCGCAGCTACTTCCTGTTGTGCATAGTGAGCAATTGCTACGAGGCCTGCTTTGTGACCTACAGAATACTGCAGTGGGAGTCCGTGGCCGGAAGTCCCTCCAAAATCATGCGACAGGCTCTGCACTTTTTCTACATGTTCAGTGCTCAGTTGAAGTTTGTCACCTTCATGAAATACCGGAAAGAGTTGCGATTGCTAAACCAGAAACTGAAGGACTTGTATCCTTCCAGTGAAAGTGAGTGCCGGGAGTACAATGTCAATAGGTTTTATCTCTCGCGTACCACCCGATATGTCCTGTTTTTCTACTACTTTGTGATAGTCTTTATGGCCCTGGGTCCTCTCCTGCAGTCGTGCATTGTGTACCTGATCCGGTATGGCAAGGTTGAGTTCCTGTATCTTCGCATATTTCCCACGCAGCTTAGCTTTAACACGGAAAACCCACTGGGCTATGTGTTGGGCTATGTCATAGACTTCACCTACAGTCAGTTTATTGTTAATGTCAGTCTGGGCACAGACCTCTGGATGATGTGTGTTTCCAGTCAGATTTCCATGCATTTTGCTTATTTGGCCAAGATTTTAGGTGAATATTGTCCAAGTGAAGAGAAGGAGCAGCTGGACTGCCAGTTCTTGGCCAGCTTGGTGAGGAGACATCAGGTTATACTCAGGTGGGTTTTTAAGTTGGATTTATTATTATATCCTTTAGGAAACTTATTTGTCTTTCTCTCTATTCATATCCTGCTGATTATTCTTATTTATCTCTGACAGCTTACACAAGGACTTAAATCGCGTATTTGGACTTTTATTGGCCTCCAATCTTTTCATAACCGCCAGTCTCCTCTGCTGCATGGCTTTTTATACTGTGGTAGAAGGTTTAAATACGGAAGGCATCTCCTATATGATGCTCTTTGCCAGTGTGGCAGCCCAGTTCTATATGGTCAGTTCCTATGGACAAATGTTAATTGATTTGGTAAATAAAATAAATTATTTATATAAATAATTAATTAAACAACTGCTGATATATCAAAAAATATATATTAGAGCGCCAATATAGCTTTGGCTGCCTATGAACACAAGTGGTATGAAGGCGGCCTGAGATACAGAAAAGATCTGGTCTTTGTAATGGCTAGGGCCCAGCGTCCAACCGAAATATCAGCCAAGGGTATTATTATAATTTCCTTTGATACCTTCAAGACGGTAAGGGAAAATATTTTTTAATAATTTAATAGTAATAATTTTATTTTTAATACATTTTCTAGTTGATGTCCATTACATACCGATTCTATGCGGTCATACGTCAAATTGTGGGGAAGTAGGGTAGTCTTGGTACCCTATCTATATTTTAGAAAATATATTCTATAAAAACTAAACAAAGGATATTTGGGAGACTACAATATACTTGTTATATACATTAGAAGATATATTCTATAAGTACTAATAATTTTAAATAAGAAGCTTATATTGTAGACTACAAATATCCCAAAATGCAAGGTTTGGCAATGATGAGGACTAAATTTATTAAGCCTCTCTAGTATTTAGTTAAAAAACCTTGAATAATGTGTATACATTTTCATGAAAAAATAAAGAATAAAATCAACTTCTATTACCTATACCCCTTCTTAGCGTTTGGTGTCATTTAACCAAGTGAAAATGGCTATATATGCTGCTGCGTATAGATCAAAAGCTACTCATTCTGTTCTATCTGTCCCTTTATTCGACTCTGCACTCTGCCGAAGCTAACGAACTGAGAAAAGCCCACATGAAGGTTTATTGTAACGAACAGGTGCCCTACGGAAAACCAACACCCATCGTCATAAGCATGAAGGTACGACCAGTAAAGACCACAATCACAGTGAGTCTCAGTACTCCCACCTATTTGCTGGCCTTCTTTGAGGTTGGAAATGAGTCTGAAAAGAAGCCACCGGAATGGAAAAGAACCTCATCCATCAGCAAAGAGCTGGCGGTGCTAGGTATTAGAAAAAGGCCAGATAAATGGCGCTATGAAGAGGGATTCTGGACAAATTTAACTGGAATATTTTGGACGGCAAGCGATAAGTTTCTCACTTTAATTAGCCAATCAAAATGGCTTTCACGGATACAGAAAGTCAAGGAAGTAGTTCAGATTAAAGTGAATCTCCCGCCAGAATGCACTCCACAACTAGCCATACCCGAGTGTTCTCAGCCGGTGCCTCCACGTAAGATACTGATCACGAGGGGTTTCTATGTCAGAGCTGTATTTCTGGAAAAGTGTAATTTGACAATTGAGAAGGGAGTCTACAATTGGAGTCTCAGTAATGCTGTGGGGTTGAGTGAGTTGTGGCCTTGGATCAAGTCTACCAAATAAATTTTTAAAATTATTTTCACAGCACAGCTTGCAACATATTCCACGGATGGACCACTTCTCAAAGTCCAACAATATTCCTGGAGATATCCAACATCCCAAGAACTCTTGAGGGACTTTTATCTCCTAAAAGTCGAGGGAAGATTTGAAGGTTTGTATTACGCAGCCCGATGTTACCTAAAGGTCGAAATGGGCCCCGTGGAAGCTGTAATTTCTGGAGGAAAACACAGAAGATCCGGCCAAAAGGACATACTTTGGATAAACGGCTCTATGAGCTATGACTTCTCGAAGAGATCTTCGGAAAAACAATTTTCTACGTTTCTTTGGAATTGCAAGTCAATCGATGATAAAAACAATCCATTTTGCCGCCCCAATATATCGTCGGGTGAGATATTTCTCTAGAATGGTGGATAAATTATAGCTTTATTCTTTTTTAGAGGCTGCCTTTAGTATTCCTGGGAATTCCTTAAAAACAGGATGTACATACGTCTTTCAATTGCAAGTGTCCAGGGATCACAATCCACGGATATCATCGGAAATGTATCAAAATGTTGCCATTGTTGGTCGCAGCGTACTTCAAGTAAAAATTGAATGTCTAAAGAATTGCCAGAGGGATTTCTACACTCCGAATTCCAGAGTTAAGCTAAAGGCAGTTTGCTTAAACTGCGAAAATATGAATGCAGCTCAAAGATGGTCCATAGATGGCCAGAAAATGTTTAGTACCAAGGAAATAACATTACACATCCGGAAGGGAACCAACCGGACCCAAGTTGAGCTGGCAATGTTAGCGGAAGACGGACGCTACGAAAGAAATGTCAAGACCCTGGTCAGGAATTCTGGACCCACCGGAGGAAAGTGTACGGTTAGTCCCAGGGAAGGGCAAGAGGCCATCACCAACTTTGTGCCATGTTGCCAAAGGTTTGTTAGCCAAAATCAGCCTATAGAATATTGGTACTACGCGGGGAAAGTGCTTCTTGGCAGTTGTCTGGATTGCAACTGCGGTGTACGCTTACCCGCCACGAGTTTCCTGCAAGTCCTGGCCTGCGAAGCCCTCTATGCTTGCCACTCCAGTTGGATAAAAGTCAAAGTGACTCCTCTGGTGGGAATACCCACCCAACCGGCAGCCTTGCAGAAATATATGATAAGTTCGTCGAACAGTTTTGTCAAGCTCTTGAAAGGAGGACTCTACTCGAGCTACTTGCAGTCCTTAAATGCCATAGCATCACGCATAAGTCTCGCCGACTCGGGAACTACTCTTCTTCATGGCTTCGAAAATATCCAACCATACACCCCAAGCTCCCTTAGTTTATTGGCGAACTTAACCCGGACATTGGGCCAACGTTTACCCACCTCCGATCCCAAGACCCAGGTCCTGCTCATTATGCTAGTCAGAAAACTGACCTATAACTTTCAAGAGGTAATGAGCAACGTGGATGCTGTGGATATGACTCAGAAACCCTTTATAAGTACAACTCTGGCCTGTCTAGAAGTCTATAGATTAATGCAGAAAATCGCTGAGAAAATCCCTCAACCTCCGGCCTCCATTTACGATCGGTATCAGAAGGCATTCTTGAAAGGATCCTTGGACCTGGACTTTGTGGATAAGCTCCATTCTGAAATAGCAATAAGAAGGACTTCGCATGGGAATTGGCTTAATTTCATGTGGGCAAAGGATCATTTGGGATTTTTAATGAATATTTTTCAACACATAAACAAAGATCAAAATATGCAGGACAATAAGTCATCGCCCAAGGCTGAAGTGCTAGTTCAGTGCTTTGAAACTCAGACGAATGATACAATTATAGTTCATAGCACCGATAGTTTGTATAGTGTAGTCCTATCAAGGAAACTTTTTGATGAAATATTGGGCACAGGGGAAACGGAAATCTGTTTCAAATTGATCTCCATTCAAAGGACACTAAACTGGTGGTATCCAGATGAAAAACGGCCGACTTCTCGTATGCTTTCGGTGCGAATTTTTGAAAAAGGCGAGGATGTGTTTACCAAGCAGATTAAGCTCCTGAAAAGTGAACTTGGGTATGAAACAAATATGACTATTCACACCACATCGCCAGCGAAAGACAAAGACGTAATGACCAAGAACCCAAGGCAGACGCATGATGCTCTAAAGGAGATCCATGCCGGGAGATACATCAGTGTCGTAAGGAATGGACAGCTTGAAACCCTACAGTCCGTTCAATTATATCGAATTATCCTAGATGAACAGACCGTAATGGCTGTCCATTTCACAAGAAGCACCCACAAGCTGCAAGTCAAGCTGAAGCTCGAAGTGAAGCCATTGTGGTCGGAGATATCCAAGTCCTGGTGTGTTGTTCCCTCGTTGAGCACAAACACGACTTTTCTGTTACGAAACAAATGCCATCAACCGAAACGTGCCTATATGGCATTGCGGGTTTGGTCAAAGATCCCCATCTGGAACTGTCCGAACACAACGCTAGTCGACGGTCCGGCGTTATATACCTTTGCCTTTCAGATCCGCTCATGCGCCTCGTGGCTCTATAACCGTAAGCCCGACCAGCAGGGATGGGACCAAGGCGGCTGCGTCCCCACGATGGACTTCAGTGTGGCCCGGAAATTGCGGTGCATTTGCAAAGTCCTGGGAACCTACACGAGCTACGTGTATTACATACCTGCCATTAAGGTTTCAGTGGGTACCTTCACGAAACCCAGCTTACATAAGGGAGTTGTTGCATTTTACTCGTTACTGCTCATATTTATTCTACTCAGTATGTATTGGCTATATCGATATGCGAATAATCTTCCCGCCAAAAGTATTTTCATTCGAATGCCCGCCGACGACGACGCCGAGGATGATGAAGAGCTCCATGATCTGTTGATAAAGTTGAACACCGAGGGTAGAGTAAACAGCCAGACCACAGCCTCTGTGACCTTGGTTTTAATATCTATAAACCAAAAGAAGCGAAAAATTAGGATACCACAGGATCCGGAACGTAGCTTCCTTAACCGAAACTCAACACTCAATGTGTGGCTGCGATCGCGGGAGATTCGTATACCCACCAAATTGATGATTTACCATAACAACGCCGGACGGTATCCAAGTTGGTTTTTGCGACGCATCGAGGTGAGCGATGTCCAGACCCAAGAAACGCAGATCTTCGTTGTTAGGAAATGGGTGACCGACAAGGTTTTAAGCCTGGAACCTACAACGATCTTCCGAAAGGATCAGGTCCGCGCCCTGGGCACTTATCGTAGGCGCTTCAGGCTCCACATTGAGATGCTCTTCTGCAACTGGGCACTTTGGCAGCCGTTGACTGGTAATTGGAGGGAAAACGATCACTTTAAAAGCATCTCGCGGGCCAAGCGGTTCTGTGCGTTCGTGAGCAAGCTCGTCATTGCCTACACTTCCTGCGCCATCTACTTCCAGAAGACCACCATTGAGTCCCTTCAGCTCCACCGCGATAAGTTCTTAACCTACAAGGATCTGTTATTTCTAATACTGCTGGTAACCACCACGGATTTTATATTTCAGGTTTTGTTTAAATTAACCGCACACCATGTGAGTTAGTCAGGAAACAAGTGCTCTAAGATATTACTTCTTTATTTCGATATTTTCTTAATTCATAATAAATTCCTTATTATCAAACAGTTGCTAATGGTTAAAGATTCCTTTTAAATTCGAGACTTTTCAGTCTACTTTAATAGGCCTAAAACCCATTATATATTTATTACAAAACCCACCAATAAATAATGATTTCCCAACACTTAAGTGAAAAGAAATTAGTACATTAATTATTTACATATCCACTTCCTGTTTGGGGCCTATAAAACCAGTTAGAACTTGAAGATTTCCTTACAGTTTTCACTACCTTTTTAATTCGAACACAATGCCGAAAGAAAATCAGAAAAAGGATAAGCCCCGTAGCTATGAGGACTTCAACTACATGTCCCATATGCTATTCAAGACTCTGGGCTACGATATATTGGCTACAAACGCCACTAAGTGGCCTTATATTATCCTGCGAGGATACTTTTACCTGTGCATTGTCTGCAATTTCTATGCCGCCTTCTACGTGACCCTAAGGTTCCTACAGTGGGAACGCAGTGAGTCAAAGCTGATGCGGCACGCCCTGCACTTCTTCTACATGTTCAGTGCCGAGGTCAAGTTTGCCACCTTTGTGAAGTACCGAAAGAGGTTAAGGTCTTTGAATAATCAACTGAAGGATTTGTATCCCACTGATGCTAAGCAGCAAGAGGTTTACGAGGTCAACAGGTATTATTTGTCTCGAACAACGCGTATCGTGCTTTCCTTCTACTACTCTGTGATGGCTTTGATGATGGTAACTCCGCATCTGCAATCCTGCATCACTCACTTTGTGGTGAAAAGGGATTTTCCCTACTTGCGGATATTTCCCACTCAATTGAGTTTCAGTTCCGAAACGCCTTGGGGCTATGTTTTTGCCTATTTCGTGGATTTTACCTACAGCCATTTGATAGTCAACTTTACTTTGGGCACTGACCTCTGGATGATATGTGCCTCCAGTCAGATATGCATGCACTTTGGTTATTTAGCCAAGGTTTTAGCCTTCTATACCCCGCATAGGGAGAGGGAGGAAGAGGATTGTGCTTTTCTAAGCAAATTCGTGAAGCGTCATCAGCTTATTCTGGAGTGATATCGATGTAAATCTATGGATTGATTTCAATATATATCTTTTTTTCTACAGCTTGCACAATGAAGTGGATCAGATTTTTGGTCTTCTATTGGCCTCTAATCTCTTTACAACCGCCAGCTTACTCTGCTGTATTGCCTTCTACACGGTCGTTGAGGGTTTCAATATGGAGGGAATGTCCTATATGACGGTATTTTTCAGTGTGGTTGGTCTCTTCTATTTGGTCAGCTCTCATGGTCAAAATGTGATTGATTTGGTAAGCTAAGATTATCCTCTAAATTCTATATATTTCATATGTAATTTACAGAGCACCAGCATAGCGGTTGCTGCCTATGATCAGAATTGGTATGAGGGTTCTGTGCGTTATAGAAGATTACTTATGCTTATAATGGCCAAGGCACAGCGTCCTTCGGTAATATCAGCCTCTAGTGTGGTCATTATATCCTTGGACACCTTGAAGACTGTAAGTTGATAGTGTGAGAAGTTTAAAAAGAAAGCTAACTATACTTTTCAACAGTTGATGACCATTACCTATAGGGTTTTTGCAGTTCTAAGGCAAAGTATGGGAAAGAATTAAGAGGTTAACTAGAAAGTGTAGTGGTAATTTACATAAATGTAATATTAAGTTTCAATTTTCTATATCAACTTATAAACACACCTTTAATAACTTACCCGCTTCTTCATTAAATGTTGTAATAAAAATATTTCCAAGTATTTAATTTCACGGTTTAGTTACAGCTCATTTTATGCTATTAATAAATCTGAAGGTAAGTACTTGAAATTTTCTTCATAAGCTAATTATATACAGACATTACACCCCTTAAAGGTAAAGCGTGAAGTTTAAACACTTGACATATTCAATTGCCAGGGGAGTTGCTCAAGTTGCCCACTCCCGCATATCAAATTTCTTGGCCGCGATTTGCATTAATTAACCATGAGAGGTAATCAACGACGCCCACGTGCTTCAGATCGATTCCTCTGCCATTTAAGATGTCTGTCGATTAGCATAAAACCCATTAATACTCACAAACTGAGCCCAAAGATACCCAGACGGATTAGCATTTGGTGTAATGTTGTAGCTTCTGCTGCTAACCTGGATTAGATCATGATGATTCATCGATGCGCTCCAGTTAACTTTCCTGACCAGTGAACCAGTTCAGGCCAAAGCCAAAGCAGAGCAAAGTTGGTCAGCCAAGTGCATCCTTGACCATGAGGCGGCGTTAAGTCCCACTCCAAGCCAACTCAAGTGTCCAAGCGAAAAGCAGTAGCTGGGATCGCGACGACTTGACCAGAACCACTGACATTTAACCGCAACAACTGGTCCGTCTGTCCAGCGGTGGCTTCTGCTATTGGTTATTGGTGGTGGCTTTGTGCAATTATTTATTTATGCCTGCATTGACATTAGCATTAACGTTGGTCCGAGCATCGCAAAGTATGCCAGACTGGACCAAAGGCGGTTCTTACGCAACAGATAAATCAAGCGATTTGCGAGAACCAGACGGAGATTTTATGTGGGGAGTTGTCTTTTGGCTATTAACTTTTGATCTTGAGCTCGAAAGCACTTTTGGCCGCTCTTGGCAAGCGATTATTTTGGAAAATCTTTTAAGTAACCAGGCTTTAAGTGTGGGAATTTCCATAAATCTTACCTTAAGACAGACCAAGTTGGCTTTAATTAATTTAGTTGTTCAGTTTTGCGGTAATTATATGTTTTATATATCAGTTTATTTGAACATAAGGAAAAAGGTATACAAATCTATGTTTTCCAAGAAAAATTGCCTAAGAAAACTATAACAAATTTTAGTTCCATATAGGTTTTTAATGAATGAAAATAATTATAATGAGTACAAGATTTTACACCTTTCAGGAACTTTTAATGAGTGAAGAAAATCTTTAGATAATGTTGCTTAGTATTTGTCTGTAATATTTGTAAAATTTCCAAGACTTAATAACTTTTGAGGCAATAAAATTTAGGTATATTAGATATTTAGTAACTATTTTTTAAACTCTTCTCTCATAATTATCTACCCACCATAAATCCCCAAATGCCTCTAAAAGTGGTCACCTCCAACTCGCTTCCATCATGCCCGCCCTCTCCCAGCTCCCTGCTGGGTATCAAATTGCAGACGCTACTCAAAACGTCTCTAAAACAAATTACGCTGTAAGCCGTAAAGAACACGCCGCGACCTTCACAGTGGACAGCGGGCGAGAACAGGTTGGGCAACCAGAATATTAGATATATACACCATACACCACATACATATGGCCCAGACTAGTGGATAGCCAACTGACATTTCGCTCTGTAATCGGCGAAGCTATGCGTATCACCTCAAGGTTCCGCAAAAAAAAAAAAAAAAGCCCAAATGGGAAATGCTTGGCCTGGCTTTAACCGCAAACATAAATCTTGGTAGGCTGCTAATAAACTTAAATAAACACATTAAAAAGTAGTACGATAAATATTAAATTATTGCTGTCGAGTGTCTTCATAATTACCGAGAGCCAGGGAACTAATAAAAGCAGACTTTGGCTTCGCCTTTAACTAACTTGGCCAATTGTCTGAACTCGTACTACATATATGACTCTTTTTTTTTTGTTGGTTTTCCTTTGGCTTTTCCGATTCTCGGATTTTCTGGTTGCCAAAGACAATAACAATACAATATGGCCACAATCTTTGGGACAATCTTGTCACGAAATTCTGTCGCCGTCTGTGTCGGAGTTGCAGTTAAAGTCGTCTCTGGAGGAGGATGGGTGGAGTGGGGGTCTTAAAAAGCCAAAGCCAAAGTCTGGCCCCATCTGCTGGCCCAAAGCCATTCATTAGACGCGCCTACACTTTGGCAGCGACGACAATAACAACAAAGAACTAGCTGGCGTTTAGCAATTTCTGGCATTTTGACCCCGTGCACGGCTTCAGTTTGAGGTCTGCCTCTGTCTCTGTCTCTGTCTCGGGCTTTGGCTCTGGCTCTGGCTCAGCCTCTGCCCATGGGCTTGGGTTTCTTCGGTACCCTCAGCCTCACCTGAGTTTACCTGGCTGCCTGACTTTGATTGCGATTGCCGATTAATGGCAGCGAATTTAAAGGCAATGGTTCAGCCTCCCCAAAAAAAGAAATAAAGGCACTGGCTCTGCCCCATTTCGAGTCAGGTGGCAACGCCGTCGGCCAAGATGGGTATCTTCATTATCTTTTTCAATTCCATTAAAAAAGGGGCGTTTTTTATATACATTTTTAATAAATAATAAATTAAATAATTATTCAAGGAACATAAACTTTAAGAATAAACGATTCTTGAAAGATATTTATAAGAAAAACCCTATAAATCTAAACCATTCAAGTTCAAAGAAATTAAGAAAAACTTTTGAAATCTCTTTACTAACTATAAGAAAATCCCATTAAAAATGTAAGTATTTAATGTCTTCATTTTTGAACCTAAAAAAAACCCTCTTAAACCCTTGATTTATTGTTTATTTATTTATATATAATTTTCTATATATTCTGAATCAAAAATGCTCTATTTCCAGTCATCCCCTCTAACCCCAGTTAATAATTTAGTATAAACTTTAATCACCGTGTAGCTATTTCCGCTGGCTGATGCAATTACTAGTCCATATATTTAAATGTCTGTTGAAGAAAACCTGCAACAATTGCATAAATTAAACGTACTTAGTACAAAGTTAGTTTTTCTTTTGTATGTATTTTCTTGGCCCAGAACAGCTGAGCCTCTGCTGCTCTTTCCAAGCAGAGACCTAGGCGTTGGATCTTTACTTTTAGTTAGTTTGTTTTTTCTTCTCTCTTTCAGCAGATAGTCAGTCGTCGCCGCCTGCCCGCTGCCACCCCCTCAGTTAGTTGCTGTCGTTTTTAGTTGTTTTTTAGTTTCGTTGTCGTCGTGTCGCAGCTTTTGCATCTTTGGATGGTTTTTTTTTTTACGTATTTTCTGTGTATGCGAGACGCTTTGCCAACTGAAACTGAATTGTTTGCAGCCTCGCCAATGCAATTTTCGTATAAATAGACTCACCTGCCGGCATTGGGCATCATTAAATAAAAAACGCTCGTTCAATTAACAGCTCCCAACAGGCGCTCAGTTGAAAGGATAACTCAGCCTTTGGATAACCACATCCCTTCAGTGCATCCAACAAGATGAAGAACGTAAGTGGAAGTGAAGGAAATTCAAGTGATTAATTACACAAAAAGTGAAGGAAAAAGCAATCCTAGAATAAAAAGATATCCCTAGGACACAAATGTGACGAATATATATAGTAAAGAGGTATTAAAAGTGGCTAAGGACTTAAGAGATCTTAAGCTTTAAAGGAGATTTAAATTTGTATTTTTAAAACAGGATGTGCTTACTTAGACAGTATTTATAATTTATAAATATTAAATTATAAATTCTAACCAAAAGTTTGTCAATAGAAAAACAACCCAAAAGGAAAACTAGACTTAGACCGAGAGTGAAGTACTCTACAAATTTAAAAGATGCCTGTAAAAATAAATAGTATTAGGATATTTACTACAAGTTGCAGTTCTTAAACAAGAGTCTAAAATTTCATTTAAAAAATTAAAAAAGAAAACCCTATTCTGTTCATAAGTGTATTCAGTTTAAGCCAACTTACCTCCATAAAATATGTATATGGCCAGACAGACTTGGGCACTAAAAACCCCATCCATCCAGCTCGTAAATCAATCACCTAAGGTGAGGCGTTTATAGCGGCTTCATATCCCTTTTGTGGGCTTGTTTTTAAAAGATTTTCGGTTCGGTTAAATCTTCCGCAATTACGAGGCGGGTGCGAAGCCAACAACTACGAGAGAGCATGCCATTTGAAGAGCTCAAAAGCCAAAGGCAATTAACGGCCACAGATGCGAGCTCTGTTAGCCATGCAAAGGTCAGAGTCAGTCCATATCCATGTCCACCATTTGGCAGCTGTCCATCTGGCTGAAAAGTTCAGGCACGAAATTGGAGTCTAAATCCAAGCCAGAAAATGTAAACGAAACCTATTCAGAGTTAGATCACTTTAAAAGAGTTAAAAAATGAAACCAAAGACGAGCGCCACGCCCTGCGATTGTCAGGCCTGTTTTTTTTTTGTGTACAAGTTAATTGAGTCGGTGTGTGGAAATGTGGAAAATATTTAATTGGCAGCTATTTGCCGACCTCAAAAGGTGTCTAAAGAGCTCGGTATGTGAGAACAGCAAATAAAATAGCAAAGGCAATAAATCTCCGGGCGGCGCTCAGCTCTCGGACACGCGGGCGTTGCATAATGGGCATCGGGCACGATCTCAAGATGTTTACTAACTCACTTAACATTTGCTTTGCCCATTGCGTTTTTCTTATAGTTTTCCCTATCGTCTTCAAATTTCATTTGTGCTTTTTTCATTGACAGTTTGCTCTGTGTCTGCTGGCCATTGCACTGCTAAGCAGCTGCCAAGCTGCTCCCCAGAAGGCGGATGAGCCCATAGCCATCATCAGCCAGGAGTCCAACATTGAGCCAGATGGATCCTATAATTATGCGTGAGTATAAACAATAAATTTAGATGTAATTAATAGAGATTGGTGGTGTAAAAAGAGATCGTAAAATAAATCTGTATTTAAAGATACTACCCTCTCCCATAAATTGCCTCTTTTTACTTAGGTAATTGCCTAGATCAATTTAAGAAAATATACTACAATTAACTTAATTGAATAATTAACAGACTAAATAACATAAATCTTTGCCTCAAAGTCAACTATAAATACCTCTAAGAATCGTAATTGACACCTGTGATATTATAGCCTCTAAAGAACGTGTTAATGATCTCCTTAGCTCTTCAATTGAACTTCAACCTTTAATTGTCAACTCAAGACCATTAAACTCCAATTGTATTTAAAAGTCGTGCTCATAAAAACCTAGTATTATAGCAATCAACTTCGTTTTGTGTATAAACCCCTCCTATTTATAGTATACTTTGCGGCACAATAATTTTAAAAACAACTATAAATTCAACTTCCAAAAAGCCACAATGATTCATGTTTAAGTTTTCTATATGTGGTAAAGACTCTTAGCCAAACCTGAGCTCCCCTTTCTGAATACTAAACAGAACCAGCTAATATAATCCAGTCAAGATTATGCTAATCAAGCCAACGAGATATGGATTAATGAACCATTTTTCGCATAGAAGTCTGCACAGAAAGGCTAAAAGTTAAGCAGATAATTGAATATTTATACAAAGCGCCTGGCGCCAGTCGTCGGGTGACGCACAAAACCGCAATTTTATTATATATTTTTTCGCAAGATTTCAAGGTGAATTTGGTTAAACCCTTTGGTTATATCTTTAATTTGAGATCATTTTCATTGCAGCTATGAGACGGCCAACGGCATCAAGGCCGAAGAGACGGGAACCCTGAAGAAGGCCACCTCACCGGACAGCAGTGATGTGATCATTGCCCGGGGTTCGGTCTCCTACACCTCGCCCGAGGGCAACCTCATCACCCTGAACTACTCCGCCGATGATGAGAATGGTTTCCAGCCGCAGGGTGATCATCTGCCCACGCCACCACCAATTCCACCAGCGATCCAAAAGGCGCTCGACTATCTGCTCAGCCTGCCCCCAGCCAAGCGTCGTTAAGGCTGAGGTAGCTTACCCCCGACATGCACCTGGAAGACTCGATTCTGACCCCCGATTCTGATGAAGATGCTGCGCTGCTGCTGCTGCAGATCCCCCAAGCCCCCCATCCCCCCATCCACAATCCCTAGACAATCACACATAAGACACAAGCCACGGGCCGGAGGAGACTCCTGGGCCAAATCCACTGACTGAAGAACACAAAACTCAAACGGATTTTTTTGAGGGACAACATAACACTATACACTATTCTATCAACGTCTGCTTTCTTGCTTTCTTCCACACGAATTTCTTCAGATCTTTTAGTCGCCGGAACTTTGCCATTTTCGGACTCATGTGATATCGTCGATTTATCAATGAAATCAACAAAGAAAATGTAAAAAAAAAAAAATAACTAACAAACAAGAAATTACTTAAATAATATACAGGAATATTATCCACAGCAAACTTTGTGTAAATAGTCTGTAAATTAGAAACATTTACACGCATAGTCTAAGCAGCGATGTTGACGGGGACTTGGCCTGGCTAAGTCCTCGGTAGCATCGATCTAGACACTTGTGAAGAACTACGAAGATATTCTTTAGCCTTAGCTGCAAATAAAGAATTAAAGATTCTTTCGAAAAGTAAAGAAATGGTTGTATTTAATGATTGAAAGGGTTTCACAGAGGAATATACGGATTTTAAATAAATTTAATAATAATTTGTATGAATAGAAAATACAAGAAAGTAAGCACACCCATTTATAGCCCACAAATGACCTCTAATAATATTAAACCATTTTAGTCTTGTCTTTATTTTATATAGATTTAAAGACACCTTAAAAATTTCCATACCGATAATCTCGCTCTTAAGCTTTGTAGCTTCTGTCACAGTCATAAATCTATATACCCAATTCCTCAAATAGCTGCGATGACACCGACTTAAAAGAGTTAATAAATGCACAAAAACTCGTTGACCAGATGCACACACATTGAGGATATAGTTTACATGGGAATCCAATGATCTTGGCGCTCCATTCGCTGTTTATTCATAGATTCTGTCCAAAAATAACGTGCGCTTTTATTGTTTCACCCGGTTTTGCACATCAAGGCGAGAGTTGATAGATTCATTTTATGCAAAGTGGCCAGACGCTGGCAAAAATGTGGTTCCGAGCCGAGAACCAGAATCTGACTGAGACCGGGGCCAGGCCCATGGAAGTGACCAGCGCCATCGCCACAACATTATTATTATTTATTTATTTTATTTTGGAAAACAATGTGTGTGATGTGTGGTGTTTGGTGTGGAGGCAGACAAAGTTGAAGTCGTCTGCACCAAATTTCACACCCATTTTCGAAAGGCCAACGAGGAACGGAACACTAGGCGAAACAAGTTCAATATTATTTATTGGCCACATTTTAATTTCATGTTAAATATTTTATTTTGGTACAGGAATTCTCGCTTTGCTAATTTGTCGTTGCCTATATAAGAGTCTTTGTTTACCGATGGGGATCGCCAGTCGCCTCGAGACACCAGCTTGGATTGTATACCAAATAAAAACAAAACCCGGATATTTGTATATTTGATTAGAGATCGTTCTACAAGTCCCGAAAATGAAGTTCCTACTGCTGATTGCTCTGTTTGTGGTTGCTGCCAAGGCGACGGAGGACAATGAACCGATTTCCCAGGAGTCCAATGTGGAATACAATGGCAAATATCATTATCAGTGAGTTTCGAGGCACTAAGGGATTGAACGTTATAATTGAATATATTTTTAAAATCATTTTGCTTTAAATAAGATACTCTTTAAATTCATTAAAAGAATTATCTTAAATACTTACTTACTTCCTTTTAAAATAAGTTAAACACGATCTTCTTTTATTAATAATTTACTTTTCCCTACAGTTACGAGCTCAAGGATGGCTCCAAGGCCACCCAGGATGGTGTCCTGAAGACCGTGAATGCCGATCACAATGGCGAGGCTGTCCATGGCAAGTACTCTTTCGTTGGCGATGATGGTGAGACCTATGTAGTGTCCTACACGGCTGATGAGAATGGTTACCAGCCTGTGGGTGCTCATTTGCCCACACCACCACCCACACCCGAGTCCGTCCTCAAGGCCCTGGAGTACATCCGTCTGCATCCCTACACTCCTCCAGTGAAGAAGCACTGAAAATGTTGCAAGAACTAAGCATAAATGTGATTGGAACCAAAAAGAACTGAGAAAAATTAAACGAAAATACAAATGTTACAGAAAATGAAGAGGAAGTCTGGGGTTAACGGAAGTGAAAGGTTAGATCTGGCAGGAAATTGGATGAAATCTTGGTTAACCGGAAGCCAATAAGTTCAAATAAATAAACTTAAACTTAGTTTGTACTTAAGGCAGGGGAGTTTTTAGGAGAAGCTCTTCTAAGAAGCTCTCTGCAAAAACTTCTCCTCAAAAACCCCTCTGCAAAATATCTCTGGCTTTTGTGTGCCATGCCAAAATGTGTGTTAAATTTGCCATACTTAGCAGTTTTTGGCTCTGCTGGCAATCTCGCTAAACAATTACTAATTGAAAGCTAAATTGTTAAATAAGCAATAGAAGCCCCAAGCAGAGTGGCGAAAATCTCAAGGCCGTATCCGCAAGTACACTAAGCTTCAGTCGAGATATAAATCGTGCCATATCTGTATCTTTCAGAACAAAATCAACAAAATCAATAGGGATTATGTAAGACTCATCCCAGAGACAGAAACTGAAAGTGTGATTTCTGTTTTTGTTTTGCTCGTTTTAATTTACACTAATATGTTAATACATTTGGGATCAAAACCATCAGAGAACATTTGTAATTCCGGGAATGAGCCAAGAGAAACCCTCATTGTTTTACCAAAATTAATCAGTTATCTATTAGCATATCTTTTGTGGTCATTTCTTTGCTTAACCAACCAAGTTCATTGACCATTAGCCGTCTTCTATGACACAATTGTGGTTAATATTCGCAGCATATAGCCCTTCAGTCATATGGCTATAGAAGCTAGACAGCGGCGTTATCAATTCGATTTATGGCCCACAATACTCTACATTTTTTATGGTTCTTTGTTTTCAGTGTTCACCGTTAGGTTTTTTCGGCGAAAATATTTCCATAATTGAAACGTGATGGCAATGCAAATGTGAACGAAGTTCTTTTTCTTCTTTTTTGCAGTTGCTATAGGAATTTTAGGGGAATATTTGGTTTATTCTGGAAGTAAAGTGTTTATCACATGTATATATAGGCTTTATGGTTTGAATTTAGTTTAAGGAAGGTATTTTTTAAGGGCACATTTAAGAAAAGTCGTTAAAATCAGGTTATGTATAAAGAGTTTCCTAGAGACTTTTTTTTGGTAACTATAATAACGAAATATTATTTAAGCCAAAAAAATATTTAAGAAATTCCAAATAATGTTAAATATATTTACTTAACTTCACCAGAATTCCAGCACTCCTTCACCTAAAATTAAATCCTTAACGGAATCCCCAGGAACTGTCAACGGAACCAAACTCTCGCCCCTCTGAAGAATAATTATATTCTGTTCAGACAAATCACGTAGCCTGCCAAGATCTGGGATCCACGATATGCCGCCTGCGAGGTGAGGGGCTAAAGAGTGGACATCTGCTGTCACCTGCTGACATCGTCGCTTCATCTTCATCTCTTTTTGATGTTTACTCATCGCGCGGCAATAAAACCGACTCTGAGTCTGAGTCCGAGTCCGAAACTGAGACCGACGACGGGCGCTGCTCGTAATTTCTGCGAGTACTTCGCAGCTTATCTAGTGCGCCCATCGTAATGGCGATGATCGCGGTAAGCTCCGAAGCTTCTTTGGACTATAAAAGGCCCGGGCCTGGTTGGGCCAGTCAACAGTTTGCTTGCCAATTCGCTGGATAACACTGCCCACGCCCAGTCACACCCCAGGATTAAATCATGTACAAGTTTGCCTTTCTAGTGTGCTCTGCCCTGCTGCTCAGCTATGTCTTGGCCAGGCCGCAGGATCAAAGAGCAGGAGCTCCTAGTGCCACCACTACGACCACAGCTGCCACTATTGTCAAGCAGGATAATGTGAACAATGCCGATGGAAGCTTCAATAGCAGGTGGGTTTAAATCATAAAAAATATATGATGATAGAGAAAAGATCAGACTTAAATCTTGTCTAAAAGATGTTACTTTTCAAGTGGAAAAACTATTTCTTTAAGAAGATGTGTAATTTTCAATTATAAATTACTTTATAAATACTATAAAAGATGCCTAAATAATATTATTTATATCATAATTTCCTATTCAATGTTTATTCTTTAGTTATGAAACCTCAAACGGAATACGCGTGGAGAACATTGGCTACCTGAAGAAGATCATTGTGCCCAAGACAGAGACCTCCGATGGCCAGGTGGTGGAGGAACACGAGGAACTTGTCCTGGTCCAGACGGGTTCCTACAGCTACAGCGATCCCGATGGCAATATCATTACACTGCGCTATGTGGCCGATGAGAATGGTTTCCAGCCCGAGGGTGATCATCTGCCGGTGGCCCCGCAATAAGCTCTAGTTCCCATAAACAGTAGTAGTTCCCTCCCAATATAATCAATAATAATATTTCGCTTGAAAGTATTATGCACTGCCTGAATGCCATACGAAATTGAAATGTCTACAGACCGTAGTTAGTCTTAAGCAAACACAACTCACACACAACACACACACAAAAAGAGAAATAAATATTGGAAACGATAATGAAAACGACAACTTAACTGAACTGAACTTACTTCTCAGCCTCGCATGGCCTATAACATTACATTACCAAATTGCCCTTCACGCTGGCGGTTAACACCACAAGTGGAGATGAGATGATACCAAAAGATGATGAGATGATGCCAAAGCTGATGATCATGAGCCAACCGCTGGATTTATTTACATTATCGCACTTGGCTCCGAATGACATTGATGCCGCCGCTGATATGGACACGGTGGGGAGTACGAGCTTCGAATATGGTTTCGTGTGTTGTTTGCCCAACTCAATGGCGCATACCACAGAATGTATGGAAAGTCCCGGCGTTTAATTACTCTATTAAACTCCCATTAGCTGTGGCTTTGTGGTATATTATGGGATCAGCTCAGATTCAGTTCATCCATTGAGACACCGAAATGTGGAGCACTTTGCTGTGGGGCCTTGTGGCTTGGAGCAGTCTTCTTAACATACATCCTGCCGAGGCAGCCAAGCTGATTCCTGTAAGTAAACCTCTAAAAAAAAGTTTAGAACAAATATATATAAATATATATGTATTAACCAGAGCCTGGGCTACTTTGTTGAGATGAAGCAAATGGATTGCGTGGGCAATCCCAGTTACTTTGCCAACATACACTGCCGTATCCTTCCACCAAACAACAGGACCATGGAGGCCTCGGTGACCATTATGCAGAAACTAGGCCCCTTTAGTGGCTCTCTTAGAGTCTCTATACCCAATGCCAAGAAGGTCATTACCCAGATATTTGATATAACCTTTGACGTGTGCAAAGTTTTGCGTGAGAGGAAAAGAAAAGCGCTAATCGATTTGCTGGTAAACACGGTGGCTAGGAATAGCAATGCCAAGGACTGGAGGTGTCCATTTCCAGAGGTACGAGTAACAATATCTAAAAAAAAGTAATTATTTTTAATAATATATATTTTATAGGGAAAATTCGAATCGAAAAACATTTCAGTCAGCGGTCTGCCGCCCATGTTAACCGAATCGGACTTTTTGGTAAACTTGGACTTTTTCATTCCCAAGGTGGCGCATGCCTTCAATGTAACACTTAAAGGACATCTCTTTGATATTGCCAAGGAAAAGGCAAGGCAAAAGAAATATTTGTAGGGATATAAAACTATAATATCTTAACAATTTATAATGACTTTGTTAAATCATTTTATAAGTAATTATAATAAATGTTCTTCCCTCTAACAAACTCCAAAGATAGTTCTCTTTTAAAAATGTTTGTTAATTTATTTTACAAATATTTTCTACATATTTAACACAATTTATACACCAAAATCAAAGCATACTTTGAGGCTAACTCTTAATTAACAATCGCAAATGGAAAATCATTGGCTTTTGCCATAAACTAAATCGCTCCAGTTATTTATTTATCTCTCACAATATCTTTGCCATATTTTGTACCAATATATTTTTACGCTCAATTAAAACTTAAAATTGTGGAAAATTTCAAATGTTTTAAAGTCAATTATGTTACTGATTTCTAATCACTTAAATTTGTATACAAATCAATCAATGAGGGGCCATGCCGGTTAACAGAGAGATTTAGTTGTTCAACGTCTGATCGAGAGCAATGTTCTCCACATGGCTAAACTGTTTGCGGATCATTTTGTTGCTCATTCACCTGATACATTACACAGAAGCCAAGGTAATAAATTACCTAAAAATATATATTTCCTTAAATTTAAATTAAAAAACTTTTAGAGACACCTAAGATGGGAGTGCTTTGACTGTAACATAGGTCCGCAGTTCTCAGACAAAATGAAATGCAGCGTGGGCGGCACTAGAAACTCCGTGTTAAATGTGGAAATTAACTTGCAAGAAGAACTAGATGCCATCAAGACTTATGTAAAGATTTCAACCAGATTCAAGAGCACAAGTCCCTACAGAAAGTTCTTTGATATAACCTTTGATGGATGCCGCGTGATATCGGATATGGTACAAGGAACCATGGTTTCAAATATGTTTAACGCAGTTGTGCGATCGAGTAATCAGCCCAGAAAGTGTCCCATAAAAAAGGTAGCATTATATTAAGTACTTAAATTATATAATTTTATATATATTTAAATTTTTTAATATTTTTAGGGCCTGATTTACTATCACAACATAAGCATAGAGGATGCCTTACCCATGTTTGTGCCCAGCAGCCATCTCTTTATTCAAGTGGACTTCTTTTCCAAGCGGCAATCGTATTTAAATGTGACTCTCAGGGGAGAGATATTGGACAAATAAATAATATATGGCCAACCAGACTACTTTAATCAATTACTGTATTAACGGACTGACCCATAAACAAAGACATCAGGTCTTCAATATAGACCGCAGCTTGTGTTATATTTAAAATCACTTAAAATGCCATCACCAAAAATATCAATTATTATTTTTGATAATTATGGCTTGTATTGGCGACTGTTTTCACTTTATAGTCTGTGCTATAGCTTCCGAGTCAGACAGTTGTAATTAATCCAGAGCTGATGATGGCTCAATTTTACGGAACACTTTTGGTGCTTTTACTCGCTGGCCACAGCCAAACGGCCAAGGTATGCTAATGAGAAAATATGACAAGGATTTGTAATCAACTTTGTGGTGTGAAGCTCTCAACAAAGTTGCGTCTGCAGCTGATGTGGCGCAGCTTCAACTGTGCGGTCAATACGGATTATATTTCCCAACACAAGTGCCTCATCTTGGAGGCGGACAGGTCGCTGCTCACCGCGGAACTGCACTACATTAAGGATGTGGCCAAGTATAATGCCACCTTCAAGCTGCTTATGCCCCAAAAGCCCAACACCAAGTTTCAAAAGGTTATAGACGTCAATGTGGATATATGTCAGTTTGCCAAGGGAGTTCATGGTCACCGATTCATGACCGTTGTGATTAAGGCTTTCGGTAAGCAGGGTTCCCAGCTAAAGTGTCCCCATCCAAAGGTATTTGTTATTTAATATTATTTTTTTATATTTTAAAGTAATTATAGTGGTTATTTTTCAGGGCCTTTATGTTTATCCCAACATTAATATAGCCGAGAATTTGCCCGCCTTTTTGCCAGAGACTGAATTCAGAATTGAAATGAATTTCTTGACAACGGAAACACATTTGCTTAATACCAGTCTGGCTGGATTTTTGTATAATTCCCAAAAGAAAATAGGGAAATTAATTTGATTTATTTACAGAGAAATAAAGTAAACACAGAAATATTCGAGCAAAGATCAAGCGTATATAAGCTGGTCAATTATATATTCATAATAATAAACCATTTTTGTATTATTTCAAAATATGCTACTTAAATTGATTATTTCAAGCCAAATATACTCCACTTAAAATGTAAATTAATTCCGAATCAAGGATTAAATCAAATAAAAGCAATCGTTAAGGCAATTTTGGACTAAATTCAGGAATTAATCAAATGCTTTATGGCTCGCCACTTGTCACCCCAGAAGTACGTGATCTTTGTGTCAAGTTCCGCTGATCGTCACAGAATCACAGCGGTAGAATCGCCACTGGAGCATTATTTACGAGTCAAGCTCAAGATTCGCCGCATCGACAAGGCATTTCACAACCTGAATATTTATGGCCAGCAACGGGGTTCTGTAAGCCAGTTGGCGCTCTCATCGGATATAAAGCCAAAACTGAAACTGAAGCTGAAACTGAGGCTAAAACTGAGGCTAAAACAGAGGCTGAAATGTCAAATGTTGTTCGTAAGAACGGCGGCAGTTCGACAAATGCTAAGAATGTAAGGGTGAAATCGTTTGACATTTGCAGCAGTTGCCCCATTAGCCATTAGTCGGTCACTGTGCGAGTGGGTTAGCCATGATCCAAAGTGGTAACAGTTCCCGGGAATCTTAGACACGAGGAGGTGCTCTTTCTCTCTCTCTTCAGTGGTAACCTTGCCCAGCTTTCGTTTTTGTTTTCCATTTTTCAACTGTGCGTGGCATCTGAAAAAAATTGCACAACCCGCAATGAATCACCAGCAGCAGCAACATCAACGACAACATCCACTGCAACTGCAACATCAACATTAGCAACAGTGATGGGAAATGGTTAGGAAGTACCTATAAGGTACTATAAGAAGTATCTAGGGAGTACTTCTTATATATTTATATATTAAATTTATGCAAAAGAAGCCTTAGTTGTAATGAAAAAAAAATAAAACTTCCTGAAAGTTAACCCCTAAATGCTACCTAAAAACAGTACTAAATAGGCCTAAAATATCTCCTACATCTTACATTATTTTAAGTACCTAACTTCTCAAAGTTAAAGAAGTACCTCATCCATCACTGACCGCCGGCAACATCGTCAATCTGGAGGCTTGGCGGGCGTTCGAGATGCAGTTGTGGGTGCGGAAGACGAGGACGTGGCCAAAAAAAGCCAAAAAACATGACATGGCTCAGCGGGAGGAGAGGTCGTTTGTCGCAATAGGCGTTGGAGTTTTCAGCTTTTTGGCTCGCCTGCATTTTTTATGCCGGCTCTCTCGGCGGTTGTTCAACCCGCCGCTGCATTGTCTTGCCTCTCCGATTGAATTAGACACTTGTGTCCCCCCACCGAGATTTGGGTTCTCTGTTTTTCTCTTTCGATGTCCCCAAAAGGCTCGGCAGATTAACCCAATTGTTTGGCAACTAATTAACATTTGCCAAGAGGACCGGCAAGACGCTTTGGACTCAATTATCGTCTTGCCTCATCTGCCGGACCACTTTGGCCGCTTTGCTGTTACAACAATTTTCGCTTCGCTGGCTGGTGCTTGGTGTTGGTATTGGATCCGCCAAAATGCTGCAATTACAAGAATGCGAATGCGAATCCGAAACCGAGACCAAATCCGAGTCCAAATCCGAGTGCAAATCTGTAACCGAAGCTGGGAGCAGCAGCATCTCCTAAATGCACTTCTTCTGAGAGAGCACACCTTCCCTAGAGAGCGGGAGAGAGAGAGAGCCAAGTGACGCTTTTGGCCAAGTCAACAATGAAAGCAAAAAGAAAAACCAAACTCGTTCTGGCTTGTTTCTAAATAACGGCATTGCGAAGATGAACGACCGGACGCGCCGGCACGAGGACAGACATTTCGCAGACATTTGAGTTGGGCCTACGAGCGGGCCAAATACGAGCGGCGACAACTAAGCCCGGCTAAGGTGGGTGCCATAGAGGTTTTAGAGGTGTGAAATGTTGTTATGTAAAATTAAAATTATAAAGAAAAAAGCAGGAATCAATTCATAAGAATTAGAAAACGAACTCGGTTTCTTCAAAAAATCAAAAGACTTAGGAAACGAACTTGTTTTTTTTTATATAATGAAAAGACTTAGGAAACGAACTTGGTTTTACAAGAATTATAAAAATAAATATATAAAAAATTGCAATTAATTTTGGATAGTAATTAAGTTTAGTACAGGGAAATTAAATTAAACAAACATTATGTAAATAACAAATAAATATTTTTTAAATAAATGCCGCTTCTCAAGAACCAACTTAGCATAATGATAAAGCCAGGGGAATTAACTCTCTATATAATTTCGAAGAAGTTAATCATTTATTACTAAGGAATATATACATCATTTTGTACTTTCAAGATATATCTACAAGCATATAGCTTTAAAATAGACAAACAAAATTCTTTCTATTCCAAAACTAATATTTTCTCGTAACAAAAATCTATGGAACATTCTCAAAACGAGAGCGACAGTGAATTCAATATTTTTTTGTTTCCTTTTTTCAATTTAGCATTTAAGCGTCGACGAGCCTACAAACAACAATTACCAATCAGTTGAATCGGACAGCTACAATAGTAACAACAAGAGCTACTATGGCGAATTCAACCAGGCAGCCTCTCCATCTCCATCTTCATCGGCATAGCCATCGCCATCGCCATCGCCTTCGCCATCTTCACCTGCATGTGCGGCGCTCTCCCGTGGAAACTCATCGTTGTCGATGCAGTGTGGGTACGAATGCAGCAGGAGGATCGGAACCGAGTCGGAGTCGGGTCGGAGCGAATCGCCTATATAAGGCTTAAATAGGGCCGCGCTTGGCACAGTGTCTAGCGGAGCTGCTTTCACTACCCAGTGCGATCGATCAGTGCCAGCCAATCGGGCGACAAAGCGTGCCAAAATCAGTGGAATATACAGTGGATAAAAGTCAGAGACTCCTGGCAAAAATGAAAGTGATTGTAAGTGGCCCAAAAAATTGGCATTTGGGATAAAGTAAAGTGAAGTGTTTAGAGAATGGAAATAAATATTTATGGATTGTTAAGAATAATATTTTCTGGTGCTTGCAAAATTGGTTTTATTTTAATATAATTTTTTTAAGCAATAATTTAGTCATTAAATATAGTTTGTAATTTATAAAGAATATCTGTTTTGTGGAAAAAGTTTACATAATAAAAAAAGTTTAAATTTAATCACAAATAAAACTTCCATTCACAGATCCTTTTAGGACTCTTTGTCCTGTCCTGCCAGGGACAGCACCATCATCCTCACCAGCAGCACCAACAGCACCAGAATGTCAACAACATTCCGCGCGACGACAAGCCGGATCATCACCGGCACGAGGAGCACCGGGAGACGAGCACCTGGATACCCATCATCAAGTACAACAAGGAGCAGAGCGAGGACGGCAGCTACAAGACGGAATACGAGACGGGTAACAGCATTATCCACGAGGAGACAGGCTTCCTCAAGGACTTTGAGACGAATCCCAATGGAGTGCTGGTCCAGCATGGTCAGTACTCCTACCAATCACCGGAGGGCACCTTGGTGAATGTTCAGTATACCGCCGATGAGAATGGCTTCAGGGCAACCGGTGATCACATACCCACCCCGCCGGCCATACCCGAGGAGATCCAAAAAGGATTGGACCAGATTTATGCCGGGATTAAGCTGCAGCAGGAGCGTCTGGAGCAGAGGGCTAAGACGGACCCGGACTTTGCCCGGAAGCTGGAGGAGCGACGAGTGGCCAACCAGAATGGGCAGTACATAGGCCTGCTGGAGAACCAGTGAGGAGGGGCAGTACAACTACCATCCTATCATTCCAAGTCTCCCAATTCCTCCCCACCGAACCTATGAGCCTGGAAACGTGACTTCCTTTGTGACTGCCTTAGTGATTCTTTAGGAGCTTCTTAAAGGATTCCCTAATGACTCCCCTAGTGACTCCTTCACATTCTATGACAACCAGAAGACTGTGATTTCACTCTGCTAAATCTTCTTCAAAATCTTTACGTCGCTGAACCTTTGATAACTTTAACAACATTTATTTCCAACCAAGTTCCGCACACAGACGGATAATAATACTTTATTAACGAGTGTGAAAGTTTCGCCGCTTTGAAACAATAAATGAAAAACTAACGTTTCCATTATGCCGAAGTATGTAAGATGTATGTGTGTATATTTTCTATTTTTCCGTTTGTTTTTCAGACCTGACCATATCCATAATGTTCAGACAGACGTGACAAGGCGTTTATGGATCTTCGTCTCCGTTTTCATAATTTTTCCCGTAGCATTTTCCGCGCTTTATTGTTTATGTTTGCCTCTGAGATCGAATTACCCCATGCGTCAGTTTGTTGATCCCATTCCATGCTCATGCAGGTTGGGTTTTTCCAATTTTCCATGTTTCTACATCGCCGTCATGGAAATTTTCTTTCGAGAGCCTCCTCGACTGGTTGCTGGTTGCGTAATTACAAGAGATCCACGCTCTCAGCCAGTGCCATTCGCGGGAGTCTGTGGGAGAGGAGGGAAGCCGGTTGAAGTGGTCCGCGAATGGGTTACTGGCGCAGCCCCGATTCCCCGACTAAACCTCTTCAGCGTTCTGCCAATTATTTCGTAAGCTGATTTACCGTTTCAAGTTAGTTTTTCGAGAGAAAAGTAGACCTTAGCTAAATAAATATAGAAACTAACTATAGCTTTTGAACCCAAAAAGAGCTGTCATCGGGGCCGAAGAGAATAAAGTCAACCTTTTGGGCCACAAAACGGCAAATGATTTCGGTTAAATATTTGCATAAAACGTAAACATACTGAGATGTTAGAGGTATTCTCTTGGGAAATATAAATATTTATAAGCTTTTTATAACTTCGAAAAGAGTTTTATTTCTTTATTATATCAATTTAATTTAATTATAAACCAAAATAATAAACATAAATCATAAACCAACCAAGTATTATTGTTACAACTGCAAAGAAAACACCCCCATAACTATATTTATGGCAGAACCGTAATTTCTTTAACGCCTTAAAATTATAATCATTATAAATCGAGGGGGAATACCTCTGCTATATATGACTTTGAGAGTTAACCAACAAATAAATCAATTCCGCTGCATTTTCACCACCGAAGCAGACCCCAAAAGCACGGGGCCCCGAAGAATGTTTATTCGCCATTAAGTTTCAACGCTCTTGCGCATAATTAAAACGAAAAAAAAGCCAAGTTATAATAACGAAGCTGAACAAAAGAAAATTTCTATGGCCCGTGATTAGAAAGAATCTTTCTTTTGGGCCTGAGCGGACGCTGGTATCGATTTGGCCAAGTCAGTTGCCGTTTAGAAGCCGTCGCGTGCAGATCACAGCCGGGAAACCTTGAAAGAAAAGAAGAGTCTTTGAAGAATTCGAGTTCGCGGAAGCGTTAAGCCAACAAGAAACCCAACCAAAGGGAAGGGAGTGGAAATGGTCAAGTGTAGAGAAGTGAAAAAGTGAAGATAAGAGACGAGAAGAGAAAGATCTAAAAAAATCAATGCTCCAACCAAGTGCGTGCGAATATTGAATTGACATCGCCGAAGAAGATCCGTTAAAAGCAAAAATCAAAGAGGCTTCACAAAGAAAAGACTGCTGAAAACGAGAATGAATCAATAAAAAACGCGAAAAACTAACTGTAAACTTTGGCAGCAACAATAAAAAGTGGCACAGCGCCTCTGCGAAAATAAACAAAAGACATTCTCTGTTAGATTTAAATATGGTTAGTCATTGGAAAAAGTGTTTACTGTGGCTAGTCATCGCCCTCCTCTGTCAGCTCTTGGCAGCCCAGCAACTGCAGGGACCTCCGCGACCCAGGGGGCGTATACGCATTGCGGATATGCAGCCACCGGCAGGACCGGTATCTGGTCCTGGTCCTCTGGGTAATTGGCCTAGTTTGCCAGCTGTGGGCCCCATCAGCTCCACAGTGCACACGCACATCCCTCTGCTGCGGGAGGAGAGTGCTCAGCGGCCACTGACACCCAGCCAGGAGGCGGTGGTATATGGCAACTGGAAGCCAGAGCACCCAGAGAAGCCAGAAGAGCTGGCAGAAAAAGATAAAGAGGCAGAGATGGAGATGGAAACAGATTCTAGTCAGCAGCCCAGGGAGCGGGTGTATGGACGCCTAGAGGCCATGCTCATGGGCTTGCCAGCAAATAGTAAGCGTCAACAGGAAGTCAGCAAGTAAACAAAATGTTAACTATATACATTTCTTTTAAATTCCAGCTGCCGATTCAAAACTTTCCAGTTCCAGTGAAGAGCAAACGGCACCCATAGCTCCCGGTAGCTATCAGAACCCCGTTTATGCTCCTCCCGCCAGCTATGAACGTTCCCCAGAGAAGCATGGAAGAAAGAGGATCACCAGCCAGCAGACTCCTCATCAGTTCGAGGTCACCCGTGTAAACAACACAGATCCCGCACTCAAAGCCGTGGCTAAGCAGATCAATGAGTCTGCAGAGACAACCACGACCACACGCAGAAATACCCAGAGCACCACCGACGATACATGGATGCCACTGCCATACCCATATCCCTACGACACCACAATGCCTTCTCCGCCTGCGTCGAGCTCTATGATTCCAGGCTTTATGCAATCCTCGGTGGTGCACCCACCAGCGCCCACTCAGGCCACCCACTCCACCGCTGGCCTGCTCAACTGGCCCACCGATTTCATTGATAGCACTTCGAATACGGCTAGCACGGAACGCATTGATGGTACCATTCCAGCGAATATAGACAGGCGAGACGACAGCATCAGCGATTCTGCGGACGATTACAAGTACTACGAGGAGTCCCTAAACTCCGCCCAGATGCACAGCGAGCTGAGTGTGCCGGAGACGCTGCCCTTGAATATAACCCGGGTGGGCATTCCCTACGAGGATCGGAATGCATCCGAAGAGCCAACCATCTGTGTGCCGCTCACTGTATCGGAGGCGTCGCTCTCCTCGGACAGTGTCACACCCCTGGTGGTGGAAGTAGAGCGTGTCTACTGCTTCCCACTGCCCAAGGTGGAAGTGCGTAGGGGTCAAGTCCGGCCGCAGGTGGAACAGGTGACCCGAACGCATCAGGAGGAGGAGGAGTTACGTGAAACGGAGATGCAGCCAACGGATCAGGCAATGCCGCCAATGGATGTAGCAGCGGGAGCCTCACGAAGTTCAGTTGGAGTACTGGCGTTGTCCCTCCTCCTCGTTGGATGGAGCTTGCGACCAGGAATTAGTACCTAAACTAGGATCGCTTCAGATTCTAATATTAACAAAACACACAACTCAGGGGCCTAAAACGCAATTAACGATTATTTAAACATTAAAACTAAGCAAACATTAAGGGTTTGAGTGTTTTCTTTAGAATGTTTTTGGGTTCAGTAGAATATACTATATATATCGGAACATAAGAAATTTATAGATAACGTTTTAGAGTTTGATCTATATAGAATCTCCCATAATGTATAGCAACTCAACTGATTAAAGTATAAGTATTTTGTTTGTATTTTTTTCAGTTGCTCTTTTCTCTTATCAGTTTATAACACTTTAGTTTTTGTTTACATTTTTTACTATCTCGACAGCCTTTGGTTTCGGTTTATAAGTAGTTTTCTTATCAACATATAGTATATAGAAAGACTTCCCCGATAAGGAATTTCATTCATAAAAAAAGCTTTCTAGCGTTAAGATTAATATGGTTTATATGTCTCAATTGCGAGCCCCTTTTTTGGCAATAAATACATCTCGTGCGGCCTTGCGCAAGGTCTTGCCATTGGCATTACTCGGCAATTTGTCGATGAACTGGACTCCGGCATGAAGCTGCTTCTCCTTGGCAGGCAAGTGCTTGGCCACATAGTCAATAATGTCCTGGGCACTCACCTGGGAACCTGGGATCCTCACCACCAAGGCACCAGCTTCATCGCCAATCCTTTCATCGTAGATGCCAACCACACACACATCCTGCACCTGGGGCATCCGCGAGATGATGCTCTCGATCTCGGTAGGGAAGTAGCTAAGGCTTTCGTAGCGCAGCATCTCTTTCTTACGATCCACAATGTAGAGGAAGTTCTGCTCATCGAAGTAGCCCAGATCCCCGGTGTGGTACCAGCCGTCAGAGTCCTGCAGGTTACGAGTCTCCTCCGGATTTCCATAGTAACCATTCCATACTCGATTTGTGTGAACATACAGCTCACCCACCTGGTTGTATGTCAGATTCTTTCCCTCCTCATCCACGATGCGCATCCTGGCACCTGGAACGGGTTTGCCAACAGAAGAAAGATTGACAAGTCCTGCATTGGCCGTAACAATTCCCATCTCGGTCATTCCATAGCCACAGGTTAAGAGCGCATTCTTGCACAGATTCTGGACCTTCTGCAAAGTGGCATTGGAAGCCCAGCCTCCGGTGAAGTGCACATTCATAATGGAAGCCAGTGCCTCAGGAGTGGCATCTGGACAGGTCACTAGGGCAGAGAGATATCTGGGCGGCAAAACAGCAATGTTGATCTTGTACTTCTCCACCATTTTCAGGAAATACTCTGGCGTGAAGAGCTTGTTGCTTATGATACGAGTGCAGCCGGAGAGCGTGTTGAACATGAAGGTCACCAGGCCAGTCAGCCAGTCCAGGCAGCTGGGCGTAAAGATGGACATTTCATTGGTGGCCATCCTGGCAAGGAACAGATTATATAATTATTACAGAGATTCATCAGGCGAATAAAAGATGTAAAACTCACATTGTGTCACCTAAAAGGTAGTTGTTAGAGATACACACAGCCTTTGGCAAGCCTGTTGTTCCCGAGGAGCACAGAATCGCCACAGTTTGGTCACCACCTTCCTTCAGGGGTTCAGGTCTAGGAGCATTTTGGTTTATTTTTAAAGTTTAGGTAACCATTTTAAACTTACTGGTAAGCACACTCAGCGGAGGTGGGATCGAGGAGGGTTTCGATGCTGGGAATTCCTGAAATGTGGTCAGTTAAGGTAAAAATATCTGGGTTCCATTCCACGGTAGCTGCCTGAATTTTCCGGATGTCAACTCCATCGCAGAATATCACAGATGGTTTGGTAATGGAAAACACATGGGTAGTGGTGGCTACAAAGGAGATTCTATGGTTAAAAAGAAATTTCTTGCCATAAATCCCGATACCAACCTTCGTCTAGCAAAGTGCTTATAGAGTGAAAGGGTGTTGCATTCAGAAAGCAAGCCACTCCCAGAGGCATTGCGTAGGTGGAGTTTTGAATAGAGATGCCTATGACATCCTTGTGACCAAGTCCTCGCTTCTTGAAGAACTGGGCTATCCTGACGGCCCAAGTGAGGGCTTGCTCAAAGGTGGTCTCTACTCCATCTGCTTCGTTTATCTGTTTCGGAGAGTTTACCTTTTAAGACCTATATTCATATAGAAATATCAGAGATCGCCTCACCTGACACACATTCTTGGGCCAAGTCCTCATGGTATTAAATATTATTTTACCCACGGAGGTATTATGGTTGTAGGTGTAGGTCCTCGTTGCCCCACTCCAGATCCTCTCCTGCTCATCAAATGTGGCTATTGGTAGGGCCATGTTTTTGTAATGCTTCACAAAGTCCGCTTCGAACGACAAACTGTAGACGACTGCCACAATCCGATCAAGAAAGTGGTATTTATAGTGAGCCAGAAAGAATACAACATCGCAAAATAGGAATAGCTAACCTCTGTACTGACTTATCAGACGAAGTCGAAAGTTCAGCAAACATCAGACTATAGACAGATTTTGGTATTGACTGCTCGATACCCTAATCAATTTGATTTCACAACTGCAGCAAGTGCGTAGAACCGAACCTAGCCTAGTGTACTATCAATTTATTGCAGATATTTACAATGAAAAAAAAGTTCAAATCATACTCGCTCAGCTTTTTGGTTGATCTTAATCAAATTCACATCATGCTTGCTCAGCAGTTTTCATATCGAATTTAAGAAATCGAAGCGGGGCCCCGCTAAGGGGTAATTAAATAATAATTTCATCATCTTTGATTAAAGTTACTTAAACTTAGTTGATTTACGTTTTGATTTATTATAATTATATAATGTTCAGATAGATAACAAGTCAAATATGTAGGTATAAATCTAAGACAACATTGCTCAAAGATAATGATTCCAAGTTATAGATATTCTAAGAGAATAACTACACTAAGTAAGGAACTATCTTATCTATAACTTCTTTTTATAGAAGTTCCACATTCGAATAAAGAACAGACAGATATCAAATCATTTAAAAACAATTGTTTATTTAAAGCCTTATCAATAAACGGATTATATTGCCCTTGATTGTGCTCGCAGCACCTTGACTTATCTACAAATTATAATCTAATCACTAATAAGAACTTTCATTCATAAAAAAATACTCTTGTGAGAAATTGTAATTAACATTTGATAAGAAAATAATAGAATTCTAATTTGAAAGCCCCCTTTTGGCAGCAAATTCATCGCGTGCTGCCTTGCGTAAGGTCTTTCCATTGGCATTACTGGGCAGTTTCTCGGTGAACTGGACTCCAGCATGGAGCTGCTTCTCCTTGGCAGTCGAGTGCCTGGCCACATAGTCCACAATATCTTGACCACTGACTTCGCTTCCAGGACTCTTGACCACCAAGGCACCAGCCTCATCCCCAACCCTTTCATCGTAGATGCCAACCACGCAAACATTCTGCACGTCAGGCAGCTGAGATATAATGCTCTCGATCTCAGTGGGCCAGTAGGTGACCCCACCATACCTAAGAGTTTCCTTCTTACGATCCACCATATACAGAAAATTGCATTTATCAAAGTAGCACAGATCTCCGGTGTGGTACCAGCCCTCAGAGTCTTGCAGGTTCCGAGTTTCCTTAGGATTTGCATAGTAACCATTCCAAACCCGATTCGTGTGAACATACAGCTCACCCACTTGGTTGTATGTCAGGTTTTTTCCCTCCTCATCCACGATGCGCATCTGGACACCTGGAACTGGTCTGCCCACCGATGATAGATTGTTGATCCCAGCGTTGGCCGTTACGATTCCCATTTCGGTCATTCCATAACCAGTGCTTATGAGAGCAAACATGCATATGTCCTGGATCTTTCGGAGTGTGCCCAGGGAAACCCAGCCGCCAGTGTAATGAATGTTCATAATGGAGGCCAGAGCCTCTGGCGTGGCATCCGGACAACTGGCCAAGGCGGACAGGTGTATAGGTGGCAGAACGGCAACGTTGATCTTGTACTTTTTTACCAGCTGCACAAAGTACTCCGGGGTGAAGGGCTTGCTGGTTAGGATTCTCGTGCAACCCGCAACGGTGTTGAACATGAACGTCACCAGTCCAGTAAACCAGTCCAGGCAACTGGGCGTGAAGATGACGAACTCACTACTAGCCACCCTGGGGGAAGAAATTTCCAAGTTAACCTTTGGATCTTTGGGCTTAATAATCTCCAACTTACATGCTGTCGTTGTAAAGAATACTATTGGAGATGCACACGGCTTTTGGCAAGCCAGTAGTTCCTGAAGAGCACAGAATTACCACTGTTTGGTCTCCACCTTCCTTTAGTGGTTCGGGTCTAAACGTATATGGGGTTTACAATCAAGCTGGACCATCAATATATACTTACTGGTAAGTTCTCTCAGTGGAGGTGGGATCCAAAAGAGATTCAATGCTCGGCACTCCATAAACGTGGTCGGTGAGGGTATAGATCTCAGGGCTCCAGCCAATGGTAGCTGCTTTTATTTTCTTAATGTCGCATCCATCGCAGAATATCATAGATGGTTTGGTGATGGAAAACACATGGGTAGTGGTGGCTGCAAAATATATTTAATTATTAACTTAAAGTTAAACTTTAACCCTTAAACCCAACCTTCATCTAACAAGGTGTTTATGGAGTGAAAGGGTGTTGCATTCAGAAAGCAAGCCACTCCCAATGGCATTGCATAAGTAGAGTTCTTTATGGCAATGCCAATGACATCCTTGTGTCCAAGACCACGCTTCTTGAAGAACTGGGCTATCCTAATGGCCCAAATAAGGGCTTGATCAAAGGTCACAGTCATGCCATCAATGTCGTTTATCTAAAAGTTTAAGGGAAAATCTTTAAAAAAAGACAACCTATTGAGCTACATTAAGATTTTATTTAACCTGACAAATGTTCTTGGGCCAGGTTTTCATGGTGTTAAATATTATTTTGCCCATGGAGGTGTCATGGTGATAAGTTGAATTCCTCGGAGATCCCCTCCAGACTCTAACCAGCTCACTAAATGTCACTGATGCTGGTTCCATTGTTTGTTTGCTCTTTGCTCTGTCAATCACAGCCACTAGACTACTGAACCACTTGGCACTATAAAGTTTAATTTATAGTCGTTGGCTCGAAAGCAGAACAAGAAGGTTAACTGGCCTTTGCGGGGTGGTGGTTACTTCTGTACTCACTATCATTCGCAGTCCAAAGTTCAGCGGACCAGGTTATTACCATTTTCGGGCATTGACTCTTGGACCCTCTTTTTGGGGCTTCAGTTTATTTCAATTATAAATAAATGGGAAAGAGAATTTAATTTTATTAAATTATTTAAAAAAACATCTTCTTGTTAAAAATATATTTATCCAAAATACCTTTTGTTTGCAAAGGAATAAGAAAAAAACTAGAGTCATGCTTGGTTAGCTTTTGGAGTAAGTCTTATCAAACTCATGATGGTTCAGCGATTTTTCGTATCTAATCAAACTTTGAGATGGAAAGCAAAGTGGGTAGGTAATGTGGTAGGCTAGATACACATAAGGCCCACTGTACATTGTATTAGCATAGAGTCAGGATAAAGCCCATTGTATTGAAGAGGCATACAAGATAAAAGCCCCGTTAGAATTAAGTATAACACTGTCATCTCTGTCTATCTCATACATTAGCATTAAGGGATAAATACGTATGTATACCTATCTCGCTTACGCATCGGAAGGTATAAGTAGAGGAAAAGAAGCGACGCCGAGGCATTCGGTGGCGTGCGTTAATTGAGAGAAGTCGAAAGTGTGTTAAAATAATAAAGATCATATTATACCGGATTCATTTTGGCGTTTACAGTAATTATCCATTTAATCACAAAATACTGAAGCTCTCCTAATTTAGTAACAATATATAGTTAAGTCGGCCTTACTTAGCCTCTGCCTTCTTCTTAAGAAATTCCTCGCGTGCTGCAATCCGTATCTTCTTGCCATTGACATTCACTGGCAGTTTTTCCGTAAACTGAACTCCCAGCCGCAGCTGCTTCTGCACGGCGGATATCCGCTTGGCCACATGATCCACTATCTCCTTCTCTGAAATAAATGATCCTTCATTCACCACCACCAAGGCACCGGCTTCATCACCCGCCCGCTCATTATAGACACCCACAACACACACATCCTGAACCTGGAGCAGCTCCATAATAACATCCTCGATCTCGCCGGGTGTGTACTGGAGTCCCTGATACTTGAGGGCCTCTCTTATACGGTCAACCAAGTAGAGATTGTTTTCCTCATTGAAGTAGCCTAGGTCGCCGGTGTGGAACCAGCCCTCGGCGTCTTGGATGCGATGCGTCTCCTCGGGGTTGCCATAATATCCTTTCCAAGGTCGACCCGTGTATGCAAGGATCTCCCCGACCTCATTAAAAGTCAGATTTTTTCCATCTTCGTTCACGATGCGTACCTTTGTACCCGGTGCAGGACTGCCCGCCGAGGAGATATTCTTGTTAGTCAGATTAAAAGTTATGGGTCCCGATTCCGACATAACATAGCCGGTATCAATCCGGACGTGCTTGTAGCGCTCTTGGGTTCTCTGCAAAGTGGCCAGAGAAATGGAACCTCCACCATAGTTCAAGCTTTTAAGGGAGGCCAGGGCCTCCGGCGTTGCCTCGGGACAGTTGATAAGTGTGGAGAAGCGACATGGTGCCAGTATGCAATCGGTGATCCAATACTTCCTTACCAACCAGTTTATTATAGGCGCGTGTAAAATATAACCATTAAAGATTAAAATTTACACCATTTCTGTGAGTGAAACTGAATGCTAACGATAATGGAACAATGAAATATTGACTACTTTTTTCTTGATAAATTTGGCTTTGATAAATATACTTTTTAAATGCCTAGAATACATTGCCGCAAAAATGTAGTATCATATTTTAAAATTGTTTGTTCACGCCAGTTAATTTCTGGAGGCAGTGTGATCCTGCTACCAGCCTCCAATGATCCCGTAAGCGCTCTCTTTCTCTCCCTCTCCCTCCGGACTTCCAGTCCATAGAGCTTCTAATCCGCTCTCCCTAGCTTTAGTTTCTTTTGTATTGTTTAGTACCAATTTACCTTCTACAATAAACATATCGACGCACGTCGCGTAAAACCCCGAAAAGTCTACGTGTTTTTCTTATCGAGTGCATTTCAGCTTAAAGCCGGCCCCCTGCAAACATTGTTCAATATTAAAACTTTTTGATTATCGTAATTTGTTAAGACATACTTTTAGGCGATAGAAATAATCGATTTTTTTGTTTGTTTTTCGGTTTATTGGTTCGGTTCTTCACAAAATTAACACATTTTTAGGAGCCACTCAAACGATCTCAATAATATCATAAGAAATAAATAATTAACTAAAATCCTTGTGTTTGAGTAATTATCGCAAATATTTATTTTTCCTTTTTGGCCAAAAACTCCTCCCGCGCCACCCTTCTTAATGTCTTTCCATTCTGATTGGCTGGCAACTTGTCCGTGAACTGGACACCGGCATGGAGTTGCTTCTGAACAGCCGGCAATCTCCTGGCCACATGATCCGCAATCTCCTGCGCCGTGATCGAGGTTCCCTGCCTCTTGACCACCAGAGCACCAGCGGCATCTCCCTGCTGCTCATCGTAGATGCTCACCACACAGACTTCCTCCACCTGGGGCAGCTCGTATATGACGCCCTCGATTTCGGAGGGCCAATAGTGGTTGCCCTGGTACTTGCAGATCTCCTTCTTGCGATCCACCACAAAGAGTTGATTTTGTTCGTCAAAGTAGCCCAGGTCGCCGGTGTGGAACCAGCCCTGATAGTCCTGCATGCGCCGCGACTCCAGGGGATTGCCAAAGTAACCATTCCAGGGCAGACCATTGTGCACATAGATCTCCCCCGTCTCGTTGTATCCCAGGTACTTGCCATCCTCATCCACAATCCGTATCTTCACACCCGCCAGTGGCTTGCCGGCAGTGTTGGCATTACCCAGTCCCATATTGAAGGTCACGCCACCCACCTCCGTCATTCCATAGCCAGAGGTGAGCATGGCACCTGGACAGAGTTCCTGTACCTTTTTCAGTGTGGTCATGGAGGTAAAGCCGCCGCCATAGGTTATGTGTCGAATAGAGACCAAGGCTTCCTTTGAGGCTCCAGGATAATTGATCAAAGCAGACAAGTGGCGGGGAGGCAGAATGACGCTGTTGATCTTGTACTTCTCCACGAGCTCCACAAAGTAAGCCGGCGAATAGGGCTTGTTGGTTATGATGCGGGTGCAGCCGATCACTGTTCCAAACAAAAGAGAGGACAGTCCACTGTACCAGTCAAGACCACTGGCTGAAAATACCACCAATTCGCTGTTCATCATGCTGTGAAGGTAAAATATTTGGTATATAGTTCAAAAACCTTTGAAATAAATTATAAACTCACAAGTAATTTACATGCAAAACCGCATTGGAAATGCAGACAGCTTTTGGCAGGCCAGTAGTTCCCGAGGAGCACAGAATGGCCATTGTCTGCTCGCCTCCATATTTTAAAGGTTCTGGCCTGAAAGAAGCTGGAGTTGTTACTAACAGTTTAAGACTGAAGATTATTTTCTTACTGGTAAAATAATTCAGTGGGTGTGGGCTCCAGAAGACTTTCTATGTGTGGGACCCCCTGAATAGGATCTGTGACTGTATAAATCTCTGCTTCCCATTCTTTAGTGGCGGCTCGCACCTTCTCGTATTCCTGTCCATCGCAGAATATAATTCTTGGCTTGGTTATGGAAAAAACGTGGGTCATGGTGGCTAAAGAAAAATTATAATAAATTGTAAGAAGTCTGCAAATAACCTTTGATCGTATAAATACCAACCTTCATCCATTACCGGATTGATGGCATGAAAGGGTGTCCCATTTAAAAAACAGGCCACTCCGAGGGGCATCACATAGGTGGAGTTCCTGACTGACAGGCCTATAATATCCGGATATTTTAGACCCTTCTTCTTGAATAACTGAGCTATGCGAATGGCCCATGTGATGGCCTGATCAAAGGTGACTGCCACGCCATCCGTATCGTTTATCTGTTTTCAGGTTTGGTTATCTCTGATTCTCAATTTATGTTTTTTTCTTTGTGTTTAACTTACCTGGCAGACATTCTTTGGCCAATTCCTCATGTTGTTGCATATTACCTTGCCTATTGACGTCTCATCGGTGTACATATTATCCCGTTTGGGACCAATCCAGACCCGTTCGCTTGCATCGTAAGTAGTTGGTAGTGCGCCCATCTCTTGGTCTCTAAAGAAAAAGCTATAATGCCGTTCTTGGTCAGGGGGAACCGTTTTTATAGCGAAAAAGAGGCACAAAAAAAATAGCAAGTAATGAATGACCTGCATCAATTGGGATACACCTGATTCTTGATTGTGACGTGTAGTGATAACCTGGAAATACACACATAATACTTATTAAGCAGCCCTGCCTATCTTATCAGAAGCATTTACTTAAGTAAAAAACTATGAACCCTGATCACAAACATCGCACGATTTGTGGGTAAGATTTGTTAAGATAAAGCCTTGGTCTCTTTAAGAAATGCTTAATAAATGCCAAGTTAATGGGATTTTCTGAGAGGTCTTAGGAGATAAGTCCCCCATTGATTAAATTCTAGAAAATCCCTGATTGTTTGTTTCTATGAGGAGTAACACCATAAAAAGCCACTTAATTAATTAGCAACTTATTCGAGGATAATGAATATTTGAACTCCTAAGACATACTTTTAGGCGCCTGAAATTTAGGTTCGGAAACAACCAGCAAATTGCTGGTAAGGAAATTAATTCTAGTTTTAGGAGTTAATTCAAAATGAACACTTTGATAGCCATATCTAAAAAAAAATTGCTTTATAATCAAAAGCACTTATTGGTACACCTTTAGTAAACCCATTTCTACTTGTAATCCCAGCCTGTCACAGATATTAGGAGGCTTAGTTTTCTTGCAGTTACAATTTATTGCAAACCAAAGGTCACTTCACTATCGAGACCCTCGAGCAGAGCACTTCAACAATAATTTAAAGTGTTGCAATTATCTTCCCGCACTTATGATTAATAAAAACAAAAACTCAACTACGTTGGCTCGAACACGTTAAGATCTCACTTTCCACACGTGCCACTTTGGGCAACAAAAATGTCGCGTGCCACCTTACGCAACGTCTTGCCATTGACATTGGCGGGCAGCTTGTCGGTGAACTGGACGCCAGCTCTTAGTTGCTTCTGCACGGCAGGCAGTCGCTTAGCCACATGCTCTACAATCTCCTTGGGCGTTATGTTGGCTCCCTTGCTCTTCACCACCAAAGCTCCTGCGGCATCGCCCTCCCGCTCATCGTAGATGCCCACCACGCAGACATCCTGCACCTGTGGCAGCTCCGTGATGACGCTCTCGATCTCGGTGGGCCAGTAGTGAAGACCCTGGTACTTGAGAATCTCCTTCTTGCGATCCACAATATACAGGAAGTTCTGGTCATCGAAGTAGCCCAGGTCGCCGGTGTGGAACCAGCCCTCGAAGTCCTGCATGCGACGAGTCTCCACGGGATTGCCATAGTAGCCATTCCAGGCCTGTCCCGTGTGCACAAAGATCTCGCCCACCTGGTTGTACCCTTGGTTCTTGCCCTCCTCGTCCACAATGCGAATCTTAACGCCCGGAATGGGTCTGCCCGCTGAGGAGACGTTGCTGATGCCAATATTGATCGTGATGGCGCCCACCTCGGTCATGCCGTAACCCGAATTAAACATGGCCTTCTTGCAAAGCTCCTGCGATCGCTGCAAAGTGGCTAGGGATACGGCTCCACCGCCATAGTTGAGGTGTGTAATAGGAGCCAGGGCTTCCGGATTGGCCTCCGGACAGGTGATCAAAGCCGAGAGGTGACGGGGTGGCAGGACGGCATAGTTGATTTTGTACTTCTTCACCAAACCCACAAAGTAATCGGGAGCAAAGGGTTTGCTGCTGATGATTCTGGTGCATCCAAAAACAGTGCTGAATACAAAGGCCCACAGGCCAGTGATCCAATCCAGACAACTTCCTATAAAGATCACCGATTCGCTGTTGACCAACCTGAGAAAAGATTATCTAATATTAAGAAATAATCGTTGAAAACTAAGAGTATAAACTCACATGCTGTCCTGAATGAGAATGCTGTTGGAAATGCACACGGCCTTGGGCAAGCCAGTAGTTCCCGAAGAGCACAAGATGGCCACGGTCTGGTCGCCTCCCTCCTTCAGAGGTTCCGGTCTGGATTAGGTTAAGGTTTTCCTCATTAGCTAACCCATTAGTGAGAGTTTTCTGGAACTTACTGATACATCCTTTCGGTGGCTGTGGGGTCCAGCAAGGTCTCAATGCTCTGAACTCCCTCAACATGATCGGTGAGGGTGTAGATCTCCGGATGCCAACCAACAGTGGCCTTGTGAACCTTGTCATACTCATGACCATCGCAGAAGATCAGAGAGGGCTTTGTGATGGCAAAGACATGGGTCAAGGTTCCTGAGTTTGAAAAGTATAGTAAAATTTATAATTTCTTTAAAATATTTTAATTTTACAAACCCTCATCCAGCATGGGGTTAACTGCATGAAAGGGTGTTCCGTTCATCAGGCAAGCAACTCCCAGAGGCATCACATAGGTAGAGTTCTTGGCTGCAATACCTATTATATCCTTATGATTGAGTCCTCGCTTCTTCAGATACTGGGCTATACGAATGGCCCAGGTGAGTCCCTGCTCAAAGGTAACCGAGACGCCATCGAGGTCGCAAATCTGGAGGTATGATTTGAGATCATATATCTACTAGCAATGGAAGTCCTTCTTCGCTCCGACTAACCTGACACACGTTCTTGGGCCAGTTCTTCATGTTGTTGAATATAATCTTACCCACGGAGGAGTCATAGTTGAATATAGAATTGCGCTTGGCTCCGCTCCAGACATTATCCTTTTCATTGTAACTAACTGGTATCATGGCCATGATTCGGATTCCTTATAGAACTTCAACGCGCCTTTACAAACTGCAGTCGACTCTGGTGATCGCGGGTAGTTGCAGTTCCCTTTATATAGAGGAAGAGCTCTGGAAATCCCGTCTCGATGGGCACCTTGAGTGGATCCATGGTAAGTGGCTAACACCTGTAACATCTTATCTGTGCCTGCAGGAGATAGTGCACAACGTTGTTGTTTGGCCTAGGCCATGACTATTTTATACCCTGGCTTAAAGTTTCAAGTACCTTACGATTTAAGTTTATGTGGGGCATAATCCATCTAGTTTCTTCTTTATTACAAAAGTAACTACGTAATTTAGTGCTAAACTGCAATCTTTGTTTATCAATAAAGTCATCGGAAACCAATAAACAATCTTTACAGGGTGTATGTGGGTATGGATGATCCTAAATATGCAGACAGTTGATAGTATTTCCTTTATCTAATCTGTTTCCCATTGAATGCTAAATCGAAACAAAAGAAAATCCCATTAAGTGCCGTTATAAATAAAAAGGAAATACTGATCCACGCAAAACACCTGACTAACTATGAATCAAATCACGAGAACTATGCAATCACCCAGGAAGTTGCACCGATCATTGCCCATTTATATAGCTGATGAGATTTGGTGGCTATTAATGAAGGTTTATATGCTTTATAAGCCCTACATAACACAGTATTAGGAGCAAGGTTTACAAGTAGAAAAAATGTGATTTAAACGTGCTATCGCTAAGATAAAATTCCTTATTAATTTGCTACTGTTTTATGTGGTATAGAAACTTGTATAGGTGTTACAGGAAGAACTTGCAGTGAAATAGAGTTTCATTTTCATTTAAAGAAGGGCTTAAAATAAAATATGATTAACTAAACTTATTCAGTTTTAAATTAAATCGAATTTCTATCAAAGTCCACTTTTTCAATATCTGCTTAGGACTTACCCATCTTTAAACATATTTTTAATGCATCAACTATAGATTTTACCAACTTTAACTCCACATTAAAATATCGCTTCTTCCTTAGTCATGAATATAAATAAAAAATAAAATTTATTTAATTTATTTCACATTTCAATTATAACGGTAATTGCCTGCTTTCCCAAATCCCCATATTTCCATCAGTCTGGCAACTCTCGTGAACCAGCTGACTTGGCCATGTGTCAGCTGTTCGAGCCTGCAGCCCTGGCCGCGAAAATTTCACGGCCAACAATCAAAATTGGCGGAAGAAACGCGGAAGCGTATCTCTAGTTTTATGTAATGTTTAGTTGACGAGGAACGACATCTCCGATAGAAGCACTAGTTGTCCAGCTCCGCGATGTTTCACTACCACCTGAGGCTCGTCGTCCACTGCTCGCGGCAGAAACCGCTGCTGCTATGGGCACCTGTGTGCCACATGAGCGGCCTCACCCCGCTGAAGGAATACCAGGCGCGCGTCAGTTCCGGCCAGCTGATGACCGATGACAGGCAGTTCCAGACCATGAAGGAACTGGATGCCCTGTACCACAAGATCCAGAAGTACAGACCGGATGGCTACAGGACGAGCGGCGGTGGAGGCGGCGGCGGCTTCTTCAGTCGACTCTTCGGAAGGCAAGCCACCGAGGAGGAGGATGATAATGATCCCAACGCGGGCAGTCATGCCCCACAGGGACTCTACCTCTACGGCAGCGTGGGTGTGGGCAAGACAACACTGATGGACCTGTTCTTCGACTGCTGCACTCAGGTGAATATTTATGGAATTCCATGAAGCAGCTCAATATAAACCGAAATTTGTCTGCTAGATCGACCGCAAGCAGCGCGTTCACTTCACCGCCTTTATGAACAACGTCCACACCCGCATCCACGAGGTTAAGCAGAGCCAGGGCCCTGTCAGTCGTGCCTTCAACTCGGAGAAACCCGAGCCGTTCGATCCCACAAGGCCGGTGGCCGATATGATTGCCCGCGAATCCTGGCTGATCTGCTTCGACGAGTTCCAGGTGACGGACATAGCCGACGCCATGGTGCTGAAGCGCCTGTTCACGCACCTTTTCCGTCACGGCATTGTTGTAGTGGCCACCAGTAATCGGCATCCCGAGGATCTGTACAAGAATGGCCTGCAAAGGACCAACTTCCTGCCCTTCATCGCTCTGCTCCAGAAACGCTGCAAGGCTTCCAAGCTGGATTCGATTGACTACCGGCGGATAGCCCAATCCGGCGACACTAACTACTTTGTCAAGGGTCAGACGGATGCTGAGGGGAGCATGAACCGCATGTTTAAGATCCTGTGCGCCGAGGAGAACGACATCATCAGGCCGCGAACCATCACACACTTTGGCAGAAATCTAACGTTCAGTCGCACCTGTGGTCAGGTGCTGGACAGCACCTTTGCGGAGCTCTGTGATCGCGTAAGTAAATTGGTTATTAGGTTATTAGGTAACCAAAGGAAATTGCCTAATGTGTTCCCTCTCTTTAGCCCCTGGCTGGCAGCGATTACCTGCAAATAGGACAATTTTTCCACACTGTTCTCATCAGAGATGTGCCCCAGCTCACCCTGGATCTGAAGTCCCAAATGCGACGCTTTATAACCCTGATAGACACGCTATACAATAACCGTGTACGCGTGGTTATATCAGCGGAGGTGCCGCTGGAGAAACTGTTTAGCTTTTCAAGTGGTTCTGGCGCCCTTTCCGACTCGGATAGGGCGCTTATGGATGACTTGAAACTGGATCATGGGGTGAGGACTGCCTTATACTAGCTTTTTTTCTACTTTCTAAGCTAATTTTTTTATGTTTTTAGTCTGGATCCAAGTCAAGCTTCTTCACCGGCGAGGAGGAGCTCTTCGCCTTCGATCGCACAGTCTCGCGTTTGTACGAGATGCAGAAGCGGGAATACTGGGAGCAGTGGGCCAAGCAACGATAAAACCCCTATATCATCACCAAGCAATAGTAGTTCAATTAGCGCATATAAATTAATTAGTCTACCTCGGTGCCGTGGAGTTTTTAAATCGAAATTTCTTGTTACTTAATGACTTACATTATAGGTGCTTTTTCGCGAGTATTAGAGCAATAAACAAGGTTAGCTAAGCCTTTGTAATTATTTAAATATTTACTTTATTTACAAATGCAATTTAAATAAAGCAATAAACAAAGTTAGCAATGCTTTTCTTATTATTTAAATATTTACTTTAGAAAAATCAACTCACAACGAGTCACAAGTTTGAGTCACTGCAGTGAACTGATCACAGTTTCGTTAGTCACTAAAATTATCAGTTAATCGCGCCATCTGGCAACGCTCGCGGATTGATAAGATTTATGTTTTCGGTTGAGGTTGGGTTTGATGAAGATTAGAAGGTCAAGATCGTTTAGTTAGAGTATCTTTTGGGTGGACAACAAGCACAGCAGAATGGAGCATCAAGGAATGGAAGTAAACAAGACCCTGCCATATGGTGAGACCTCGTAAATACAAGGAATAATTATATTTCACGGATATTTTTCCCTATTTCTCAACATCCGCAGACCCCTCGCTGCTGGTGGTCAACATCTCGCTACGTCAGATCGAGGAGATCGCCATGACCGTCTCCCAGCGCTGCCATGTGACCGGTGTCAATGAGGTTGCCTGGGCTTTGCGTGCTCTCATGCTCACCGATCTCACCACCCTGGCTGGCGATGATACTGCGGCCAATGTGCGTCGCCTGTGCCTACGTGCCTGCTATCCCTTCGAGCCGCAGCTGTTCGACAAGTACTTTGATCGCTCCCTCATCCCGGAAATGCACACGGCCGCCGTTTGCGTTTATCCCGCCCGGGTCAAGGATGCCTATCAGACGCTGCAGCAGTACGATATGCTGGACAGGGTGGCTATAGCCGCAGTGGCCACAGGCTTTCCCACCGGACAGTATGGTCTACAGACGCGTCTGCAGGAGATTAGCCATGCCATTCTGGCTGGAGCCACAGAAATTGATATAGTGATCAACCGACAGTTGGCTCTCGTGGGAGACTGGGAGGCTTTGTACAACGAGGTGGTTCTCATGCGCAGCGCCTGCGGGCAGAAGGCGCATCTGAAGACCATTCTGGCCATTGGAGAACTGGGCACCATGGAGAATGTAAGATATGGAGAACCTAATCCCTCTAAAAAAAGCTATAACCCCTTCTTCTTTAAAGGTCTATAAGGCCGCCATGGTATGCATGCTGGCTGGAGCGGATTTCATCAAGACTTCCACTGGCAAGGAGACCGTTAATGCCACCCTGCCCGTTGGCCTGGTCATGATCTTTGCCATTCAGGAGTTCAAGCGACGTACCTGCCAGATTGTTGGCCTTAAGCCGGCCGGCGGAGTGAGAACAGTTCGCGATGCCATTGCCTGGATGACCTTGGTCAATGAGACCCTTGGCATTTACTGGCTACGCCCCGAGAGATTCCGCTTTGGAGCCTCTGGCCTGCTGGACGATATTGAGCGCGTGGTGCGCGAAGGTGTGGCCAAGCTGGAGGCAGAGGAGCAGGCCAAGAATATACAACCTCCAGAGGACACTGCTGGCGCCGAGGAGTTCTGCAAGGAGCTGCGCAAGAAAAAGGAGGCAAAGTGAGCCTTAGCCATCACTCACGCAGAGTGTACCATATATTGTAGCATTTTTTTACAACTGACTAAAACCTATAAACAAAACGAATCAAAAACTAGCTTTTATAGGCGATGCTCCTTCACCTGGGCAGGAGCCTTGTAGTTGTAAGACAGCTGCGCAGGAGCCGCCATTAGATCCTCCTCAGCCTGCTCTTCGCCATGCTGCAGAAGCTCGGCGGAGGGTGCTCCTGCCTCCCTGTGGGGCTGATTATCCGGCACCTTCACCTGCATGTCCACGGCAAAGAAGGAGTCATCAAAGTTGATGCGATTGCGCTCATCCTGCTCCAGATACATGGCCTTGGGCGCCTTGGCTCCACCCATGGCCTTCTCGTAGGTGTTGAGCCACTTGAGATTGAGATTGATGTGCTTGGTGGCCGCATTGAACTTCTTTGGCTTCTTCTTTGGCTTGTCCGCATAGTAGTTGTGCTCCAGCTTCTGCGGCGGCGGATTAATCTTCTCCAGCCTTCTGCTTTTCTCATCCAACTTGGGTTCCACATAGTCGTACAGTGGCAGGTAAAAGTTGTAAGGCTGCTCAGTGGGTGGCAGCAAGCGCTGCTGGGGCTGCACTTGGTGCTCCTCCACCTGGCTACTGGCCTCCGCCATGGAATCTTCCTCCAAGGCGGGACCAAAGATTTCACCAGCACGTTGCAGCAAATGCTCCAAACGCTCAAGGCTGATGATGTGCGGATGTATGAGCTGGACATCGTCATGGAACTGGGCACGCCGAGCTGCCGGCGGCTTGGCGGCCACACTGCAGCAAAAGGCGCAGAGTAGCAGCTGCAAGGATGCGAGAATTATAATTCCAATTATCTGTGCTTCCGACATAGATTTCCGAGACTCACAACTAGGAGACCACTCATTATGCTTGTTTTCTGTGTTTTTTTTTTGTAGGGTAATAAATCACTTTCCGCTGGACATAGATGCTTTTGGATGGGACCACCTTCACTTTCAGAGATCTCACACGGAGTGAGGCCTCCTTGGAGCTGGCCTAAACATTTATAGTGGCGCTTCGAGTACTCCAAACGGAAGCTCGGAAGTCTCAAACCAGCCAGCCAGCCCAGGAGAAAACGAGTTTCCCACACGAAGAAAATAAATATGTAACGAGACAAACTAGACGAACTGCACATATATGCACACGCCAGAGCGCATAATAATGTTAATGTAACAGCAATAGCTCGATGGCGGTGGAGTTGAACAAACTGGAACTGCCTGCCAGCGACAACGACGAACCGTTTGTCACTCATAATGAGTCCGAGTCCGAGTTCGAGTCCAAGAGCCTGGCCAATTTAGAGGCGGCGGCGCGGTGTGCAAGTGCATTGACCCAGAGTACAATTATTTCCGCCGCCCAATGTGTGAACCCGTTTCGATTGTTTCAAACTCCATTGCCTGCCTGTAAAAGTGCAAGTTCAAAGCGGCAGGAAATGCTAAATCACAAAAGTGTAACGGCCACAACTTGTTCGTTGACTTGGGCGATGACTCTCCCTCCCCCACCAAAGAAAATCATAGTTCAACTTACATACATCTCTCTCTCTCTGTGGGTTTATTCAACAAATCGGAATCCCCGCCTCACGACTGCTGCAGTTCGGGCAATCCCTTGATAATAATATCCAGCGCCTTGGTATCCTTCTTGACCGTTTCGTTTAGCACCTCCATGGCGCTCTGCTGCATGGCCAGAAAGTGATTCCATTCATCCTCCGCCTCCTTGCCTATGGCATACTCTGCCCCACCATTGCCTGCAAATTGATTCTGTTGCATACGCATCTGGGAGAGCAGCTCGCTAAGGCGGCCCTTGAATTGAGTGGGTGCAGAGACCACGGCCTGCATGTTCTGGAGCTTGGTGCGCATGGCCTCCTCCTCCGGGGTAAGCGAAGTGCCTACCTTGCGGCTGCATTCCTGCTTAACAATTATCTGAAAATTAAGGAGACTAATTAGTAAAATATAACAATTTATAGGGATTTTATTCTTACTCTTAGTATCCTGTGACCCAGCTCGGCCAGCTTTCGCTTGTGCTCTAGTATCGTTGCTGTGGCTGTGGAGTGTCTTGCCCTCAGTTCCGTCAGCTCCGACTCCACTTTCTTCATGTACAAAGCATGGGTATCCGTTTCATGTTCCTGGCATTTCACGCGCCACTTTAAGTCATTGAAACCTATCATGGGCACGGGTATAAACTGGCGGGCATCGGGATTGTCAAAGTTCGCCTGACGCCACATGCGCGGATCCACGCCGCGTGGCGGATTCTCCAAATACTCTTTCATCTGATCTTCATCGGGCAAAACCAAGGCCAAGGCTTCCACTATACCCAGATTATTGAGTTGTGTCTTCAGCGAGGCCTGATTGAGGTAGTTGCTCAGCTCGGTGGCCAGTATGCGCTTGCTCTCATTGGGTGCATGCTGCAACTTCTCCTCCAGATAGATGACCATCTGGCACTTCTTATTGTCCACCTCCTTGATGGAATCAATGTGGACGAGCATATTGGGCTTGCTGCCAAACAGGCTGTGGAGCGTCTGTATAACCTGTTGCTGGTGGGGTCTGGAAATAGTATTAAAGAATTAATAGGATAAAGACATAGTCTATGTGCATCTCCTACTTGATGGCTGAGAGCTCTCTATCAAATTTCAGGGCCACCAGACCCAGCTTGTTGTCCTTGCCCGGCATCCGACTGTAGCCAATGGCCTTAAACCGGCACAGATAGTTCTCCGGAGTGATATCCACAGGAGCCGCACTCTGCGAGTAAAAGAGCTTGCCAGTGCCCCACATGGCCTGCAGATAGTTCCATTTCGCAATGATATTATCCCGTTCGTCGCCAAAAATTGACACATTGAGTATGGCCTGGGCAAAGGCCTCGTCGGCGGAAATGGGAGCCGGCTGCTGCTGTGGCTGACCCAGCATAAAGCTGGTCCCACCGAATCCTCCAAAGCCCGGCGTCACTGTCGTACTCGCTGGCTTCCCAAAGGCTGCAAAAAAAAAAAACATGAACCAGGTTAGGAAAACCAGGACAATGGGTAATTGGTTAATTTGCGACTCACTGGATCCGAAAACGCTGCCGCCAAAACCAGTGGACGGTTGGCTGGTGGCTGTGCCAAAGCCACCGAAAGCTGGCGCCGAGGTTGTAGTGGCCCCAAAGCCTGCAAATCCACTTGCGGGCGCCACACTCGTTGCTGCCGGCTGACCGAAACCACTGAAAGCCGGTGGCGCAGCACTGGTCGCCGGAGCACCGAACAAACTTGTTGTTGGCGCTGTGCCAAAGCCACTGAAACCACTGCCTCCGAGTCCCGTGGTTGCCGCTGTTGTGGTGGCAGTCCCAAAGGCCGGAGCACTGCCAAAGGCCGAGGCGGTGGCTCCAAAAGCCGGAGCAGCTGCTGCAGTTCCAAAAGCAGGAGCGGCGGTTGAAGCACCGAAAGCGGGAGCAGCACTGGTGGCTGCTCCAAAGGCCGTACCGCCGCCAAAGGCCGGTGTCGATGTCTGGGTGCCGAATGCAGGCGCCGCTGTGGCCGGAGTTCCGAATGCGGGCGCTGGTTGACCGGTGGCTGCTGCCCCGAAAGAGGAGCCAAAGAGACCGCCAGCTGTAGAGCCGAGGAGATAAGGAAAGAAACAAAAAGGGGGTCAGTGATTGGGTAACTCAGCTTCCGCCTGGGATCTTATCTGTGATTGCGACTTAGGCTGGCCTTAGTTTGCTGCGGACACTGAGCGGGTAATGGCTGTGCTTCTGATTCTCTTGTTTCTGGTGCTGGGCTTCGCCGGCTACGTAGCCTACGTGATCCGCCAAAAGGGGTGAGCTTCTGTCGCTTCAGCTTCTCCTTAACACTCATATCCATCTCCTGCAGCATCGATCCCAAGGACATTCGCCTCCACAGCCTGCAGGACGCCAAGAAGCTGCTGCAACCTCCTCTCGGTGGCCAGGGGCCGCACAAATACCTAGAGAAGAGGGCTTGAGGTACTCACTTTTGGCCGGCGTGCTCGTGGCTCCCAGCGATGTGTTGGCTCCGAAGAAGGACATGCCGGCGGGTTCTTGGTCTTGAATCGAAGTCGAACTGTTGGGGTCGCCTTGCCACAAGGCCTATTCACAAAATCGTGGATTTAATCAAATAAAACTAGTCTTAAGCCTAATAAACGTAAAAATTTTGGCGCTTTTTGCAAAGAGCGTGACAGTGTGGCTGTAGCTTGACAGCGAAAAAATACTGGCTTATTATCTTAACTATGTCTTGTTGGTTTTGCAGAGCGTCCCAAGGTATCTTGAGACTTTCGCGCTACGGTCACACTTACACGGAAAAATCGTGAAAATTCTACGCTACAAAAAAACTGAAAATCTCTTAAAACTACAAGTTAGCAAATAATTTGAAAAGATGTCACTTTTCGGAGCGTTGATGGGTGACTTTGACGATGATCTTGGCCTGATGAAGTAAGTAGTGACGGGAAAACATTTTGCTGGCGCTCCTTCGGAAGCCCCATTGATTTCCATACGTGTATGTGCATGAGCCCCTCTGCTGACGCCCATTTTGGGGGCGGGGAGAAGAAGGCCAGCAGTTGCAAAAAGTGGCGAAAACCAAACTCTGGCCAGGAATTGGAAAATAAAGCTAATTAAACCCAAGGAAAACAAGGCAAAGCCTGTCAAAATCTGCATCTACCATGTGCACGAGTGTGTGTGTTTGTCAGAGTGCAAGTGTGTGTGTGTGCAGCATGCGTAAAGAGAAGACGTAATAATCGATAATTTGAATTGGGTGACCGCAGGCAGCAGGGAAATGCAGTTATTTCCTGGGTTCCTGAGTTCCAAAGCAAAGCTTATCCGGAGTTGGGTTTTGTGGTCACAAAAACAAACTAGCTAGCAGGCGGGGCTTTTATCAACAAACTCCTCCGGTATGTGACCGACGATAGCTCGTTTTTGGGTTTCGTTGGTTGTACAAACTATTTTTAGGCCCACTTTTAAAAAGATTAACAATCGCAGGGGAAAAAACGTAATACCACTTCGAACCAGAGACTCAAAATGGATTACAAGTAATTGGCGGATGAGTATTAACCCACAAACTAACTCTTCTCCCGCCCGCAGCAACCACATGAATCACACTATGAACGCCATGAACATGCAGATGCGCTCGATGAACCGCCTGATGAGCTCCTTCATGCCGGACCCCTTCATGCAGGGTTCGCCCTTTGATCCGGGCTTCCAGCAGAGCGCCCTAATGGAGCGTCCACAGATGCCGGCCATGCCAGCCATGGGACTCTTTGGCATGCCCATGATGCCCAACTTTAATCGCTTGCTGAATGCCGGTGGGTAACTCAGTGCTATCCCTTACCGAAACCTCCTTTTTAACAGGGATTTATTTTAGATATTGGTGCCAATCCAGGAGCCTCATTTTGCCAGAGCACCGTGATGACCATGTCCTCGGGCCCTGATGGCCGCCCGCAGATCTACCAGGCCAGCACCAGCACCAAGACAGGACCTGGAGGCGTGCGCGAGACCCGCAAAACAGTTCAGGACTCCCGCACTGGCGTCAAAAAGATGGCCATTGGACACCACATTGGCGAGCGGGCACACATCATTGAGAAGGAGCAGGACATGCGCTCGGGCCAGCTGGAGGAGCGCCAGGAGTTTATCAATCTAGAGGAGGAAGAGGCCGAGCAGTTTGATCGCGAGTTCACCTCGCGTGCCACGCGCGGAGCCGTACAGCCGGGACATCGTGGTGGCAGTGGAATGCAGGCCATTATGCCCGCTCGTCCGGCGGCCCACTCGTCGTCCACGTTGACCATTGAACCGGTTGAGGATGATGACGAAGATGATGATTGTGTGATTCAGGAGCAGCAGCAGCCGCTGCCAATGCGCTCCGTTGCCGGCCGACACTTGCCCTCAGCGCCAGCGGCGGGTCCGCACAGCAGCAGCAGGTGAGTGTACAAAAGGATCCTCGTCCAGTTTTGGGGGGAGGGTTCCTCTTCCCGTTAAGCGTGATTGTGTAGGAGGATTTGCCGAGAAATAGAAGAAAACCCAAACTAACCCCTATCCCTCCCCCTCCTCAGCCAGAGAGACACTGTTGCTAAATTTTGAAATCGTTTTTTCTTGCAGATATAATTACTAAATCTAAAGTACATACACAGTATATATTTTACTAACTAACTGAGAAATCAGCAATATAAATTTCTGCTAATTACATTCCCAACTGCGTTCGAAATCATATATATTATTGCCCGGCACAGAGGTAGGCGGCATACACTGAGCCCAGCTCAAGTTCTTTCGTTTGTTTCGTTTTTCTTTTGCCCATCGATTCCCTCTCTTCTCTTCGCTCACCCTTCACTACAAGAACTGGGACACTGAAGCAGCTAGAATTGCCCCTCTCTTCTCTTCCCCAAAAATCCGATTGTTGTAATCTTTTTCCAAACTTTTCTTCGACTCGATTCCATACTGCGACCAACTATGACTACGAAAAGCAGCAGCATGGCAGCACCAGCAGCAACAGCAACATCTTCGCCAGCCATCTATGATCTAACCAATGGCCACAACCACAACAACAACAACAACTATGTGAGCTCGCGTCGCTCGTATCTGCGAAATGGCCATGGCCAGCATGGCCTGGCCACACCCCGTCGACCACTGCGCACCCCACCATCCTCGCCGCTGGCCACGGTGTCCAGCGGTAGTCACAGCTTTGCCGCCTCGCCAAGGTTTGTTTAGTTTGAGAGCTGAGGTTAGACTACGTTATGTTCCTGGTTTCATGGCTAAAATAAGCTTCGATCATCAATGCACTCCAAAAAACAGCTTACAAAATTCCTAACCCTTAATTTAAAGCTTAATTCGAAGGATTTGTGGTCCGATTGAAGGCTTTAGTTTGAGGCCTTAATGGAAACGATTTGCTCTTGTTTTTTTTTTTAATAACATTTAACCAAGTGTATTAACGACTTCTCGCTCTCTCTTCTCTTCTCCATCCAACATCTTGTACTTGTTGATTTATGCAGAGATTGGCGTCTATATAATTCGCGGCACTATCGCAAGTAGAGCGATGATCATGAACCAAAAATAAAATAAAAGCGAAAAAAGAAAAAAGAAAAGAATATGCTTATCCTGATAAAATATATATTATCATATGTAATCTAAAACAACGAACCAAGAACACCGGCTTACGGCGTAACCACATGCACCACACACTCTACTAACCGAAAGGCGGCGCCGCTACTCCTTCTCATCGTTTGCCACAAGAACTGCGTTACAACAACAACAGCATCTCCGAAATCTACTACGTGTAAGGCGCCCACACTCCCCACTCACACATACACACATCTATATCTATCTGTCTGCATTGAAACAAATACCCTGCCGACTGCGACGTTTAATTGGCCTTCGACGACGCTTGACAAAATTCTAACCTTGTTGTTGCTGCTGCTGCTGCTGTTGCTGCTGCGCCTAAGCTCCACTACGACTCTAATCCTACGACCTACGATCACCAGCATCTGCTTAATCATTTGACCCTCCATTATCATCATTAATCCTGCCATTAAAATTAACAATTTGCGTTTGAATTGGCCTTGTGTACGAATGATTTTCTTTGTCTATCCTTTTGATTTTTTGTGTCTGACATTTATAAACTTGAACTAATGAGTATATTTGTTCCTTGCAACAGCATACACCCACATCCCTATGCCGCACATGGCTCGGCACATTCGCGGCGCCAGCAACGCGGAATGAAGCAACATCACCAGTATGCAGAGGAGGATCCCGAGGTGGCCACCTCCAAAGCCACCAAGCGTAGCAAGAAGCACTAGTGGCGGGCACACACACACACTCAAACCCTGTTGGAAGCAAGCATTGGTCCTGTTCCAGAATTTTATTTTATAGCAAAAAAGAACCCATAAACCTTTTGGACTATTTTCCGCGAGTTGTTCCTGCGTGGTGCACTCGCCAAAAATTCGTTGCCTGGATGAGCCACGCAGGACACCATACACACACACAATACATAAACGAATGTGACTGTTCAACGCCAATCAAGACACTTTCCACAACTTGCAACTTTCTCGCAAAATCAAAAATTAAATTGAAAATGAAAATTAAAATGGGCACCCGAAATGAGACCCTAAAATAAGTTTAAATTAATTAATTCTCCAGTCTCTAGATTTTGTTTAAGCTTTATATTGTAGTGACCCGAATCGGAGGCAACTATGATTAATCCAATCCAATCCCAATTACATGTAATTCGTAAGGCTTAAGTAAATGTTGATGTGAATTTAATTAAACGGTAATTACATTACATTAGTGAATCCCGAGGTGTGTTTTATTTCCTAAACTAAGCTAATACCTCCTCCCTGACTAGTCCACCAGCTCCATTTGCGTCTCCTCCGACTCCCGCCAGTTGCGCTGCACCATCTCCACCAGCTGCTTCCAGAACACCGTCTGCCGTAGGTAGTTGGCCAGGCAGGCTAGGATGAAGGCCCAGGCCAGACCCAAATAGTAGTCCGTCTGCACCACCGGCACATTGGACAGCGGCTCGGTGCGCGTTCGATTGAGTATGCTCGGGTGGATGCTTTGCGGATCCACTGTCTTCACATTCGTGTGCCGCATAATGAAGCGGGCAAAGCTACGCTTCTCCGAGTCTGACCATGAGGGATCGTACTTGATCAGCGGCCTGCCCTGATGAAAGATCATCAGCGTGGGCAGCGAGACAATCCCAAACTCGGCATTGAAGCGTCCAAACTCATAGGCGTCCACATAGGCAATGGGCAGGGTGGGAAAGAGATGCGGCAGCAGGTTCATTACGGGCGCTACGCGAGCGCATTCCAAGCTGGAGGCCGTGCAGAAGTGGACCACAACACAGCTGCCCGGCTCGTGGCGCTTGGTGGCATTGCCCACGGGCTTCAGCAGGCCCACAATCTCCTTGGCACTGTGCATCATTAGGAGCCCGGGCTCCGCATTAGTTACGTTCTCCGGCTGCAGGCATTTGATCAGGATGGGTGGCTTCCTCACCGGCGGCAGCTGGGTCAGGTGCTGGATGTGCTCGTCGTCCGGCGCACAAGTGTGTCGCTCCTCCAGCAGGGCGAATGTCTCGAAGCTGTAATGGCACTGGCCCCGGGAGATGCCCAGCGATTCCGCCGTGCCATTCGAGTAGAGGCCAAAATAGTGGAGGGCACTCAGTAGGCCAGAGAGCTCTGCCTGGGCTCCGCCAGCGCACACGACTGTTAAGATGAAAAAAGTTAATAATGATTAAAAATTAAGGAAAAATTCTCTCACCAAACAATAACAAGTAAATTTTAAGCATTTTGTTGGGCTAAACAGCTGAGTAAATAGTAAGACCGCATTAGGGAAAGCAAAAAACACAGAAGAACCTTTTTGAACTGCTTGACGTTGATTTATTAAATCTTTATCTAACTAGATCTAAAAAAAATTGTATTTGTCGACTAATAATAAGTTATGTACAACAAAATATTTGTAATAACATTAATATTGTGTATAAATGTTAATTACTAGTCAGCTGAGTCAAGCAGTGCTGCAGTATTTCCATTGCCCCACTTTCTTGAGGGCTCTGGATATTCGCGGCCCCTCACTCCGGTCACACTGCGGAGATCAATAAGTTTACTTTTCTTCTTTTTCTTGTTTTGGCTTTTCTGTTGCTCGGATTTGCGTGCACTTCTGCTCGGGAAATTACATCATTGGACTTGGACACGTCTTGCAGGACCAGGCCCCAGTCTCGGCGAAATGACAGAGCTGCATCTGGAGCTGGAGAGCGTCCGTTTGGCAACGTTCGGGGAATGGCCCACAAACGCCCCTGTCACGGCCGAGGAGCTGGTGTCCAATGGCTTCTTCGCCACGGGCAGCTGGTTGGAGGCCGAGTGCCACTTCTGTCATGTGCGCATCGATCGCTGGGAGTACGGTGATCAGGTGGCCGAGCGACATCGTCGCTCCTCGCCCATCTGCTCTATGGTATTGGCTCCGAATCACTGCGGGAACGTGCCCAGGGAGCAGGAGAGCGATAAGGAGGGCAACAGCGTCGTCGATAGTCCGGCCCAGTGTGCCTGTCCAGACCTTTTGCTGGAGGCCAATCGCCTGGAGACCTTCAAGAACTGGCCAGTGAGTAAAGTGATGGGATTTCGTAGGATTTCGCAAGAGATGGGCTTGGAAAATAATTTTGGCAATTGAAAATGTAACTTCATTCTCGCTTCTCCATTACAGAATCCCAACATCACGCCACAGGCTTTGGCCAAAGCTGGATTTTACTACCTAAATCGCCTGGATCACGTCAAGTGCGTGTGGTGCAACGGTGTGATTGCCAAATGGGAGAAGAATGACAACGCCTTCGACGAGCATCGTCGCTTCTTTCCCAACTGCCCCCGGGTGCAGATGGGTCCCCTTATAGAGTTCGCTGCTGGCAAGAACCTCGATGAACTGGGCATCCAGCCCACCAGCTTGCCGCAGCGTCCCAAGTACGCCTGTGTGGACGCCCGAATGCGCACCTTCTCCGATTGGCCCATTGGGAATATCCAGCCGGCTGAAGCCTTGGCTCAGGCTGGTCTGTATTACCAGAAGATCGGCGACCAGGTGCGCTGCTTTCACTGCAACATTGGACTGCGCTCCTGGCAAAAGGAGGATGAGCCTTGGCACGAGCACGCCAAGTGGTCGCCAAAGTGCCAGTTTGTTCTACTGGCCAAGGGTCCAGCGTATGTGAACGAAGTGCGCGAGGCGACGGCGGCCACTGCTCGTTCTCCGCCAGCCACAGCTCCGGCTCCTTCTCTTCAAGCCGACACCCTGATGGACGAGGCGCCGGCCAAGGAGGCCCTGGCCTTGGGAATTGACGGAGGAGTGGTGCGCAATGCCGTCCAGCGCAAGCTGTCCAGTTCCGGCTGTGCCTTTGCCACACTGGACGAGCTCCTGCACGCCATCTTCGATGAGGCGGGGGCCGAGGCCGCTCTGGAGGTGCGCGAACCCCCCGAACCCAGTGCCCCGTTCATGGAGAGCTGTCAGGCCACCACCAGCAAGGCGGCGACAACGGTGCCAGTTTTAGTGGCCGATGCCATCCCGGAAGCGCCGCAGGCGGTGATAGCTTCAGTTCCGGCCACAGAGGCCTCCAATGTGGCCGATCAGCTGCAGAAGATGTCGATGGCCCCGCCAAATGGCAACCTGTCCCTGGAGGAGGAGAATCGTCAGCTGAAGGATGCCCGTCTGTGCAAGGTGTGTCTCGACGAGGAGGTGGGCGTGGTGTTCCTGCCCTGCGGGCACTTGGGTGAGTCATGGAGTGGAGTTTTCCTTGAGCTGTAACTAACCTTTGATTTCCTTTGAAAGCCACCTGCAACCAGTGCGCTCCGAGCGTGGCCAATTGTCCGATGTGCCGCGCCGATATCAAGGGATTCGTGCGCACCTTCCTCTCGTGAAGCAGCGAGGGATTTGGACATCATGCCGACATTATCAGCTAGTTGTTAAGCACACTCAGACACACACAAAAACCACACTGGCTGCAGTTCAAATAATTTGGTGATTAGCTAATGGAATACCTTTGATCGTCTACTAAGTACTTGGCCGACGGCAGCCACCTGTTTTTAAGCTAGCTTCGGGCTGCTGGGCTGCCGGATGTCGTTACTAACTATCGCCGTGTGTTTATCCGAGCGAATCCACTTGCAAAATAACTTTATACGAACCGACCTGGGCCGCACAAGCGCTCTCTCTATGGCACACAAACACACACACCTGAAAAGGGTATCAATGCTTCGGCACGACCGCAGATCACTCTTCCTTACCTACGTTCTTGTTATCGGTCTTATTAACACGTGTATATGTATGTATTTTTGTTGATAATGTTTATAAGCTGCTGATAGTATGGTCTACACACTCAACTTTGTATTGCAGCCACTCGAATGCAAATACGAGATACGAAATATATCTATATGTAAATGTTAATGCGCCCTTTTGTCTGTGAAATTTGTATTTGTATCTCTTGGCAGCTTTTCCGCTTATTTACATAAGCATTTTGTTATCTTTCTGCTGCAGGCGGGGTACATATTTTTTATTTACATAACTGCATGACGTTTTTTTTTTTAATCTATATGGAATTATTTATTGAACGTTATTTGTTGGACTATCTTTCCTTAAAAAGTATTAAATACCTCAAATATCTGTTATAAATCATCTTTCTCTGATAAGAGGCCTTTAAACTTGGCGCCTATTCATCGCTCCCCCAAACGATAGCGATATAAACTGTTATAAATTTATTTTTATTTATATGTGTTATAAAATAAATCTTAGAAGTCACAGATACAGTTATTTCCAGAGATATTCTAGATGAATATTAAAATATGCTATAATTTAAGTTGTATTTTTTAGAAGCCATTCAATTTAAAGATAAATAAAATAAAACTGGCCAGTATTCCCAAAATTAGGGGCTTCCCCCATGATTAAGACTTGCATTGGAAGTGCCATATAGTCGTCTTGCTCGCACTTGTGTAAACCCTATGGCGGTAGTGTCATAACTCTATAAAGGGAATTTTTGGGAAGGAAACATTAATTTGGATCTGGTAACACTGCAACTGGCATACCTGGTTGAAGCGGTCACACCATTTCGTGTTTCGAATGTGCGTTCAATTTTGAAATTTGTCTTCTTGCGTCAAGTCGTCGTGCGGTGTTCCAAGCGAGCCCCAATGTTGCTCTGGTCGCGACGGCAACGGAAACGGCCCCAAACGCACAAACTCGACCGGAAGGCGGTTGCAGAAGTGAAGGAAAATTAGAAGAACGCCTAGAAACGGAATATCGAAATTACCAAACGCGTGCACGTGTGTGAGTATTCTGCTAGTAAAAATACACCCAGGTGTGCGAGTGTGTCGTGTCTGTGTGCTGCATTTACCACGGAGTGTGGGCGAGAGCAAGGGAGAGTGCAGCAGAGTGTGGGGCAAGCGGTGACGTTTCCCCTTCAGTTTCCCCCGAAAATTTCGTTACCTTTCCACTGTGGATTCTTCGTCGAAAACCATTTTCCTAATGGTGAGAAACAAAGCGACGCACGCACACAAACACAAGCGAACGTTGTGCTGCTTCGGAGAGTGAAGGCGGGAGGGAGAGACAAAGACACGTATCTCAAAATCTCACAAGTACAAATACACCGAATTTTGGTTTTCGAGCGTGCTGCGCATACGCGCTTTAGTTCCATTTTCTTTTCGGGTCAAGTCGCGGGAAACAGCTGTGTGCTTTTGGAGCGAGAATGACCAGTCCGCGTCCACCCATTAAGGTATTCCCCAGCGAACCGCAGAAGCTTAATCAGCGTTTTTTTTTTTTTTTTTTTCGTAACTCGCTGTCTTTTTGCTTTGAACAGTTATTCACTTAAAACTCTGGATAACCTGTGCTTCAGTGTGTGTGTGTGCTGTTGTTTTGCAAATACACACGATTTCAACAGCGCAGAACAACAAAAACCAAAAATAACAAAAGCAGGGCGGACTCTTTCCCGTTCTCTTTCTCCTTCTTCCGCCCCAGCCAGTGGATAATGCAAAAATAAACAAACAAAAAAGTCCCGCTATCTCAACCGAACAAACTGCGAGTGTGTACAGAATTTATATTCCGCAATGAACGCGTCCACATACGTGTGTGTGTGATCGTTTGTTTTGCAATTGACCCAGTGCTTCCCTTAAATATTGAACTCAATTGAAGGCGCAGTTGCAGCGTCGGGAATTCATCGCGGATCGGCGACTGCATTACTCATGCTCACACACACCCTTTTCTGCGGGACTGTCTGCCTTCCACTCACCACCCCTTACCCCGTACCTTGTAACGTATGCAGTTTACCCCCTTCAACTTCACCAGTGGCTCTGCCTGGTGCTACGACTGCTATCTGTAAGAAAAGCGCACAAAAACGTGCCGATCTTTGCGTTTGATGTTTTTCTATAGTAGCAGCTACAGAGTAGAGCTCAGGTACGGTGGGGACAAGATAATAGAGAAAGCCAATTTCTTTATAGTGCAATTTAAACTATTGATAGTGTGTATAATAGCAACGAATAAGAGGAATTTCCACAGTACTGTTCAATTTAATTTCAAAAACCTTCCAGGTATGCTTTTAGTTCTGCCTTAAAGTTTATTCATCTTTTGGGGGAGTGAGTAATTTTAATCGCAGTATAAAAATATAATAAAATGCATTTAGACCCATTAAAACAAATTAACACGAATGCGACTTAATATGAGCACTCCCAGATTTTATTGATCCACTTAAATTATCGAAACCTGATTTTTAATTAAGATGTTCATAGTGTTTTGTGAAATCAAATGTCAGATAATGTTCTTGAATTTCTGTAATTTCCAATTTGATTAGCTTTTGTCCTGGTTCCACTGTCCCAGGGATGGACTATCATTGATTTACCGCTGAAAGCCTCGCATCTCGCGATCCGCAGACGCTGCATCCCTAGTCGCTTACCAAGACAAACACAGACGCACCGCCACACCGACTCTCACGCACAATGAAGCCAGGCTTCGGTGTGTGTGTGTGCGTGTATGTGGCAGCATTAACTAGTTTTATTTGTTTGGTGAATGTCAATTTCATTGTAATTGCACACTCGGAGCTGGCGATAGAAAAGGAAAACAAGTTGGCGGCGCTATGTTGGGTGATTAGTGCACCTGGGTGTTGCCATTTCAGTTTGCTTTTTAGTCATATTCAGCTATACCACTCCCCGAAGGTCAGGTGGCGGCTGCCAGAGTTGCCAATTGCGAGCTGCGAAGCTGCACTTGATGCGGCAGCTCTAATTGTTTTGTTTACTTTTGTGCGGTGCGAAAATGCGAGAAATGCCAGAAAACGAGAGCGCCAGCGAAATTTAACGGTACGTGGTAGAGCAGCTGCTGCAAGTGTGTGAATTCGCGATCAATGGCGCTGCCTCGCTAAATAATCTGACCTCTCGGCCATCTCTGGCCAATTAATGTATGGATGCTGCCCATTCTATTACCAACGCTACGCTACGTTAGCATATCGCGCGGTGTCTCCAAGTCTCCAGTAGTAGAAGAAGAAGAAGTGCAAGGCAAGACAGGTTGTGTGCGTGCGATTGTATGAGTTTCGGAGATTTTACGGCGGCGGCGAAGGTCACGGCTAACATATGCAAAATAAATTAAAGCCGAGAAACCAGACGCGAGATTCGAATTCGGATTCAGATTCAGATTCAGACTCAAGTCACTGTGATTCAGTTTGAGCTTTGAAGCCGAAAAAATAAACAGACAACAGAAACCGCAGTAATAAAACAATTTTGACTTGAATCGAGGTAACGTGCCAACGATCTGTTCCCCCACTCCACTTCCCCTCCTGAGAAAACCTAGGCTGGCGCTCCCTTTTGCAAGTCGTATCGCTTTTTAAACAACATATAAACGGAAGTACATTCACCTGATCAGTTGAATGAACATGCGCTCTTTTCTACTTTTTTTTCCAGCTCGCTTTTATTTATTATTTTTTAATTTTTTTCATATTTTTTTTCTCGACCATTTGACAGCAGCTGCTGTTGGTTTTTTTTTATATTTACGGACGCGATTCACTCACGTGCAAACATCCATAAAAACGCGCGAGCACGCGCTTGTTTGCATTTGATTGCATTTTTGCATATAATGCAACTCGATCCCTCACTGACCACTGACCTGTCCCAATCTGCTCGCCTTTGATAGCGCGGTTAGTGAAGTGTCTATCTGGAAATAGAGATATGGAGAGATCTCTTCATTCTTTATAAGCACAATTTTTTGAGAATTACCGCCTCAATCGCTTGGTTTTATCACATTTTTTTATGGCCATTCTTGTTCGCTAATTATTGCGTTTCGCTTCGGTTATTAAGTTATATGTGCCTAGCAAAGATATAACCCGTTTAAGTGTAGTACAAGTTAGTTGGTGGCCAAGTTCAGAGCCATGATGCCGAATAAAGCAATTAATTTGAATATAGAAATATTACTCAGCCGAATATTAGTCATGTTTTACTCATTATTGAGTCATTTTGGTTAAGAAAGGGGTTTACCACCATTTAATGTGGGATAAACCAACTCTTTGGCTTTCTCCTTAATAATATAATAACAGTGTTTGCACAGACGAAGCTTCTTCCAGGCTGGGAGAGATCAAGATTCGGTACAATTGTTTCAAAAGAAAGCCTGCATTCCTCATTACCTACGTTTATCGTCATTAGTTACCTAGTTTAGTTCTTAACAAATGAATTAATCACTTCTAGTTGGCACTTGGACCAGCGCTTGCCCAGATCTTGCTTGTGAAAACCTTTCGACATAGAAAAAATGAGTTAATTGCCAGATTTGAGCGTTTGAATTTCTTTTTTTTGCATTCTTTTCAGTTCAATGTTCGCAGCTTAAATCTCTTGTTAATGCTTGTGTCGTTTGGTATTAACCAACTTTCTTCGTTATCCCTTTTTGCAGTAACGGTTGGAGAGCTTTTCAACACTGCCGCCGGCAGGACCGCCAACACCAATCAGCTGCTGCAGCCGGCAATGCGCCAAGATGAGCGTTAAGGAGCAGCAAGCAGCAGGCCGGGACTTTAAGCGCAATTCTAACGCTTATGCCAGCCTGCCGCACACAGGAACGGGAGGAGCAGTAGCTTCGCCGTCATCGTCCTTCGCAACAGGAGCGGGAACCACTGGCAGAGGTCGGCAATGCAGACAGGTGCCATTGCACCACCCGGAGCAGTATGGCCTTTCGAACAGCCTCTCTAGCGAGTCCATTCGGCAGGCTTGCGACTACTACGACGACGAGCTGAGCGACGAGGATCTAATCGAGATCCAGCAGACGCCACAAGGCTTTCATCAGCAGGCCAGCAAGCAACCGCTGCAGATTCAGCCCATTACCTTTCGTTTAGGCGATGGCCAGCGTGACGAGAGGAGCGCCTTCTGCGGCAGCCAGGAGATGCAACCGGCTCCATTGAGCACGCCCATTAAGCAGGCGACGGAAACGGATGAGGCCCTGTGCGTGCTCAGTGAACTAGACGCCATTCTGGATGTTCACGATGTCTCGCAACTGAACGGCACCATAAATTCGGGCAGCGACGATGACAAGGTCGAGGATTACCTCATGGACCTTGACAATTATCTGGAGGAGATGGACAATGCCCTGAACCGGGAGGAGTCGCTGACTATTATGGGCGGTCAATCCAGCTTAAAAAGAGAGCCGAGAACAAGGACACTGCCGTTGAGTAGAAAGAAAAAATCGAATAAGAAGACGAACGAAGAGCAGGAGGCAGCTCCAGAGGATTTCCAAAGGGAGCATCGAATTAGGAAGACCTTTAGCTGCTCCCTAAGGCCAACGAGCCAAACAGGTATAACTTCAATTTCGAGTATCTCACAGCTGAACCAAAATCTAACCCAACTCTCATTTCAGCCTCGTCAAGTGGTTCTCTGGAGGCAACTACGGAGCCCGTGGTGGATGTTTGGAGGCGTCAGTCCATGCGTCGGGCCATGGAACAGGAGGACACCAAAGGGACAGTAATAGAGAGGGAGGAAGACGACCTTCCAACATTGTTGGTGGAGCTGCCTCCCAGGCGCGGAGATGCAGAGATGCGACGCTGCTTTTCCCAAGGCGATTGCCAGGCCCAAGCTGGTGGCTCCCAGATGCTCACGGATGCCCACATCTTCGACAACCTGCTGCAGACTACGGCAAGAGCCTCCAGCGAGGAGCCGCGACCCCGGCAGTACGGACGCCGCTTGGAGGGACCTCCCACGCCAGTTCGCACCTTGGTGCTGGGCCAAAGTCGGCCACAGAGCGCTCCGACACGCGTGCAAATGCGGGAGCCGCAGCCACTCGAAACCCCCACGCACCCCATCATGTCCACTTGCTCGGAACTAAGTTCGCCGCGTTCCTCCCGGATGCCCAGTCCCGTTTCCCTGCCCTCGGATACCAGCAGCAGCAGCAGCTCAGCGGAACAGGATCAGGACCAGGTGCACGCAACGACCATGTGCAGCGCCAGTAGCACCACGCCCCTGGAGCCGCTACATCAACTGCACTTGCTGCTGCGCGAAAAGTGCGGCTTTAACAGCCAGTGGCCGCATGCAGGAAGTCGCACCCTGGCGCTGATTGGCTGCACCCTGGGTGTGTTTAACATGTGCCGGTTTGCCGTGCTCACCATCAACTTTGGTGGCAATTTCCTCCTTCAATTCCTGCTGCTGTCGGTGATCTTTGGCATCCCACTGATGTGGCTCCAAATGTGCCTGGGAGCCAAGATTCGTGCCGGTCCGGTGTCCATGTGGAAGATTAGCCCAATATGCGCCGGCGTGGGCATTGCTCTGGTGATGGTACAGTGTTTTCTGGCACTGTACTCCACAGTGTCTCTGGCCTGGATTCTGGTCTATCTAAGGGATGTTTTTCCAACCGCATCCCGCACGGGTTATCGCTGGCAGGAGCTGGCATTTCCCTATCGCTATGATGCCGCCAATGCCACTGGGAATCTCACACACACTGTGGCCGAGTACTTCAATGTGGTGGTCTTGCAGCGCCTGGATCTGCCAAAGCATCCCGATGCCAGCGGAGGGCGCTTCCATGTCAACGATCGGGTAAGATCCACCATCCCCCCGTTCCCCGCCTTCCCGTCTAACTGACTCACTGCCCACTACCTTCAGCAGCTGGCCTTTTACCTGGCTCTCATCTGGGCGGCCGTCTTCCTCATCCTCTGCAAGGGTCTGAAGTCCCTCGGCAAGCTGGCTTACATTATCTACACGCTGCCATTGATTTCTCTGGCCGTGGTGACGGCCAAGTTTGTCTATGTGGTGGATCCAGGGAGACTACAGGTGAGTTCCGTTGAACTTTGCATTTTATTACCTTTCATTTTGCCAAATTTAATGGGAAATGTGTACTTTATATTTAACAAATCAATCAGTTTAGTGTTTACTAATTTGTTTATCCTTTAAATTGTTTACATCTCACACGTAAAAGTATTTGTTTACTAAAAGATTCATGAATTGAATGAGCTTCTTTATAATTTGCATCTGAATATTTCACCAAAATCATTGTCTTTACAGAACGTCTTCGCTGCCAGCGATTTCGATGACTTTCTGGTGAATCCCAACAGCTGGACGGCGGCCACACAGGAGACATTTCTCACCTGGGGCTTGCTGGGTGCCTCGGTTATTGCTATAACCAGTAGGAGTCATGCTAATGCCAACAAGGCGGCTCTAAGAAGAGATGCTATTCTGCTGGTTTTGCTTACCCTCATCGGGCTGGGCTTGATGGCTCTGCTGGCCTTGTGTTGTGCCCAGATTTTGTGGCAACATGGCTACGTCTATGTGCCGGGATCCTTTGGTGCGTATAACCTGGTTAAAACCTAGCTTTCTTATTTACATTTTTCTTCCTTTATAGAGAACCCGGACAGCTATACGGCCGTGTACTCCCTGCAGACCCATCCCAATCCAAATCTGGTGTCTTATCCGCGCTCGCTAATACCCCATTACTCTTCTTTTATTGGAGAGACTTACCGGCGGAACCGCAGCATGATTCATGTGGAGAGCGGTTTCCAAGCTTTGCGTTTCATCTCGGAAATCTTTCCGGCCGTACTTTCGCTGGCCAGCGATAGCATCTCTTGGGTGTGGGCTGCCGTGGCCTTTAGCACCTTTGCGGGATTCGGTCTGGCGCAGCTGTGCGTGATGTGGAAGCCAATTTCTAGTGCCCTGGGTAATTCCACAAGCTCGGTGCTGCTAAGCTGCGTCACCGGACTGTTGCTTAGCATACCCTTTGCCACCACAATGGGAATAACCATACTGTACTACGTGGACTTCCTGTTGGGCGGTTCGTGGTTCATTCCGATCATTTGGACTGCTCAGATCTTTGGCGTATTCCTGATACGAGGTCGCCCCTACAATGGAGATGATTTGGTGAATGACCTGCGTCTATGCGGTTCCATGTCCGCTTTCCTGGCCTTATCCTGGAACGTACTGCTGCCCATTGGCCTGATAACGTTGTCTGTGGTGGATTACAAGGCCTCGCTGTCGAATCAGTTTTACTATTGGCGTGGAAAGTCTTACTTTACGTACTGGTCCAGGAAAATGGGCAGCCTGATCCAGATTGGCGTCCTGCTGGTTATTCCTGTCACAGCTATTATACAGATCTATCGGTATCTGGCCCACGGTCCACCGGATATCCTGGAGGTGAGTAGTCTTTATGATTTTGGAATCTAATTAGTTAATTTTGATATCTTTTCATCCACTTTCAGCGCATTCAGTTGCTTTACCGTCCGCCGGAGGAGGGAGAACAGTCCCGGCGTCCGTCCGCTCGCCAAAGTGCCGCCCAGGGACGACGTAATGCGTTGGGCCAGACCACTGAAGGCAATCAGCACGATGCCCAAAACGATGCTCCGCCCAAGTACACGCCACCTCCGTCCTACACCACGGCAACAGGAGCTCGTTTGGCCAAGCTCCTGCGCCAGAGCATACGCCGCAGCGTGCGCAGGTGAGACACCGAATACACCTAGAAGATTGCCATGAGATTGACAACTTCCACCTTCTCAGGGTTCTTGGAGACTCTAGTCGCACGCGGCCCGTGCTCTCGCTTGACGCCGAGTCCGCTTCGCCGGCGGCCCCGCCTGATTACTTGACCATATTAACCAATCCAGCGGGCAGCAGCTCCAATGCAGAGCCTTCGCCTGCATCCAGCAGTAGTCCGGAGTCCATTGAAATTGGCCTGCGTCCCGCTGGCTACGCACAACGCTCACAGTCGCTGGGCCGGAAGCTGCATCGCTCGGGCGCCTCCACTCTGGAAAGACGCCCCTACACGGCGGAGGATGTGGTGACCATATTGCGCTCCTCGGTGCGACACCGCCAGTCGCAGCAGGGTGGCGGAAATATGGCCACTGCTAGCACTCTGCCACGACCCCCAACAACCGCCATGTCCACGCACATGGAGGACGCCTCATTCCGGTCCATAGAGAATCTCGTGCTGAACGCTGAGCCGCCGGACAGAACGCCGGGCGTGGAGCTGGAACTGGAGGCTGGACGGGCGGAGGAGTGCGCGCAAAATAATACATCTGTGATTTAACTGACTAATATCGTACCGTACATAGGCGTAACTCTTATGCGATCCCACATATCTGCTTGCTTTCTTAGACTTGATTAGCGCTAGTTATACAAATACGAATAATACTTTGTAGTTATGCGAATAATATCGAAAACAACTAGTTGGTACTCCCAAGTGTCTGAGATTATTTTTTTGTATTCCTGTGTAACCGGTATTCCCCTGCGATCGCAGCCAAGTGATGATGATCTCTGTTACCCACCCCTCTGTGGGTCCATATTTTATGCTTGCGCAGTTGCCCTTTAAATTATTATCCCAACAATGGGCGGTCTACGTGCCCAGCAGTCGAGGGCCGCGTATTTAAAAAACGAGAAGGAGAACTGAGAGCCTTAAGCCGATTAATAAACGTGACCAGTCGAAAAAACGAGATAAAAGAAGCGGAAGTCTAGGCGTCGGGCGCCTAATGATCCAGGGCCAGGAAGCTGCTGGCTACAGTTGCTACACATTTCAATGAAAATGTCACGCAATTTCCCTGTATTTTCCATTGTGACTTGCAGCTTGCATCTGATTTTGGTGCAAAAAAGTTAATCCGCGGAATTTTCAAATTGGCACGTTCTTGGCGGGCTGCAGCGGGATGTTGCCAGAAATATATTTGAAAATAAACAAAATTCAAGGAAACTTAAAATACTGAAGATTTAATTATTAAATAATACATTTGAATGATTTTTAGTGATTGCTTAATTTATTAAATTTAAGAGATTTTTTAAAAGATATTTTAAAATACGATGTGGCAACTCTGCTCACGAGTAGCGGAAATATGTGCCTTTAGCTAGATGTTAACTAATAAACGATAGCTGCTGCAGTGGGGTTTAATACATTTATTTAATTAAAAAATCTATATAGTTATACGTATCATTACATATATTTATTCCTGTATTAAAAATTAATCTATTATCTTTCCGCTACTTCAGTATTTTGCGGTCACACTTTCAGTATTTTCTTTTGTACCAAACACAGTTACTTTTAGTGCTGCCAGGTGGTGATGAGCCCTCGAAAAAGCTAGATTCGGAAAAAATAAGTTAAAAAAACTTAAAATGAACAAATATTTACATTTAAGTGCATGAAGAAGAAAAACTATTGATTAATTTCAAGTTTTTAAAGTTTTTAATTTCATTAATTTTATTATTAATAAGCCTCATGCTCAGTTTATCCATTGTCAAACATGCTAGATCTAGCTTGAAACAAGCTAAAATGGCAACACTGCCTCGACCGCTGGCTTGGCGGATTGAAAACTTCTTTATTTCGAAAAATTCAGTTCGAAAAAAACAACGGGAGCGAGCGCACGCCAGACCTTTTGAAACCGCGTCGCGCGTCTAAAAGTTGGAGGAGTCAAGAGTCAGAGGCTGGCAAATTGGAAAACTTTGCGAGAAGCGAAACTTGTGCATGTGCAATTAGAAGAGCGCGTTCTTAAGCCACTTGGCCATTTAGCCAGCCGCCAGTCAGCCAGGCAGCCACTTAGAGCCGCCAAAGTTTTCTGCCGCGCCGCCTTCGTAAGTCGCAGGTCGAAAAGTGCTCAAACAAGATTTCCACTTGAAATTCCTGAATTTCGTTTGTCTGCGCGAAACGAAACGAATCGAATCAAATCGCAGCAGCAGCAGCAGCATTCAGCATAAATACGAGTCGAATTTAAATTGCGGCACCGAGTTTTTCGCCTGCCTGCCTGCAAGTGTATTTTGCCCCAAGTGTCTTTGTGTCAGTGGTTCTTTGTCTCTGTGTGGGTGTTACGATACATTTGGATTAGCGGTGTGTTCGCCTGATTAAAACGGTAAGTGTCCTGCGAGCTGCGAGCAAAGTTTAGTGTTAGTTCTCCGTGTTTTGTGCTGGTGTTAAATCCCTCACTCGCACACACACAAACACACACGCCTGCGAGCGGTGCGCACTCACAACTTATTTGCCGCAATTTGCTCTAGTGTTTTGTATTAGCATTTTTATGTCCCGCCTCGCCAAAGTTGACAAACAAAACGCACACTGGCGCACCAGCCAACACTAACACACCCAACACACTCGTAAGCGCACGCACACAAAGGATTTCATTACATTTTTGGGTGGGACGACGGCAACGTAACGGTAACGGTAACCCTCCCCGAACTTTGTCTCTCTGTCGCTCCGCCGCTCTGTCTCTGCAGCTAGCCAGGCTCTCCATCTCGCTCTCTCCCATTCCCACAGCCCCGAATGCTGTGCTACTGAATTTGTTTTCGCCTTCTTCGCCGCTCCGTTCTCTCCTGTTTTTATTTATTTTGATGGCGTATTTTGCCATTCCGCTTTGTACGAATTGCGTAGCTTGTCGCCTGCTCTATCCTTCCACAGTCCAGCCTGACTGCAGTGAACTATCGATTAGGGGAAATAGGTGATAGGAATGATGACCTAACCAAAGAAACATTAAAAAAAATCGTAAGAGAATGTTTTTAATATACTCTGATAACTAAAAATTTAAATTTTACGGTGAATTTGATAGTATATATGATATAAAAAAGTTTTCTAATAATATATCTTAACTTAATTAAATCATTAAATTTACCTTTTCTTTAGTAAACAATTCATTAAGCAATCTAAAAGATTTTAATATTTAGTTTCCTTATTTAAAATTAGTTTAAATACAAAATATTGCTTGTTTAAATATTTTGAAATATCATTTGATTGTATTAAAAAATATCCTGAAGCAGAAATCTCATATATTTTCTTAAGAAATCAATAAATTGTATCCTGGCAATTAAAGCGGGATTGCCCTTACCGAAGACTTCCTGTGTCTATCCCTGGGCTGTCAGCTTTTCCTGCTAGTTTCGGCCTGCATTGAAATGAGTTCGCAATAAATATTGCCCAATGTCAAATAAAAGGGCGATGAGCCAGCCTTTTTGCTTTGCTCCGCCGCTTGGCTGCCACTTGCCTGCCGCCGCCCTTCTTCTATGTATTTGTATCTCCGTCTATCTTTTCTCTAATCTCGGGGGACACTAATGTTTTACGACAATTCCTATGCCGCCCAGTACAAACTTAATGCACACATCAATGGCAAATTAGATATACTCCACACACAGCAAATGTACTAATAACAATCATCGACGAGTGTGTGTTTGACTGGGTGCGGGCGGGCTGCCTCCGAGGCGACCGACCATCCATCCATTCCATCGAGACGATTGTTTTGTTGATTCGGCTGTTACTTCCAATACATTGGCATTTACGAGGGGACCGAGCTGAAGGAGGAGGAGCTGGATTGGCGTCCACTTATGCCTGCCTTATGTCTCATTTGTCGTCGAGCAAATGGAAATCGTTTTGTTTTTGCTTTGTCAAGTGACAAATTTTCATTGTCTCCCGCCACTAATCGCTTACTTAAAAAAAATAAAAGAAAACCGAAAAACATTGAAGAAAACACGCCGAAGACGCCAAATGCGGAGCAGGGACACAAAACAAGAAATAAGACATAAGACAAGTGTAAATAAACACTTGAACGTGGGCGGGGAAGTCACTTGGAGAGGGAGCAACGACTAACGCATATCCTCTGAAGGGAAGAAAAACGCTATTGACATTAACTTTGGCATTTTCTGGAAAAGCACAAGGAATGCGGGGAAACGGCGGAGAATTATTACCTTATTGAAATATACTCCTTAACTTTGTATTTGTTTACCTCTCAATAAACTTTGTTATTCAAGCTAACAGCTTACCATTTCTTTGCCATACGCTTATCGGCATTTGACTTGAGGATAATGTAGAATTTTGGATGGAATATATTACACAATTTAAAGTATGGCTTTAGTAAATGCGAAACATACAATTGTTTGGTATCTTAATAAGAGAAATATTTAGAAAGATATAATAAATCAGCTAAAAGATACATTTTATGAAATATCATTAGAAATAATATTGAATTCTTCAATTAATTCAGTTAAAAGAAAAACAGTTTTTGGCAAATATCTTTATCTACCCAATATACCTTTAAATACCCTTACTTGCTGCATTTACTGTACAATCTTGCCTCTTTTGGTGGCATTGCCCGCGGTGCCGCGGCACCTCCACACTTGGCGCAGTTTGCTTTAATTTCCAGCGGACAAACCACTTTGTTATCGCCTCGACCAAGGGCCTTTAATCTCTGGTTCTGACCCTCCGTCTGGCCATTGATTTACGTCTCTATTTTCCCCCGAATGTAGTGCAATCGATTTAGATTGATTTTGTTTAAACAAACTGCACGGGGCATCAGCAAGCAGAAGCAGAAGCAGAAAAAAGAGTTTCAGATCGATGTAATAAATAAATCGAATCGGAATCATTGGGCTGCCTTTTAATGCTAGCGTTAATTGCGAGAGCCGCCCAATTCCATTTCCATTTCCATTTCCAATCCAGCAATTCCTACCACATTTTCATGCCCATGCCTAGGCTCGATTTCGGTTCCAATTCGGATTCCTATTCCATCGATGCTTTGGTAATTAGTTGTGAATTGGATTGGGGATCACATAAAAGTGTTGATTACACACTCCGATGGCTGCGCCCCTCCTTAACCCGCTGGGTGCCAAGTGTTTTGTTTGTGTTTCTCTCTCTTGCTGTGTGTCTTTTTGGGGCTTTCTTGGGGGAATTAGGGTTAGCCGTGCGTAGTGAAAGTCTTGGAAACTGCGGCAGGTGTAAGAAGTTGGTCGGTCAGCAGGAAGCGTTGCTCCAATTAATCGCTCTTTATCGCAGGGAATTTCAACTACGCAGCCAATTAATTGGGGCGCTTAAATACAAGATTCAGCTACAGATACAGAAACTGTGGCAGTTACAGCTGCAGCCAAAGAAGTTCCCACAGCTAAACGACTTTAATTGAATTGCTTGGAATTGTGGTTGGTTGGTTGGAAATTACAGTGACTAGACATTCAAATTATACAAATGTCTTTTCAGCAGATTTGATTAGGAGCAAGCTTGGGCAGTAGTAGGGACCATCAACCATCCACCCTTTGCTTCCATTGCTGCCCATTTTGTCAATTACAAAAATGCTAAAAATTTCCCTTGCAAGTCATGGTCCGAGGAGGAGCAGCAGGCAACATCTTCGCATAGTTGCAGCAGCAAAAACATCAAAGTCATTTCATGTCTTCATAAATTCTCTTACCAAAGGAGCTGTCGCTTCCACCCTCGCCTTTCGCTGTAACCTCACTTTTGACTAAGTGAAATGACCTGCCATTTTGTATGAAAAAAGCCAAGATAAAAAAGGCGAAAAAGCGAAGAAAACCGAAAACAAAAAGCTCAAGTCACAACTAATAAGATTGAGTTAAAAAAAAAAAAAAGAGGAGACCGGGGACCGGGGTCCACGAGGAGCAACCAGAAGAGAAGGGTATACTTGTGGCAGGAGAAAGAGCGATCAGCGAGGGAAGGTTAATGCCTTATCGACATGCTGCAATCTATGTATTTAATTGACTCGACTGCAATTATAGTGTACGCTCTGTCTCTCTCTCTTTATATATATATAAATAAATGTGTATATATATTGTGTAGTGTCTTCTTCCTGCAGATAAAACGTCGTAAAATGAAAAAGAAATACTTGCCTATAATGATTTCGCATAAATCGTGACTACTCGCCAAAATGAAAGGCGAGAATTTATACTAACAGTGTACGAGGTTGGAGCTACAACAAGTTACAATGTAGGCAACGCTCCATTCGCAATTCAGCGTGGAGTGTCGGTCGATGTCAGAGGCTAGTACTCCCCAGTTCCCCTTGAAATCCCCTCCCAGCAGCTCCACTTGGCATGCCAATCGTTCGTTCGACGTTCCCCGAGTCTCTGCTGAGGCTAAAGCTGAAGTCGAATGCTGAAGCTGGATATTTAGCCAAGAGTCTGATGCCTTTGGTCAGCCAAAGTCAAGCCAACAAAAATCCAAGCCAAAAAATAAAATAAGAAACAGACAAGGCAGTTAACTGGCATCAGGAACTCGGTGTTTAGATACTCTTTAAGTTGAGATATATGGTAGATTCTTTAAAAAGAATATTAAACTACAATCTACCTAGTTCTTTAAAGAAAATATTCAGGGAACATGACATTTAGAAGCAGACCCCTATAGCAGATCTTTTCTCTTTATAATATTTTGGTATTTTTAATTTTACCTGTTCTCTGAAGTTCAATCCCTGTAACAACTTTAGGACCTCTTATGAATAAAGGGTATCAAAAATAAAAGAAAAGGCCACGAAACCTGTAACCGACCACAATTCGCGGCCAGCTCCTAGAGATGCGCACGTGACTTGGTCATCCTTAAGATTCCCTTTCTCTTCTTCGCTGCCCCCACCTCCGAATCACGTTCTCCACAAATTGAAATTTATTTGTGTTGCCACACCAGTTAATGCTTATTTATAACGACAATTAATCGGGCCGACAAAGATAAAGCCAAGGGATTGGGGGGAAGAAAATCAGAGCAAGGAGAGAGAGATACTTTTTTGAGGAATTTATACTAGTGTGTGTGTGTGTGTGTTTGGTGTGTGTTGTGTTTGTTGGTTGTGTGGAAATTAAAAGCAAATATAAAATATGTCAAACTATTTGCATATTTAATTTGTTTTTTGTAAAGCCCGCTCGCTAGCGCTTGGTGAATTATTTGACAAGTTTATTGGGATAATAAACTGGGCTAAGTTATGATTTATGAGGGGGGATTACGCCATATATATAGTGGGAGTGGGAATGGGAGTGCCCATTCCCACGCTCACGCCACCATCCCTAGGAATCAAAAAGCTGCAAAAACATTTAGCCACGTTGGGTTAGGGACACCGCACTCGGATCGCGGACAGACGAGGGACAATGTCTCCGGCCATTGCCAAATCGTTAG